AACCGTCGTCGCACCTTCCCATACCTCGTTACGCCCTCCCTCTTTCCTACAATGGGTCTCTCGGCTGACGACTCTGCGGCGGGCATCGAAGCCCAGATGTCCGTTCTGTCAGAGATGAACAAATTTGTGTGTGGTATCCCACCCTTTTTCTGCTACAACAAGTCCCTATACTGATATCCGTTCTATTTCAGATCCACTCCAACCCCGAAGTCTCCTCCAAAGAAGTCAAGGCACACGACCACTTTGTCGAGGTCCTTAAAAAACTCGGCATCAAGGTCACACCCCACGCCTACGATGTTCAGACATCCTTCAAAGCCGAGTACGGCGAAGGCGGCCGGTTGGTCGTGTTCAACGCCGAGTATGACGCGCTGCCGGGCGTCGGCCACGCCTGCGGCCACAATCTGATTGCGACGGCGTCGTTTGCGGGCTTCCTGGGCGCCGTGGCAGCCCTCAAGAAGGCCGGTCCCGGCACCAAGGGCCGCGTGACGCTGATGGGCACGCCCGCCGAGGAGGCTGGCGGCGGTAAGATCAAGCTGATCAAGGGTGGCGCCTACAAGAACGTAGCGGCGTGTTTGATGGTGCACCCGGCACCGTTGTCCAGTTTGCAGGCGGCCGCGGCCGATGCCCTGGACGGCAACGATGCGTCGGGCGTCTCTGGGGTGGCCAAAATACGCTTGCTGGCGTGCATCAAGTACGCAGTCTCCTTTCAGGGCCGCGAGGCACACGCGGCCATGGCCCCCTGGGCGGGCGTCAACGCGCTCGACGCGGTGTGTCTGGCGTACAACGGCATTTCCATGCTGCGCCAGCAGATCCACCCAAATGAGCGCATTCACGGCGTCTTCCGGGAGGCCGGCGACCAGGCCAACGTGACGCCCGCGCACACGTCCGTCGTCTACCACATGCGCAGCGACACGCTGGCGCACGCCGAGACGCTGTGGCAGCGCGTCAAAAACTGCTTCGACGGCGCCGCGACGGCCACCGGCTGTACGGTCGAGTACGAGCCCATCGACACGTACGCGGAGCAGCGGTCGTCCCCCGGGCTGTGCCAAGCGTATGTCGACGCGATGCCCAAGGGCACGGTGCTGTACACGACGCCGACGGACTTTATGACCGCCTCGACGGACATGGGCAACGTGTGCTACGAGTGTCCCGGCTTTCAGGGCGCATTTGGCATTGATGCACCACCAGGTGCCGGCAACCACACGGGCGACTTCACGGGTGCGGCGGGCACGGACGATGCGTTCCAACGGGCAGTGGCCTGCGGTCGCGGTTTGGCGGCGACGGCGCTCAAAGTTCTTTCTGACGACAAGTTTGCTGCATCGATCAAGTCGGCGTGGCAAGACGACATGAAAGCAGCCAAGAAAGAGCACCAGGGCTAAGTATTTGTCGTAAGGTTTTGATATGTTCTTCTGACATGACTTCTGAAACCGAAAATGGACAACAAGGTTATATTATATGGTATTCATATTGGAGTTCATTTGTTTTAATTCTTCGTCAAGCCTTTTAGTTTTCTTCTGTTTTTTTTCTTTACTTGAAATTTGCATTCTTTCCCTTTTTTTTTACTCTGAAGTTCTTCCATTTTGTGAATTCTCTCTTTTCCCAGACGAACTTTGTATCACCTGCGAAAAGATGCTTCTTCCAAATTCTTTTCTCGACCGACTAGCCTACTGCATCACATACGACAGATTCCTCCTTTCATCTCTTTTGCAAGCAATCTATGCTCACTGGTTGCTTTGCTTTCTTGGCCAATCTCAATGTAGCCTCGCCAGCCAACCACGAACGAGAAAAGGCCTTTTCACAGATGCTGTTTCGACCTATGACGGTGAAGGACTCACCCCTGTCTAACACGTTGGTTTCTTCAACACGCAACGGTTCCTCGTTGGCCAGATTCGACTTACTATGTCATTTCTTCGATTGGCCTCAGTGACAAAACAGGAATTCGACAACACAAAGAGACCGCTTGCTGTCGACGGTCTTGCTGCTCGCCCCTGGCGCTATCGAGGGTGGCAATACAACAAAACTACACGTCCGACGACGCTTGTTGGCTTCGATTGCAAAGCCTGAATTGAGAGGACGCCTGTCCTGAAAGTGGACAATAAGTATTGAAACGCTGTGGCCTTCTGACGGCTATGCCAGTCGTCCAGATTATCGTCATCCATCGGTATCAGTCTGGAGTGAGAACGCGCTGCAACGTTAAATGGTCTCGTCTGTTTACATTTGGACTGGACATCTTGCCTATGGAGCCACCATTTATGCTTGTATTGACCATTGGGTTGAAGGCTGACGGTCGGAAGTTGACATCTTGAGGAGTCTACTTTCGTCACCATCCTGCCATTTTAATTGTCGTCAGCCTCATTTCACTGGCTGTCCACAATGCTCTCTGCCCGTCATCACCGCACGCCTACCAGAGCCAGCCATTGCCTCTCCTTTGGGGCTCATGTACCCTGCGGTGAAATGAGATTATTGTTTTTTTCCTGGTCCCCAGCTACATTCTCACTTGTCATTCACTCTAACCCCTAGCCCACTCCAGACGCTCGTCCTTTCATGCTCTTCTGCGCTCTGTTTGGTTGCACGGCTTGTTCGCTAACAAACAGTGACCCCTTGTTTTGCCGCCCGACGCGGCCCCTCGTCCACTGCGGCTTCATCGTGTCATCCCCTTCCTTCTTGGTTCTTGGTCTGCTGTGCCTTGGCATGTCCCTATCTCCGTCACCCACACAGATCGCAAATAATACGACGCAGGACGCAGGACGTAAGACATAGGACTCCCCCCCGTCCCTGACTTTCGAGTGAATGGTAATAGTCACCTATTTATCGTTTGTTATTCATTGTACACTTATTACTTTTGGGCTCCACTCTCGCCTCCTCGTTTATATATGAGAGTCCAGCATGTCGTCCGCGTCAACACCACGCCTTCCCGTGTTGCCTTTCCCCTCGTCTCGGTTCGCGCCCATTTGCCGCGCGACATCACCATCAAGACCACCGACTGCGGCCTCAACAAAACTTGCCTGAGCTATTTGTTCGAACGAGGCATCTTCTCTCGCTCATCCGCCTTTACTCACTTCACACACACAATGGGCCACTCACAAAGTACACCGTCTGCGCTGCAGACATGCCTCAACTCTGTCTGCGCCGGCCGGTCTGGCTGTGTTGGCTACCCATCCGATCTGCTCTACCAGCTGGAATGGGTCAAGCCGTACAACCTGGCCGTTGACGTCTCACCCGTCGCCGTAGTCCGCCCCCAGAACGCCGCGGATGTCGCTGCCTTTGTGCAATGTGCCGTGTCCAACAGTGTCTCGGTGCAGGCCAAGTCCGGCGGCCATTCGTACGCCAATTTCGGGCTCGGCGGCGGCAGCAACCCGGGCGACCTCGCCATCGACCTGTCCAACCTCGACCAGTTCAGCATGGACAATTCCACTTGGCAGGCCACCATTGGACCTGGTGCCACGCTCGGTGACATCACCACGCAGCTCGTCGACAACGGAAACCGAGCCTTTGCCCATGGCGTCTGCCCTGGCGTCGGCCTCGGCGGCCACGCCACGGTCGGCGGACTGGGTCCCATGTCGCGCATGTGGGGTTCTTGCTTGGACCACGTCGTCGAGGCCGAGGTCGTGACGGCCGACGGCACCCTGGTGCGGGCTAGCGCCACTGAGAATTCGGATCTGTTCTGGGCCATCCGGGGCGCTGCCTCCAGCTTTGGTATCGTCACGGAGTTTGTCATGCGCACACACCCGGCGCCCGGTAGCGTCGTGCAGTACTCGTTTGATTTCTCGTTTGGCAGTGCCGCCGACCTGGCTGCGGTGTATTCCACGTGGCAGGCCGTCATTGCCGATCCGAACCTGGACCGCCGTTTCGGTACTGAGTTTATCTTGTACCCGCTCGGCGCGATTATCACGGGCACCTTTTACGGCACGGCAGACGAGTGGACGGCCTCGGGCATCCCCGCGCGCCTACCGCAAACGGGCAACAAGACGATTGTCGTCAACGACTGGCTGGCCTCGCTGACCCAAGAAGCCGAGAACGAGGCGCTGTATCTGTCCAACACCCAGACCAACTTTTATTCCAAGTCGCTCGGGTTCCGCCGCGAAGACCTGCTGGCGCCGGCCGCCGTTGTCGATCTCTTCACCTACGTCACGGCCGCCAACAAAGGCACCCTCCTGTGGTTCATCATCTTTGATGCCAGCGGCGGGGCTGTGGCCGACGTCGCGCAAAATGCCACCGCGTTCGCCCACCGCGACAAGGTCTTGTTCTACCAGTCGTATGCCATTGACCTGCTGTCGCTGTCGACCACAACCCGCGCGTTCCTCACCAACTTCCACACAACGCTGCTCAACCTGCTGCCCGGCGGCAACGGCACAACCGTCGGCACGTACTCGGGCTATGTGGACCCGGCCCTGGCGGCGCCGCAGGCCGAGTACTACATGACGAATCTGCCGGAGCTGGAGGTGCTCAAGGCCAAGTGGGACCCGAAACAGGTCTTCCGCAACCCACAGAGCGTACAGCCAGCGGCGTAAGCGGGTGTCTTTTTCTCTTTATTACTTACCTGTGTTCTTTCTTTTCTTCTTACTCCTGGCGTTAGGTGAGAGGGTGCTGGTTCATTCTGGGCAGACGTGGATTTGTTCTTTTCGTTGCATGTACATCTACTTTGCATGATACTCCAGTTGTTTTACATAAGCATTCAGGTCCATTCAATTTTCTGGTTAGACTCTGTTTTTGAAAACATTAAATTCTTGTTACGTACTTTGCTGTTGTGCTCGAGGCAATTCAAGTAAAACAAAAACGCAACCAACAACGCCGGCCTAGCTATGTAACAGTCATATTACCTGTCGGTAACGTGGGCAAAGGATAAAATCAGGAAAGAAGGAAAAGAGATTACGAACAGAAAGGGGGCGATGTCCGTTGCCAAACCAGGCCACTTGCAAATCCATGCCATTCACACATCAAGATTGTCTTTTGTGCATCTTTCTCGTAATGAACTGGCAGTCTACCGATGACAACCCTCTTTACGCACGGGCAGCGGCGGCCCGACCGACACCGACACGGCGAGTGGGTGCCTGTGCACCGTTCGTCGCTCCAAAGTTGTGCAGCCGCTCGCCAATCAGGTACGCCTCGTCCCGGATCCGCAGCTTCCACGACGCATACACGCCGACCATGCCCCAGAGCGACCACGCGGCCAGACCCACCAGCGCCACAAAGGGGAAGGCCAGCCGGTACACCAGCCGCATGTCCGCCACCGCCGGCTCCGGCACCGTGACCGGCAAGACGAACTGCAGGGCGGCGGGCGCAGACAGGCCGTCAATGTCGAGCGACGCCGACGCGGCTACGTAGCCCTTGGCGAGCAGCAGTGGCAGGCCAATGGTAGTGGCCCCGAGCACGAGCCCGGGCACCACAAAGGCGCGCGTCAGCAGACGCACGTCCGGGTCCAGGTTGCCGCGGCGCAGCACCGCGCGGATTGCCGACGTCAGCCGAGCTCCGGGGTACCATGTCGTTATCATGCGCGCGCTAACCTTGAGGTAGAGCAGGCCCAGCGTCCACGACTGGATGATGCGGACATTGTGGCGCGATTCGGTCCCGTCGGAGGGTGACGCGGCACTGATTGACGACGAGCCAGGAGGGTGCATGTATGTGTGCAGCGGAATCAGCAGGTACAGCTCGACGAGGGCGGTGGCGAGCAGCGGGAACACGACGAGGATGAAGACGTAGGCGTACATCAGGCTCAAGACGCGTGTCACGCCGCGCCACGTCGTCTGCGCGGCGCTACGCACCGATGCCGTCGACATCGTGCGTCGTGTTGCCGCCCACATTTTTTTGAAGATAGGCCGCGCGTGGAACACAAAGTACGAGGCCGATCCCAGCACATACATGCCGATGCTAAACGCGTAAATGTCGTTGGTGCGCACGTCCGCAGGGAGCAGGAGGCGGAAGAGGCGCCGTCCAAAGAGGAGAGGGATGATGGTGCACGAGACACCCGTCACGGCCGCAAACATCCAGATCGAGGCAATGAACAAGAAGATGCGCACACGGAAGAACGGCGGGATGTACACGAGCTCGTACTGCTTGCTGTGATAGATGTCCGCCGGGCGCTGTTCGGGTCTGCTGTCGTCGGCATCGGAAGCGCGACTCCGCCTGTCTGGTCCGCGGAACGGGTCCTTCCTGGCCGGTTCGCCAAGCTCGTTCGATAGGGAGGCTTCGTTGCTCGCATCCAGAAACACGTCCTTGTTCTTAGGGATCTTAACCTGATCGGACGCCGGCGCACGCACAAACTTCCCGTTCGGCACGAGCTGACCCGAGGCAACAAGCTTCAGTTTCTTGTCGGCGAGGAATCTCATGCTGTCCTTGTCCGGGTTGCGGCGGCGAACTGGCTTGGCTCGTGGAGGTCTGTTCGGATTGCTGCTGGTCCTATCATTTTCCCCGTCCTCATAGACACCCTTGGACGGTTTGGCACTCATCGTCGCCATGGGCACGACCGTGTTCTTGGACTCGTCGTACTCGAGCAGCTGCCGCACCAGCCACGGCGACTTCTGGTGGGGCGACTCAGACGCGAGGTAGAGGGAGCCTTCCTCGTCGATGCGGCGCTCGCCAAAGAGGAACCAGGTGATGCGCAGGCCGCGCGCAGATTTGCGGAACCACCAGGTGTACATGCTGTGCAGGCCGTCGCTGGGCCGGAAGAACTTGATCGCCAGCGGCATCAAGAAATTGTAAAAGAGCAGGTCGATGGGGAACTCGAGGACCGGCTCGTTGGACGAGTAGTGAATCGGAAGGATGCCGGGACCGGCATAGGCCAGGCCCCAGACGACGCCGCCGAGACAGATAATGACAAGCGCGCCGTAGACGAATGCAGACAGCAGAATCTTGAGGAGCTGCGTCGCTACGGTGCGTTCAAGCACGTCGCGCACGGGATGGAATTCGGGGTCGTCGGGGTCGCGAATAAAGTACAATACACCCTTGCGCATAATCTTCCGGCACATGGACACAAATAGGGCAAAGTGGAACATGTACCCGGTGCCCACGAACCAATGCACGAAGATGGCCGTCAGCGGATAGTCGATGCTGAATTGCAGCCGCGAGACGAGTGTCGTGTTCTCAAAGAGCGGGAGCAGGGCCACGTCCAGCAGCAGGCCGCAGTAGAGCGGGAACACGAGCATTTCGATGCCGATGATCAGGATCACTTTCAGAACACCGCTCGCTTGGTTGAGGCCGTCAATCAGCGACGCCTCCCACTCTTGCACGGCTGCACCGCTGCTGAACGGCGAGCCACGGTGCAGGTAGAGGCCGGCCACGAGGCACATCGTCGCGTATCCGAACAGAATCGCCAGACCACGGTCGACGCCGCCCCAGAACGCAAGCACTGGGTTGACCTGGACCGTGTCCATCGAGTCGAGCGTAATGACCCACGACCCGGGGTTCGACAGCACCGCGGGCAGGGACCGCAGCAGCTCCCAGGCCGCAGCACCGCCGCTTTTGGCAAATTCGAGTGCCTCGGCGCCATGGGAGAGGAATTCGCCGTTTGTGACCATGACAATGGCGCGCCCAATGCCGGTAGCCACCGCACCGACGTTGGCTTTGATTCCGATAAGTGCGTCGTGGCTGATGGCAGAGAAATTGCGAATCTCACCCGTCGACAGGAACGGCGGGTCAATGCTAAAATTCTCGACAACGCGCGCCGCCGACGTTGCACAGAGGTCCCATGTGGTAGCCAGGGACGCCAGAATGTACTTGGAATAGGGCACCGTGCGACCGGAAACGAGTTCGGCGGCGGACGCCGCGTTGTTAAGGACAAGGAGCGTGAGGTAGGCCGCACCGCCGAGGGCGGACGCCGCAATGTCCTGGAGCAGCTTGGACAAACTGAACAGCATCATGATGGGCCGCATGGGGTTGGCAACCAGCCAGATACTCAGGCGACCGACGTTATAGGGCATGAAGATACCGACCAGAAGGCTGACTGAGACGAGGAATCCGCAGAAGATGACGTTCTGGAACAGGCCTGCAATGGGGCCGCGCATGCCAAGGAGCTCCATGACACCCTCGAGGTCCTCGGCGTCTTCGATGGCCTCGGCTTCCATGTTCGCCGCCGCCGCAGCGGCGGCTGCTGCCTCGAACGCTTCGCGATCCTGCTCATCCAGGGGTAGGGGGCCGTCCTCTTCATTGTCGTTGAAAAGCTCCACATGATCGTCTTCATCAACATCAGGCACGATCGGCGGCAGGTCAGCCGGGTCGATATTTTCGAGATCACGCCACATGAAGTTCATTACTCCGTCCACAAGACTGGCTGGGGGTCCGGCCGAGTCTGCGGTGGCCGCCGGAGCGGCGGGAGCGGCGGGAACAGTCGCAGGAGCGGCGAGTGCAGCATCAGGAGCTGCAGCATCAAAAGGAAGGGCAGCAGGGCCGGCGACCGGTCCGGCAGCAGCGGGAGCTTGTTCGCGCGGTGCACCGTTACTGTCAGCACGGCGCAAACCAGCGGCGGGCATGTCCTCAAAGTCGGTGGCATCGCCCTCGTCGACGTTGTCGCGATTAGGAATGCGGACAAGTTCTTCCCAGTGGCCGGTTTGACGAAGAGGGGCGTCAGGTTCGTTCCGCCGACCCGAATCTGTGCTAGTGGGGCTGGCAATGGCGGCTGACACACCTGTGGACGACGAATCGTGGGCGTGCTGTGCAGATGCCGAGCTGGTGGCTGCGTCTTGGGGAATGTTTGCCATTGTGCCGTTTCTGCCGCTGGAACTGGCATTGCTATTGCGCCGTGAGCTCGCAGCCGAAGACACAGACCTGCGTCTCTGTTCACCTTCCAATCGTAGGTCGCCTTCTTTCGGTTCCGTCACCCTTTGATGCGATGGAGCATCGCCGCGTATGGGTACACCATCTAGCCGTTCGGCGGAGTCTCCGTAGAGGGGCTGGATGAATTCAGGCGTAAAGTGCTGCGTGGGCGGCACAGGCCCAAAGGACCAGTTGTTGTTCCCTAGAGGATTGGTCCGCGGGGGGCCACTGGGACCGTCCGTATTGGCCCGCGGCCGCAGGCCGTACTCGAACTCGGTGACGGGACTGCTATTGGATGCTTCACCGTTGGCAGGTTGGCCGTCCCGGTGCCGGCTGGCCTCGCCGACGCGTCTCGTATCTTCGTCGGCCGCCGCCGTTGTGCTTATGGTGCTGGCGGTGCTGCCACGGTCGGACTGCCGACGATCTGCGACGTTTTGCATCACGCGCAGCCAGTACTGCAGGTGCTCCTCGAGACCCTCTTCACGAGCAATCTCTAGGATCCTCTGCTGGTCGCCACCCGCGCGACGGTAAATTTGCATGTACTCATGGACGGTCGCGCCTCCTTCACTGGGTAGGGGAAAGTTGCGGTCGAAGTTGGGCAGAGCAGCGGCGCTGTTGCTTTTGCTTTTGTTTTTGCTGTTGCTGTTGCTGTTGCTGTTGCTGTTGCTGTTGCTGTTGCTGTTGCTGTTTCTGTTGCTGTTGCTGTTGCTGTTGCTGTTGCTGTTGCTGTTGCTGTTGCTGTTGCTGTTGCTGTTGCTGTTGCTGGCTGTGCTTGACATAGCATTCGCATTTGCGCTCGTATGGGCGTTTGCAGAGGAAGACGACTCGCCGGGCTCATCGCGATTTGCTAGCACATCTGTGTCGGGCACAGGCGGGCCATGCCGGAAATCGTCGTCGAAAATCGCGCCAAGGTCCAGACCGTTGCGTTCCGGGCCTTGGACCAGCGGCCTCAGAAGTTCGGCAGCGTCAATTTCTATCTCTGCGTTGGAGTCGGTTTCCCACTCCGAGTCGGATTCCAGACTATCGAACCCGGCATCGTTCATATCACGATGGTTGCCATGGTCGTGGTCATGGTCGTGGTCATGGCCATGATCATGGTCGTGGTCATGCTGATTATGGTGATTATGGCGATGGTGATGGTGGTGGTGGTGGTGGCGGGCACGGGCTCCTCTTGCCGGGCGCGGCGCATCTTGCGGCTGACCAGCATTGGGTACACCGGGAACGCCGGCAACATTCTCGTCACCGCCCATGCCGTCATCGTCGGCGGCGTTGAACGCTGCACGCATGTTGATTTCTGGCTGCTGCTGCAACACGTAATCCCGAACCAATATTATCAGGATAAAGCAGATGATGACCAGAAAGGTGATGAACTGACCCTCGAGGGCGTAAATAATCCACCTGTTCAGCCACCGGAACCGGGTCAGCTTGCGCAGAAACGCGACGTCGCTGAGCAAGGTCGGCGGGCCTGTGTTGGCAAAGTAGTCGTCCTCGGTGCCGTTGTCTGCGGTCAGCATGGACACGATCGCGGGCGCGCGGATGGACTCCATGATGACGCGGAAGGCAAGCGACAGGATCGAGAACGGAGTCGTCTGGTTGCCGTCGAGAACGCCGTAGATGTCGGCGACCGGCGCCCGCGCCGCGGCCATCGATCCGTTCACGAGGTCGCGGCCGACATGTGCAGCAGCGGATGTGGCTGCGGCCGTGGCCAGGGCAACGGACGAAGCCGCCGCCGCAGCCGAGGTGGCGTTGGCGTCGATGCCGTCCAGTGTTCTCGGTGGTGCGGCTACCAGGCCTTCCTCGCTGACCCAGAAGAAAAAGGACCACTCCCATCGCGTCAGGGCGGGCAGAAGCACCATCCACACGAAGAAGACCAGAACGACGCGCAACCACACGAGGATGTTGCGCAAGAAGTACTTGGCGAGGTGGCGGGCAAAGACGAGGACGGGCAGCTGTTTCGGCATCGCCGGCGAGTACAGCTTGGTGAAGCGGAAAGACGTTTTGCAGAGTTCGCAGTGCTTCTTTTGCGAGTGCGACAGCCATTCCATGAGGCAGTCCTGGTGGACGTATTTTATACTGCCGCTGCATTTGCACGGGTAGAAGAGAGGTTCTTGTGCAGAGGCCTCGCTGCGGCAGATGCGGCACGTGTCCGGTTCGAGGTTTTTGGCGGCCACATCGGCGGCGGCGGATGCAACAGCGCCACCATTTTGTGGGTTGACAAACTGCGTCTGTGTCGATGTACTGTGGGGGTCGTCAAAGGACGACCCGTCGAGTGTGTCGGCGTTCATTGTGGCCGAGGACGATCGGGTATCGGATTAGGGGGGTCCGTCCCCAGCGGCGGAGTAAAAAAAGTTGACGAGTATCGATGAACTTGCGCCGGAGCGAGCGGGATGATGTTCAGGGACACATTCCGGGAGCACAGCAACGCACGGTCCGGAGGAAGAAGAAGATGGTTTCGTTGAAAACGTGGTCTGGGGAGGGGAGGGGTGTGTTTGTCGTGGTTTTGATGGTGACGCCGGAAAGGATAATTAAAGTTCGAGAGGAGGATGGAGGATCGAATGATGAAGTTGGCGGCGACGTGGGTGGAACAGAACCTAAAAAAATAAAATTCGAAAGCGTAAAAGCAACCTGGTATCAATAAGGAGCGATAAGGAGGAAAGAAAAGTAATGATGGGTCGCGAAGTAGATGTCTGTGATGCCGTCAAAAGCGACGTGTTTTCATAGTCGAGTCGAAGAAAGAAGATGGGAGACAATGGCCAGACCCCAAGTCTGGTTGCTCCTTCCCTACGGAGAACATGTGCCTTGCCTGCGTGCGCGTGGGTCGCTCTTGCCTCAGTGAATTAGGTCATTGTTTTGGGGGGGCCTCGGGGGGGCAAGAGCGGGCGAACTAGGGGTGGCATCCACTACGACGTAATTTCGGTGAGGAAGGCGCTGTTGTAAGCCGGAAAAACCCCGACCGAGGGCAGAGCTGAATGGGCGGCCAGGCCAGTGTCCTAAAGGCTCCGCTTTTCAGCCAGACAGCACCTTCGGCCTGGTCCGCTGAGCTTTAGTGGTGACAGCTGTTAACACACAGCCGGAAAGGCACTGCCATACGTCGCAGAGGTGTCAAAGTTACAGTGACAAAGCTGTTTTGTTTTAGTGAGCTGTTGTCCACTACAGTTGACACGAACGGGAGTATCACAAGCCAGTGGACTGTGTGTAGCAGGCGTATATCTCATTATGATTACGCGAGCGAGTTGTGTTTATATTACGGTGTGCTTGGCTTTCAACAGCGTGCGGTTGTTTTTTGTTTTACAAATAGTTAGATTCTACCCATTTTAGCTTTGTCAAAGATGAAGTTGGAGATGGTGCTGGGCGGTGGTTTGGACGCGGTAAGCAGTGACTGTAATCCATTTTCGCTGCAGCACTATTATATACACTGTATGGTGCCTTGGGCCCCACTCGCCCTCCATTTCGCTGGGAGTTTCCCTAGCGCGTCGCCGCGACGCGTTAAGTGCTTTTTGCTGCGGTTTTGTCACGAGCTTCCTCTCTGACATCGATTGTATTACGAAGGCACGCGAATTGACAGCACCTGGACGTTGCGGCACCCGACAAGTCGAGCTGTGACAGACACACGCACACACATACACGTTCTCAACGAAAAACACCCACACCGATGGCCAGCTTCTTCGATCTCAAGGCGCGGAAGCAGGCCGCTGCGAGCGGCGCCTCGAGCAAGAACGAAAAGCAGACGACGGAGACACCGCGGGCACAGCCATGGGTGGAGAAATAGTGCGTTCAGACGTATCGGCTAGGTTGCAGGTGAAGGAAAGAAGAGGACGCTGACTCTCATAGCCGGCCAAAGTCGCTCAGCGACGTGACCGCCCAGGACCACACCGTCACTGTGCTACAACGGACACTGCAAGCATCCAACGTGAGTGTCTCGACGAGGGAAACGTTCTGCTCGGTGCATAGGACGATACTGACCGCAGCTCCAGCTTCCACACATGCTCTTCTACGGCCCGCCCGGTACTGGCAAGACGTCCACGATTCTCGCCCTCGCCAAGGAGCTGTACGGCCCCGAATTCATGAAGGCCCGCGTGCTCGAGCTCAACGCCTCCGACGAGCGCGGCATTGCCATTGTCCGCGAAAAGGTCAAGGACTTTGCCCGCATGCAGCTGACCAACCCGCCGCCGGGCTACAAGGCCCGCTACCCCTGCCCCCCCTTTAAGCTCATTGTGCTCGACGAGGCCGACTCCATGACGCAGGACGCCCAGAGCGCGCTGCGCCGGACCATGGAGACGTACAGCAAGATCACGCGCTTCTGCTTGATTTGCAACTACGTCACGCGCATTATTGACCCGCTGGCCAGCCGGTGCAGCAAGTTCCGCTTCAAGAGCCTGGACCAGGGCAACGCGCGCGCGCGCCTGGAGTACATTGCCGCCGAGGAGGGCGTGCCGCTGGCTGACGGCGCTGTGGACGCGCTCATCCGGTGCAGCGAGGGCGACCTGCGCAAGGCCATTACGTTCCTGCAGAGCGCGGCGCGGCTGGTGGGGGCGGTCGGCACCGCCAACACCAACGCAACCGGGAGCACAGGCGCCAAGAAGACCAAGGCGGCCGCACCCGACGTCGACGTCGACAGCATGGATGTGGACGACGTCGACGGCGACACGCTCGTGGGCACCACGTCGACGCCGCCTGTCACGGTGCGGATTGTCGAGGACATTGCTGGTGTCATCCCCGACAGCACGATCGACAGCTTGGTGGCCGCGATCCGGTCGTCCAAGAAGAGCGCCGGCACGGGCGCGACGTACAAGCCCGTGGCACAGGTGGTTGAGGACCTGGTGGCGGACGGGTGGAGCGCGGGCCAGGTGGTGGCGCAGCTGTATCAGTCGATTGTGTACGACGACACGGTGCCGGACGCGCAGAAGAACAGGATCATGCTGGTGTTTTCCGAAGTGGACAAGCGGCTGGTGGACGGCGCCGACGAGCACCTGTCGATTCTGGACCTGTCACTGCGGATCTCGGCCATCATGGGCGAGCGGTGAGACGTGATATGGTGTACTGGCGTGGATTGGGTGCACTTGATTATTCTTTGCTTGCGTTGTACAGCATAGGTCCAAAATCGGCATGGCATGGGCTTTCATTGAATGAGATTATTTGCTGTTGATTTCGTATTTCATCGCATCATGATCGTGACTAGTTTGCATGTACCTGGTCGTCGCTACCGACAACTGTCCCCCTTCAGCAGTCCCAGCTCGCCGTCCAGCTTGGCCCATATGTCGCCGCTCTTTTGTTTTTGTCTTGCGCCAGGCTTACGCGTCCCTCCTTTCTTGCCATCGTCGCCGTCGCCGTCGCCGTCGCCCTCGTCCTCGGGATTCCTTCCTAGCAGAAGCTCGGCCTCGACCAGGGATTGTGTGGCCCGTTCCAGTGCCACCTGGCCCTCCTCCACCTTTTCAAACACGGCTTCGAACGTGGCAATCTTGGCCGAGTCTGCCGCATTCGTCCATGCTGCAGCGCGCTGACTAGCTCCTTCTGCCGCTGCAGCAGTCGTCCCTTGTTCCGGAGCGAGCAATCCCTTTTTGCGGAGGAGGGCTGCACCACCGCGGGCCCCTCCGCTACCACCTCCGTTGTTGGCGGCACCGAACCGCGGAAGAAGCTGGCTCTCGTCGGCCAGGTGGTCGAGCATCTGGCATGTGTCCTTGAGCCGCTTCGCCAAGAGGACGTTGTAGTGCGCCTTGTGGGAAATGTCGGCCTTTTGGTCGCGGGCCACGGCCAGCAACCGTTCAAAGTAGGGTGCAAGCAATAAGTTGCCGAGTGCCGCTGCTTTTTCGGCGCCAGACACTGCTGGTTTTGGCGCTTGTGCAGCTGATGGTGACTGTGCTGTTGCAGCTGTGGGCGTACTTGGCGTGGTGGCGGCCGTGGCCGTCCTGTCGCCGCCCGAGTTTGGCAGCAGCTGCGGCATGTTGGCAAACAGCGGGTTGGGTGCCGCCGCCTTTGTCGCCCCCTCGTCGCTTGGCGCCATTGTCCCGACCGTGGCCACCAGAGCACGCCGTGCCTCGACGTACTGGTTGTACTTGTCACGGATGCCGTCCAGTTTGTCCTCGAGTTGAACTTTTTTGTCGCTGCCGCCAAGACCACCCACACCGCCGACCACTTCGTTCCCATGTAGTAAGCTCTGTCGGAGCTGCCGTGACGACTCGGCGGCCTCCTCATCTTCGTCAACCTCGTCGCCGGCATTGCTCAGCTCCGCCTCCATCCACGCAATGAGCTCGTTTCGCGCCACGCCAAGCGCCTGTAGCTTTGATGCTGCCGACGGGGATGTGCTCATTCGGCTTGACCGTTCCTTGGCGGCCGCCAGCCGCTTCTCTTCTCGTCGTAGGACCAGTTGTGCCCTCAATGCGGACTTTTCCAGCTGTGCCACCAGTCGTTCGAGGTCTGCTGCCACCACTTGTCTTGCTGCATCCGAACGCGTTGCGTCTTTCGACGTCGCTGCCGCACGCTCCATCTCATCCTCGGCCAGCCCGTCCACGACGGCCTTGGGCACGGACGGCAGTGTTGTGGTAGCGTCACCGTAGATAAATTCAGGGTGTAGATAGTCCTCGCCCGCAGCGACAGCCACCGGCCGCTCGCCCAGGGCATCGAGGTAACGGTTGACCACCTGTAGCCGGTCCCGTTTGCGGCCCAACTTGACCGTCGTCAGATGATCCTGGAGAATACCGATGCCGTCGGCAGACGATGCCGACAGCCCTGCATCATGACCTCCATCCAGTCCAGCGGCAGCAGCTGACGCTGTTGAAGACGCTGAAGACGCTGCTTGTGCTGCAGCCGCCGTTCGCTGGTCAAACTCCCTCCGCGCTTCTAGATTGGCCTTCAGCGCTCGCAGATAGGCCCGCTGTAGTCCCCGCGTCTCGGGCAGCGGTTCCGGGTCCCGAGACAGGTCAATCAGCGCCAGGCTGCCGTCCAAGGCATTGTCGTCGCTCTTAAGGCAGGCCGCCAAATGGGCTCGCAGGACGCGCCGGATGTGCGCCACCTCCTCACGAGGCCGCACAAACGGCTCGAGCGCCGCCTGTATGCGCCGTGCCGTGTCTTCAGGCGCGCTCATTGTCGTCTATGCCGAGGTGGTTTGCTCATAATCGACCGTTGTGTTTGGTCGTGTGTCTGAACGCGTTCCGATGTCGTTGACATATGCCTTACAGCGGTGTTGACCCCTGAAAGCTTCGGCCAATAGGCGCTGCGCCAGCTGGAGCTCTTGGTGGCGGGGCTGCGTGGACTACCGCTAGCGCCAGCAATTGAATTTACCGTTTTAGTTTTGAATAAATTTAATTCCTGTCGCCTGGCTTGCTGCTCGCCGCACCTTCCCTTTGTTTTCTGAAATTTTTAGCAGGCTCGCAGGCAGAAAAAACATCACCACTTGCCAAATCCCCCTCTCTCGCCAAATGCGCATCTGAATACGCCCGCATATCGACACCACCGCACTTTGAGACGATACACGAAATAGACTTGATACAATCCCCTCTTCTGGCGAGCGGTCTGGAACCCGAATTGGACGGTGCCGACGGATCCAACGCGTGCTGGGACGGCCTGGGAGAGGCTCGTGTTGTTTGCATTGCGTTTTCTCTTTTTTTGCATCGTCGGTAACAGCAGGACTACACCACACAGCAGGACCTCCAGCGAGCAGAGCACCACCTGTTCTGTGATTCCGGTGTCCTCCTGTACCTAACGATACCGACATATACCCGATTCCTACCGTCAACCCCCACCCACTGTCGCGATGTCGAACGCAAACTACGACCGCGATGTCTCACAGTACAAATACGCGGCCATGTCCAACCTGGTCCTCCAGGCGGACCGCCGCTTTGTCTCCCGGAGGAAGGACGAGCCGACAGGCGACCCAGAGTCCATGGCCGGCCGCCTGCAGATCCAGGACATGGGCTCGCGCATTGCCCGCGAGGCCGCCCCCAAGACAAAGTCGAAAAAGAACTCGGCCATGCCCGACGTGCAGCGCGGCGACTTTCGCGAAGGCGAGGCCGTGCTGCAGCGTGAGCAGCGCAAGCGCCAGGGCCAGACGGCCTTGCGCGGCACATCCATCCTGGCGGGTGCCGACCTGATCGTCGAGGGCCTGCGCTACCGGCCGCGGACAAGCGCCACGCGCGCCACATTCGAGCTGATCCTGTCGCTGGTGGCGCGCGTCTTGGGCGACGTGTCCCACGAGATTGTGCGAAGTGCCGCCGACGCCGTGCTCGAGTACCTCAAGGACGACGACCTCAAGGACTTTGACAAGAAGAAGGAGATCGACGACATCTTGGGCGAGAGCCTGAGCCCCAAGGCGTTCAACGAGCTGGTCAACCTCGGCAAGAAGATTACCGACTACGACGAGCAGGGCGACGACGACGACGCCGCAATGGCCGACGCGGGCACCAACGACGACGAGGAGATTGACGAGCGCCAGGGCGTCGCCGTGGACTTTGAGGAGGACGACGAGGACGAGGACGCCATCGTCAACGAAGTCCGCGACGCATCGTCGGAAGACGAAGACGACGACAACGACGACGAGGTCGGCGACGACGAAGACCGCCCGGACCTGGCCGAAGAAGCCAATGCTGGCGGGGCAGGCGTCGACCGCGACGAAGAGGAGCTGGGCTTTGTCGACGGCGACGCCATGATCATCGATCCCTCCGCCTCTGCCGCCGCGGCGAGCCGTGGCGGCCGGCAACCGGGCAAGAGCAAGGCCAAGGACGAGACGTTTGTGCCGGCGCGCGACATTGATGCATACTGGCTGCAGCGCCAGATTGGCCGCCTGTACCCCGACGCCCACGTCCAGCACGACAAGACGACGCAGGCGCTGCACATTCTGTCGGGTGAGCCGGACGAGCCCGAGGGCAGCGAAAAGCCTCTCCACGAGATCGAGAACGAGATGATGGAGCTGTTCGACTACGAACACCCCGAGGTCACGCAGAAGCTGATTGACAACCGCGAAAAGATTGTGTGGCTGACCAAGCTTGCACGCGCCGAGAACGACGAGGACCGTGCAACAGTGGAGCGGGAGATGGCCTCGGAAGGTCTGCGGTGGATTTTGAACGAGCTGCAGGGCAAGACGAGCGGCGACGACGCCACGAAGAAGGGCAAAATGGAGATCAAGATGGACGTCGACAGCAGCAATGCGCTCGCAGACGCTGACGGCGCCGGCAAGGGGACCAAGAAGGAGGACGGCAAAGAGGGCCAACTGGTCGGCGGTCTGCAGCCGCGGCGCACCATCAATCTCGACAACCTCGTCTTTGAGCAGGGCAACCATCTGATGACCAACCCGCGCGTGTCGCTGCCCGATGGCTCGACGAAGCGCGCCTTCAAGGGTTACGAGGAGATCCACGTGCCGCCGCCCAAGAAGCGCAGCGACCCCAAGGACAGCAACATCCCCATCACGGACCTGCCCGCCTGGGCTCGCGGCCCCTTTAGCACCGCCAAGACGCTCAACCGCATCCAGACCCGCTGCTACCCAGCCGCCTTCCAGGACGACGGCAACATGCTGATCTGCGCGCCCACGGGCAGCGGCAAGACCAACGTGGCCATGCTGACCATCCTGCGCGCCATCCACAACCACCGCGACCCGGAGACGGGCGAGATCGACCTCGACGCGTTCAAGATTGTCTACATTGCGCCGCTCAAGGCCCTCGTCCAGGAGCAGGTCGGCAACTTTGGCAAGCGGCTCGAGCCCTTTGGCATCCGCGTCAGCGAGTTGACTGGCGACCGCCAGCTCACCAAGCAGCAGATCGCCGAGACCCAGATCATTGTGACGACGCCCGAGAAGTGGGATGTCATCACGCGCAAAGCCACCGACCTGTCGTATACCAACCTCGTGCGCCTGATTATCATTGACGAGATTCACCTGCTGCACGACGACCGTGGCCCTGTTCTCGAGAGCATTGTCAGCCGCACGCTGCGCAAGACGGAGCAGACGGGCGAGCCCGTGCGCCTCGTCGGCTTGTCGGCCACGCTGCCCAACTACCGCGACGTCGCCAGCTTCCTGCGCGTCGACCCCCAGACGGGCCTGTTCCACTTCGACGGCACCTACCGCCCCTGCCCGCTGCGCCAGGAGTTTATCGGCGTCACCGACCGCAAGCCCATCAAGCAGCTCAAGACGATGAACGACATCACCTACACCAAGGTCCTCGAGCACGTCGGCAAGAACCGCAACCAGATGCTCATCTTTGTGCACTCGCGCAAGGACACGGCCAAGACGGCGCGCCACATTCGCGACAAGGCCCTCGAGCTCGAGACCATCAACCAGATCCTGAAGCACGACGCCGGCTCCCGCGAGATTCTGCAGGAGGCCGCCGAGCAGGCGGGCGACAAAGACCTCAAGGACCTGCTGCCTTACGGCTTCGGCATCCACCACGCCGGCATGAGCCGCGTCGACCGCACCGACGTCGAGGACCTGTTCGCCCAGGGCGCCATCCAGGTGCTGTGCTGCACGGCCACGCTGGCCTGGGGCGTCAACCTGCCCGCGCACACCGTCATCATCAAGGGCACGCAGGTCTACTCGCCCGAGAAGGGCAGCTGGGTCGAGCTGAGCCCGCAGGACGTGCTGCAGATGCTCGGCCGCGCGGGCCGCCCGCAGTTCGACACCTACGGCGAGGGCATTATCATTACGACGCAAAACGAACTGCCCTACTACCTGTCGCTGCTCAACCAGCAGCTGCCCATCGAGAGCCAGCTGGTCAGCCGCCTGGTGGACAACCTGAATGCCGAAATCGTGCTGGGCAACGTGCGCTCGCGCGACGAGGCGGTCGAGTGGCTCGGCTACACGTACCTGTTTGTGCGCATGCTGCGGTCGCCCGGCCTCTACCAGGTGGGCGCCGAGTACGAGGACGACGAGGCGCTCGAGCAGAAGCGCGTGGACCTGGTGCACTCGGCGGCGCTCGTGCTGCGCAAGGCCAGCCTGGCCAAGTACGACGAGAAGACGGGCCGGCTGCAGGCCACGGAGCTGGGCCGCATTGCGTCGCACTACTACATCACGCACAGCTCCATGGAGACGTACAACAACCTGATCCAGCCGTCCATCTCGACCATTGAGATGTTCCGCATCTTTGCGCTGAGCGGCGAGTTCAAGTACATTCCCGTGCGCCAGGAAGAGAAGCTGGAGCTGGCCAAGCTGCTGGGCCGCGTGCCCATCCCCGTCAAGGAGAGCATCGAGGAGCCGCACGCCAAGATCAACGTGCTGCTGCAGGCCTACATCTCGCGCCTGCGTCTCGACGGCCTCGCCCTCATGGCCGACATGGTCTACGTCACGCAGTCGGCCGGCCGCATCCTGCGCGCCGTGTTTGAGATTACGCTCAAGAAGGGCTGGGCCGGCGTCGCCAAGACAGCACTCGACCTGTGCAAGATGGCCGAGAAGCGCATGTGGCCGACCATGTCGCCGCTGCGCCAGTTCCCGAGCTGCCCGCGCGACATTGTGCAAAAAGCCGAGCGCATCGACGTGCCCTGGAAGAGCTACTTCGACCTCGACCCGCCGCGCATGGGCGAGCTGCTGGGCCTCCCCAAGGCCGGCACCACCGTCTGCCGCCTGGTGGCCAAGTTCCCGCGCCTGCAGCTGCAGGCCCAGGTGCTGCCCATTACGCGGTCCATGATGCACGTGAACCTGACCATCACGCCCAACTTTGCGTGGGACGACGAGGTGCACGGCCTGTCGGAGAGCTTCTGGATCATCGTCGAGGACTCGGACGGCGAGGACATTCTGTACCACGACCAGTTCTTGCTGCGCAAGGAATTCGCGCAGTCCGAGAACAACGAACACGTCGTCGACTTCACCGTGCCCATCACCGAGCCCATGCCGCCCAACTACTTTGTCACCGTCGTCTCCGACCGCTGGATGCACGCCGAGACGCGGCTTGCCGTGCCGTTCCAGAAGCTGCTGCTGCCCGACAAGTTCCAGCCGCACACGGAGCTGCTCGACCTGCAGCCGCTGCCCGTGTCCGCGCTCAAGACCAAGGACCACATGGCCTTGTACCCCGAGTGGCCCACCTTCAACCGCATCCAGACACAGACGTTCAACTCGCTGTACGCGACCGACCAGAACGTGCTCGTGGCGTCGTCGACGGGCAGCGGAAAGACGGTGTGCGCCGAGTTTGCGCTGCTGCGGCTCTGGGGCCAGCACCTGCAGCGGCAGCAGCAGGCCGGCACGGACGCGGGGGACAATGTGGAGGACGTGCGCGCCGTCTACGTGGCGCCGCTGCAGGAGCTCGTGGACGTGCGGTTCCGCCACTGGGAGCACCGCTTCAGCAAGCTGCGCGGCGGCGGGCGTGTCGTGGTCAAGCTGACGGGCGAGGCGACCCACGACCTGAAGCTGCTGCAGCAGGGCGACCTGATCCTGGCGACGCACGCGCAGTGGGACACGCTGGCCCGTCGCTGGCAGCGCCAGAAGCTCGTGCAGTCGGTGCGGCTGTTTGTGGCCGACGACCTGCACATGATTGGCAGCAGCGCCGCCCAGGGCTACCAGTACGAGCTGCTGGTGTCGCGCATGGCGCACATCCGCGAGCAGCTGTCGAGCCAGACGCCGCCGCTGCGCATCGTCGGGCTCAGCGTGTCGCTGGCCAACGTGCGCGAGATGGGCAGCTGGATCGGCGCGACCAAGCACGACATCTACAACTTCAGCCCCCAGGTGCGCCCCGTGCCGCTCGAGCTGCACCTGCAGTCGTACTCGGTGCCGCACTTCCCGTCGCTGATGCTCGCCATGGCCAAGCCGACCTACCTGGCCATCACGCAGCTGTCGGCGGCCCAGCCGGCGCTCGTGTTCGTCCCGAGCCGCAAGCAGACGCGGGCGACGGCGCGCGACCTGCTGCTGGCGTGTGTCGCCGACGACGATGAGGACCGCTTCCTGCACGTGGATCCGGCGCAGCTGCGGCCCCTGCTCGACAAGGTGCAGGAGGCGGCGCTGCGGGAGGCGCTGTCGCACGGCGTCGGCTACTACCACGAGGCGCTGAGCGAGACCGACCAGCGCATCGTGCGGCACCTGTTTGTCAACGGCGCGATCCAGGTCCTGATTGCGTCGCGCGACGTCTGCTGGGCGCTCGACTGCACGGCGCACCTCGTGGTCGTCATGGGCACGCAGTTCTTTGACGGCCGCGAGCACCGCTACGTCGACTACCCGGTCAGCGAGGTGCTGCAGATGTTTGGCAAGGCGCTGACGCCGGCGCGCGAGGCCGGCGGACGCAGCCGTGGCGTGCTCATGGTGCCCGCCGTCAAGCGCGACTACTACAAGAAGTTTCTGAACGAGGCGCTGCCGGTCGAGTCGCTGCTGCACGACAACCTGGCGGACGCCTTCATGACCGAGGTCAGCACCAAGACGATCACGTCCGGCGACACGGCCCTCGAGTGGGTCTCGACGACGTACCTGTACCGGCGCCTGTTTGCGAACCCGAGCTATTACAGCCTGCCCTCGCGCTCCGGCGACGCCATGGGCCAGTTCTTGACGGAGCTGGTGGAGGAAACGCTGCGCGAGCTCAGCGACACCAAGCTTATTACTATTGACGAGGACGAGGGCGCGGTGACGCCGACCAACGGCGCGCTCGTTGCCGCGCACTACAACCTGTCGTACATTACGATGCAGACGCTGCTGCTGTCGCTGACGGCGCGCACCAAGCTCAAGGGCATCCTGGAGATTGTGACGGCGGCGGCCGAGTTTGAGACAATCCAGACGCGGCGGCACGAGGAGGGCCTGCTGCGGCGCATCTACGACCGCGTGCCCGTCAAGATGGCCGCGGCCGCGGCCGATGGCGAGGTCGACTACAACGCGCCGTCCTTCAAGGCCTTTGTGCTGCTGCAGGCGCACTTTTCGCGCATGCAGCTGCCCATTGACCTGGCCAAGGACCAGGAGGTCGTCGTGCGCAAGGCCCCGAGCCTGCTGAGCGCCGCGGCCAACCTGCTGGTCGACGAGGGCCACCTCAATGCGCTGCAGGCCATTGAGATGATGCAGATGGTCGTGCAAGCCATGTGGGACCGCGACAGCCCGCTCAAGCAGATTCCACACTTTACGCCCGAGGTCATCAAAGTGGCCGGCAAGTATGGGTATGTTTTATGTCCTCTCCCTTCTCTTGCAATATATGTCTTTGTTTACGTCATGGCCTCCGCTAACCGTCCCCCCCACAGAATCAAAGATGTGTTTGATTTCATCGACAAGATGAACCCCGAGGAGAACAAGCAGTACGGCCGCCTCGTCAAGGAGCTGGGCCTGACCCAATCGCAGCTCGTCGAGGCCGCCCACTTCACCAACGACAAGTACCCGGACATGTCGCTCGACTTCTCGGTGGAGGACGAGGACCAGCTCGAGACCGGCACCGATATGTTCCTCAAGGTGACGCTGGCACGCGAGGAAGACGACGAGGAGGACGACGACGCCGACGAAAAGAAGGACGACGACGAGGCCGAGTTTGACAACTCGGTGCACGCGCCCTTCTTCCCCGGCGACCGCACCAGCGGCTGGTGGCTGATTGTCGGCGAGGAGAGCACCAAGACGGTCATTGGTATCCGCTACGTGACGGTGGGCCGCAAGCCGCTGAATCTGCGCATCAAGGCGCGCCTGCCCGACGAGCCCGGCAAGCACACGTTCAAGCTGTACCTGATGAGCGACAGCTATGTGGGTGTTGATCAGGACCCCTCGTTTACGGTCAACGTGGCCGAGGGCATGGACGAAGACAGCGAGGAGGAGAGCGGCAGTGAGTAGAGGGAAGGGCCGGACCATGGGCAAGGGTGCGTTCAAAGCGAGACTACAAAACGGGACTTGGGTTTGCGTTTCGAGGCGATGCACATTTACGGAGTTGTATTTGGCTACTATGTTTTACATCTGTTATGTCTGCTATAATATGTTGTTTCTCTCTACATCGCCATATCGGCCACCCTGACAGATATGCGACCCAGTCTCCGAAGCCTCTTGAACTCCCGAAGAGAAAAGAAGTGGCTGGTGACTGTCGTGAGACTCCTCAACAATGCACTATAGCTACTCTCATGCGCTGCGCTCTGATTGGCTGGAGTCGTGGCAATGCGCACGGACCAATAGAGAAGCTCTGCCACCATTAAAGAGAGCCAGTTTCCGACCGATCGCGCCTGCTTTGTTTTTGTGTCGATCCACCCCTCTCCGCAACGGCAAGTCAGCAGGAAGAGACGATCCGAAGAAGGGGCGACCAGCCGTTCGCCGGCAGACTGAGCCACAGGATTCGCCGTCATCGCCGCAAAATAACGTGACTTGCAAGCGGCAAAAAGTTGGACGTACTTTTCCATCTCGTAACTCGTCCCTTGTTGGACCTTTTGTCTTCTTTCTTGCCGTCTTTCATCATTGCAATTCCATCAAGCATCCAGCATTTTTGCACCCCATCATCCCATCATCCCGTCACGAATTGGTCCCCCAGAGCTCCCACGGAGCTCCCTCGAACCCCCCCCGCCTATAATATCCACATTGCGGCGAGCGCCTGAGCTCTTAGACGGTCGTTTCAGAGACTAATCGTCTGCAACCAGAGAGTGCAGCTACAACAGGATAGTCAACTGCATTGCCCTTTCTGTTCCATCAGCACAGAGACCAATCGAGCGACCACCGTCATCCAACCGATCCGTGCCTCGACTGCTCCTATCTCTCTTCAGCTCGTCTCGACCTACACTTTTCCTCCATGGCCGACAGCGTGCCCGACCAGCCGACGCAAGCTGCGGCAGCCAACAGCAAGCCCGAGATTGCCGGTCTTACCGTCGGTGAGACGGCTGCCAAAGACCTAACGGAAAAGACCGAAACGGCTGGCAAGGCCGAGACGCACGATGCGTCCAGCGCCGAGAAACCAGCCGCCGGCGAGGACACCACAGCAGCTCCTGGTCCTGCCGTGAATGACACCAAGAGTGCCGAGCTGCACGACAGCACGACACACACCAAAGGTATTGCTTGATTGGATAGCTGTCGCTCGTCTGCGTTGTGAATTTTCGTATTTTATTTGCATTAAATAATGCTACCCTGCGTGTTCGCAAGGTGGACGCACCCACCTCCTTCCAACCCCTGGTCGTTCCTGTCTTCTTTGTTTTTCGTTGCTGCTCTCCACAGGCGGCTGTGCTCCACTTAATCGCAAACCCGCCTTTCCCATTTCCCGTGTCCTGCTCGCTCTTTCTGCTCTCGTCGCGCGCTGCGTGTGTCTTTCCCTCACGTTCTCTCTGCCTTGTCGCTCCTTCCGCATCCAATTGCTCCAACTTTGCACACCCCCCCCCCTTCCTGACAGTGTGCTCTGACTGGCGCGCCTTGTTCGCTCCTTCTGACCCTCCTAAACTTGCGTCTTTCCGCCCGGATTTTGGATTTTGGGTGTCTCTTTGCTTTCTCCTCGCACACTTTCCTCTTCTTACTTCTCTCCCTGCCTCTTAGCACGCGCGCATTTCCTTTTCCCCACGTCACGCGAAAGTCAACGCAGCCACACAAAAAAACACAACCACGTCCCTAACAACGTCCTCGAACTTACTTTCCATCAACAAACGCCAAAAGTATTGTTTTCGCTCATCAACGCGGCCACTATCACCATCGCATTTTTGTTTTGTTTTTTTGGCATCCATTGCTGCCGTTGGACGACAGGCCATCGCTAACCATCAATTCCATTCGCTTGTGTTTCGCAATTGCGTGTTTCTAGCTCCAACAGACGCATTATCTATCCAAGACCAGCCACCCAAGGCACCTGCCGACCACACCGACAGCACAATGGCCGAAGCCGCCAAGGACGACAAGGCCCCGACCTCTCCGTCGGCCGTGGTCAAGGATGCTGCTGCCCCTGTAAAGGAGACCGGCGACGACGTGAAGGCAGACGGTGCCAAGGTAGAGGCTGCGGCCGACGCCACGGAGACGCGTGCCGACGATGGCGAGAAGGAGGCTGAGAAGGAGACAGACGCCGCGCCTGCCGGAGCAGAGGGCGGCGACGCGGCCGCCACGCCGTCCAAGACGGCAAAGACACCCACGACATTGGCGCGTCGCAAGTCGGTCGGCCAGAAGCTGAACCGCAAGGGTTCCAAGGCGCGGATAGTCCACCTGGACGCGAAGCCGGGCGACCACTACTTTGTCAAGCTCAAGGGCTACCCGGCGTGGCCCGCTGTCGTCTGCGACGAGGACATGCTGCCGCAGACGCTGATCAAGGGCCGCCCCGTCACGGCCGCGCGCCCTGACGGCACCTACCGCGAAGACTATGCAGACGGCGGCAAGCGCGCTGCGGACCGCACGTTCCCGGTCATGTACCTCTACACAAATGAATTGTAAGTTTTGTTCTCTGCGATGATTGACACGTTTGGAGAGTTTCTTTTTTTCCCCAGTTTGGCAACTAACTTTCCCCCCTCTCCAGTGGCTGGGTGCCCAACACGGATATGATCGATCTCGACCCTGAGAAGGCCTTGGCCGCCATCAACGACAAGATGCGCAAGGACCTGCAAAAGGCCCACCAACTCGCCGCCGAACACCATCCCCTGAGCTACTACAAGGACCTGCTGCGCCAGTTCCAGGAGGAGCTCGAGGAAGCCGAGGAGGCCAAGCGCCAGGCCGCCGAGGCCAAGCGCCTGGCGGCGTCTACGCCCAAGAAGTCGAAGAAGGCCCCCAAGGAGGACGTCGACATGCTCGACGTGCCTGAGGACGACGACGAGCAGCCCACGACCGCATCGAAGAAGAGCAAGAAGCGCAAGGCCGAGGAGGACACCCAGACGCCGCAGCGGTCGGACTCGGTGAAGAAGCCCAAGATCAAGATTACGTCGTCGGGGACGCCCAAGAGCAACGGCACGCCCTCGTCGTCCGCCAAGGCCAAGCAGACGTCCAAGGCGTCAGCCGTCAGCAAGTCGACCAGCAAGGAGGCGGCGGCGCTCGCCGAAGACCTCGACCCGGAGGAGAAGCGCAAACGCAAGGCAAAGGAGGTTCTGTTCCTGCGACACAAAATCCAAAAGGGCCTCCTGACGCGCGACCAGGCGCCCAAGGAGGACGAGATGAAGACCGTGTCCGACTACCTGACAAAACTCGAGGGCTTCCCCGACCTCGAGGTGGGCGTCATCCGCGAGACCAAGATCAACAAGGTGCTCAAGGCCATCCTCAAGATCGCCACCATCCCGCGCGAGGACGAGTTCAAGTTCAAGCCACGGTCGCAGACTCTGCTCGAGAAGTGGAACAAGCTGCTTGCGGCCGAGCCCGCGGCCGACGCTGCTCCTGCGCCCGCTGCGGCCAACGGTACCGCAACGACCAACGGCAACGGCGAGGCCAAGTCCAATGGTGTCGACAAGGACGTCGAGAAGAAGGAGAAGAGCGACAAGGCCGGCTCAGAACCCGCCGCCGAGAGCGACAAGCCCAAGGAAGAGGTACGTTGAGGGGCACACCGGGATGCTTTGCTGATTCGCAATGTTTTTTTCTCCATTTGCTGACACTATTTGCAGCCCGCGGCCGTTGAGGCGACAGCATAGTGTCTATCACTGAAACTAGGTGACTGCTGCCCTACGCAAACGAAACTTGTTCAACGGACTACACACGGTCTGTTAATGAGCACCGTCGTCTCTGGATGAAAAACGCAGTTGTTTCATATCGTTCCTTCTACGCCCCGTCTCCTATCCTTACGTCACTTTTTGATGCTGTCTTTTCTTGTGTGTGTATTTTTGGTATTTTGGTAAGGCTATTTTGCGCACATGTTTTGCTCTGGTGCTATTTTTCTGTTATTGTTTCTCTCCAATTGCTATATTTCTACTTTAGTATTTACCATCGGATCGCCCTCTTTCTTTGTCCTCTCTTGTCCCTTGTGCGTCTCGTGTTCGTCCGTCCACGTTTGTCTGTATCCTCTTTGTGTATTCGTTCTTGATCTATTTCCAATTGGTCTTTTTTATGTTTATTGGGATGAATAGGTTTCTCTATATGTTTTATTTTTGTCGGCTGGGATGAAGGATCCGGGTTGCCAAAAAATGAGAGTGAGTGGATAGAATTGTCCATTGCATGCATGCTTCCTCCTTTCTGTCTGATTGGAAGGGCGAGCAGGACGGCAAGATGTAAAAGACGGAAAATAGCAAATCAAAAATACTTTATAATCTATATATGCAGCAGAGACACGATGATTCCTTTCGTCAAACGATGATGGATCGGAAAAAGAAACTCTATCAGCGTGCAGAACGATGGTCTCATTGATTGTGCCGTAGTTCCATTGGAGCTCCTATCTCTAGCCGTGCATATATTTTGCTCGTTGCTCGTAACAATCATGTTGACTCTTTGCTCCTTAAAGTTAAAAAATTATATGACGTACACTGTATAATAGATGTGAACTGGCTCTTTGCAACTGCAAAGTAATTACAGGTCAATGGAAGGAGCGTGGTCTTGCTGGTTGAGACGAGACCCGCTTTTATAGCACTTCTCGACGCGCGACGCGCTTTTTACGGCAGCTTTCCGCGAGTGGGTTCGCCACGTGACCACTTTACAGCTGTTTACTCCTTACGGGGTAACATCATGTCCAAGACGACACCTCACAAATGCGCAGACAGCCTCTTGCCCATTATCCCACAGTTCATTCGCAATGGCTGCTTCCGCTGGCGAAGATGCAGAGACAAGTATTGTCCACCAGGTAGGCTCCTCCCTGTCTTTTTCTGTGACAGCGTATCCCTGCTAACCCCCAAAGGTCGCCTACATTTTCAACCCGTCCGATGATGAGGATGATGAAGCCAACAATGGCGAGAATCGAGGTGCCACAACGTCGCCATCGGCATCCCGCAGTAGCAGAAAGCATGGCCGGACCAATGATCGGACGCCAAAGTCCAAGAAGCGGCGAACGGCCAAGGGCAAGGCAAAGGTTGGCGGTGACGGTGAACAAGACCGCGACGGCGACGGTGATGAGAACGCCGGCGACGACAATGCGCTGGCTGCATTCCCACCCCTCCTTCAGGGCCGCGAAGCGCCCGAGGCAGTGGCCCGCCGGCGACAGCTATTTAACTCTCTGTGGGCCCAGCTCGATGACCGGATCCAGGTACGTGACGGCGCCCAGTTACATGTATCTGCGTCCACGGAGTACGTCATCTAACAAATGCAGACTGTCTTGCAACGCTCTAATCAAGCGACGCTAAGTGCCGTCATGGACTTTATTGAGAAGCCAACGCAGTACGTATTGCCACTGATGGCACCTTGAGGTGTTGTAAAGATGTACAGTGTACTTAGGGTCCTAACAAGACAACTAGAACAAAACTACCGGCGGCATTTGTCATTCTCGGCCCTGCTGCCACGACGGATATGCTACTTTTCCGCCAGCTGTCTGCTGCGCTCACTGAGAGCGAGAAGACCATCAACCGCGACAGCAGCTCCAAAGGCAAGGATCGCTGTGTCCGCCGCATCGTCCGTCTGCGTGCGGCCGAAGCACCAAATCTGCGTGCCGCTCTCAAGACAATCGTGCAGGTTGCCTCCTCCGTGCCATCTCCTGGAAACGGTGTTGACGACGGGGGTGCGGACGAAGACGACGTCGTTGCCCACAACGGTAACAAATACCTTGCCTACGACCTCGAGGCCGTGGCGGCAGCCATTAGTGACCCAGGAACCTCACGCATCGTTGTCGCCTTTGAGGACAGTGAGGCATTCGATGGCGCGCTGCTAGCCGACCTGATCAGTTTTCTGCACTCCTGGTTCGACCGCATTCCTTTTGTTCTCCTGTTTGGGGTAGCCACGTCCGTCGATCTCTTCCAGGCACGGCTACCCAAACAGGCCGCTCACCGTTTGTCCGCAGCACAGTTCGACATTGCACCCTCGTCGGCCGTGCTTGATCGGTTGGTCCGTTGTGCCGTTGCGGCAGCCGATATACCACTACGAATTGGCCCTTCGTTGCTTCGCAGCCTTGCTGAGAGGCAAGACGAGCAAGTAACGGGCGTCTCGGTGTTTGTTAACTCGTTGAAGGTAGGATTCACATATCTCATCGTTTTGTCGTGTCTCGGCTGTTTTGTCTAACAGGAAAAGTACGCCTATATGTGCTATTTTTACGCCAACCCGCTCAGCGTCTTCTTGCACGATATTGGAGACAGCACCGCAACAACGGCCCAGGACGCTCTTCTCCAGAACACAGACTACCTCACGGCCTTCCGCCAACTACCCTCGTTCCGGCGCCACGTCGAAGCCCTCGTGACGGATGGTGATATTGATGTGGCCAAGCAGCTACTCAGTGATACTCCAGATCAACAACAATTCCTCCGGCAAGCCGTAACCGACCAATTGCAGTACCAGCGGTGTTGGAACGAGCGGATAGCACGTGCTGTTCATCTCGCCGCGGCCAGCGGCGTGTTCCCTGGTCAGTCATTTACTGAACTCTACATCACAGCCCTCGAGGACCAGCGTGGCGCAAACCAGGATGCATTCACGCTTGATGACGACGATTCGTCAGTGGCTGCGACTATGACAACTGCCATCCGGCGCATGTCGTCTTCGGAACTGGTCACTCTACTCCGGCGCCTCATTGCTGTCGTAGAGGCTGGCGATCCAGAGCTTGCACTTGAGGCGCCACCGGGCGACACCGCCGAGCTTGCTGGCGACGTGGATCCGTATCAGGCAAGCTGGGCCACGCTGCCTTCCAACCTTGCTAAGATTGCGGGCCAGATTGAGGAGCTTCAGAAGAAGCTCGAGGCGAGCTATGCCAACCGGGCTCGGAGTCGGATCATGAGCCTCAAAGCTGCCGGTGGAGGTCCGTCCAGCCCCGGCGGTGGTGGCGGCCCGCCCCAGCTGCGCAGCAAGTACACGGCCCAAAGCAAAGTTTTGCGCACGACCGTTGTCGCACAAAAGGTCCAGCTAAGCCGTGACTCTATGGCCTTGACCGAAGAGGACCAGACATTCACGGAATTGGTCGATGCCGCCGTCGCTGCTGTTGTTGGCGTTGTCGACGTTGAGCCAGCGACGGCCAGTCGTGCGGCAGTGGCCCCATCCTCACTAGCAACACCCTCCTCGTCGCCAGCGAGTCGTCTTTGGTTGCAGGAGGTCTGGTTATACAACGCCCAAGCACCGTACCGCGACGTTTTTATCCCGCGCCCCGGTCTGGTAGTAGAGCGGGCGCTTGCGCGGCCGCACGACTACCTGGCTTGCGAGTGCTGTGCTGGGACGGAACCTTCCAAAAGTACGTCGTCGAAGAAAAATGGTGACACCGAGAGAGGTAGCATCCGGCCTACACTTCCTGCGACCGCCATCCTCTACCAGCTGTACCTCGATGCTGGCCCGCTGATCAATGTGGCCGATTTGTGGGAGGCTTTCCAAAATGCCGTCTCAGAAAACGGCAACAGACTCAAAGACAAAGTTGGTAATGAAATTAAAAACAAAGAGGCTGCAGCAAACAATGGCGACAATGCAGCCGAGGGTGAGGAAGAAGCCGAAGACGACACATTGGAGCGGCGGCACCTTGTCCAATTTTATCAGGGCCTCTCTGAGATGAAGACGCTGGGCTATATCAAGCCCACACGACGCAAGGTCGACCATGTCGCCAAAATCAAGTGGCTGTAGGGAGCATCCCACAAAAACCGACAACAATAGAACGCACGTTTCTTTGATGCCCTTTGTAGCCGTCGTCAATAAACGCATTTCTTTTCGATTCGCCTTTGACCCGTCTTTGATGGCAATCTTGAAAGACAAGCAAAGCATATGCAATACGGGACAAAGGACTTGTTCAAAGAGTCCTGCCGGCACTCTATGTCCTGAAAACCGCTGCATGTTCTATCTTTGAATTTTCCGCATCGAGGCTCCCCTGCCCTTTATGGCCTGAAGAAACAACGAAAGGGGGCGGATGCGAGATCTCGGCCTGGGGCAACCCAAAACAGACTACAGCCTTTCTCGCACTCTCGCACTCGTGCTCCTTTATCTCGACGACAAAGCACAGTTTAAAACAGACAAACGACAGAGCATCAGATGAGACCACCAGGCATTGCAGCTGCATCGACGTACAGTGCTGCCTCTTTTGCTCTTTTCGTGCTTTTGTAGTCTCTCCAGTATTTTAGAATGGTCTCCCCCGTTCTTTTTCGATGAACAATCTCTTCCATCTCCCCAATGCCGACATCCATCACCAAGCCACCACGACAACTGCTCATTTTCTAGTCTTTTCCTTGTCCCTGTCAGTTACCCTATCTGGTAGCTGTTCCTCCTCGTCTACCACCAAGATTAGAAACGGGAAATAGAAAACCATTTCTCGCTCTTCTCTCACCACATATTATTACACATTATACTCAACACGATGCCGTCTCTCGCTTCCCGTCGAATAGCCCGCCGCCCAGCCCTCGAGGCCAAGCTCGCGCACATGGCCCAGGAGCTTCAAGCGCTCGTCAACAACCAGACGGGCATCGCCCATCGCGACTTTCCCCTCACCATTGTGCAGTTCTGGCTTCTCACCGACGAACAGCTCGAAAGCCTCGCCAGTTTCTACCACCAGCGCACACCCACGCCGTGGAAGTACTGCTACCCATGCCCAGTGGAGTGGCCACGAATCGGCCTGACGCTGGAGGACAAGCGCCGCAAGTTTGGCCGCTTCATCGGTCTGCGCGGCTGTGACACGCCACGGCGGCCGACCGGCTCGGGGCACCTGGGTCGCCGCCAGAGCTCGCCCAGCCCTGTCAAAAGTTGTCGCGGTGACTGTCGTATGTCATGGGATGACGAAACGATCTGCATGCCCTGCAGCATGCGCAAGATCAACAGGATCGTTGCCGGCGACGACATAAGCTCCAGCGATAACATGTGCATAGATGTCGACGAAATGAAGAGGGACCCCGACATGGACACCAATACGGACAGCAACATGGACGACTGCGAAATGTCGTCCAGCGAGAGGTCCTACACGAGGCCCGAGTCCAAAGACCTTACCGTCGACGAGATTATCGAGCATGCCCAGCGGACACGCCTCCAGGCCAGCGCCAGCGAAGAAATTATGCGTCGCAAGACAGGCCACTACTAGGGTCGACTGTCGTCAGTCGTTTGTCGACTGATTTTCGCTTTTATGAATCATTTTTTATCCATTTCACTTCTGCATGCGTCTGTTTCTTTGTATAGGCCGTGAGCGTTTTCACATATATATATACATGTCTTCAATCTGTCGCCTTTGATTTCTTTGTACGCATATTTCCCTTCAAGCGACGGATGCATATGCGGCTCCTTTGTTTAGAAAAACAGCCTTTTCTTTTTCACGACTACAGCCTGGCGTTTTCCATTTTATTTACATTACAATTCAAGACTATTGGTTTACATACTCAGTTTTACAATTCCCACGGATTACCACAAGTCATCAAATCCAGCATATCATGTGAGAGCAATATCCATTTATAACGCAAGTAATAACATACGCAACAGCGGAAAGAAAAAAAACTGCCGTGCCCCAAACGCCATGGTCTAACAAAAATCAGTGCTCACGATCTCGGTGTCGTCCTGTCATTCACTATCTTTTCTTTCTGCCTTTCCGTCCCCCCATCGCCGCTAATATTGTACACTGTGCAATCTCGTATCTTTTATAAATCTGTGGGATGTATTGTGATCGGTCACTTTCGGCGGGATCGGGACTTGAAGCTCTATTTCTTGCCCTTCTTCTTCTTGCCGCTCGGCGTTGGATGCGTTGATGCCGGGGCCGGGGCCGGTGCCGGTGCAGTTGCCGTCGCAGGTGTGTCCACAAGCACCGTGTCGTCCTCAGAGGTCTTGCTCGCCCCGGTCGGCGAAGACGGGCCCTTTGCGTCTTCGGTCAGAGTGGCCGCGGTGGCCTCACCACCGGCCGACGGCGGCATCGACAGCTTGCGTTTCTCCCACCACGCCTTCTCTGCGGCCGCCTTGTCCTGCACGGCGTCCAACTTCGTGCGCAGCAGCTCGTTGGCGGCAATCGCGTTGGCCGTCTGGAAAATAATCTGGCCCCAGTTGGGCACCAGCGCGTTGGCCTCCATCACCACGTCGCGCAGCTCGTCCTCCATCTCCTTCTCGGCCCGCAGGAACCGCTGCCAGAGGTCGTCGCCCACGCTGCCGCGCTGCAGCAGCGACTGGCAGGCCTGCTTGCCGGTGCGGATCTGGATGATGCGGTGGATGTCTTCAACAGCACGGCGCAGCAGCGCGGCGCGCAGCACAGTGTCGGGGACCTTTTGGGGTTTGTCCGAGCCCGGCTCGGGCTCCATGTGCAGCAGCGACAGGTAGACGTTGCGCTGGAGGTGCGGCGGGAACCAGGGGCTGAGGCTGGCACTCTGGACGGCCTTGCGCCGGCGGTAGATGGTCGAGAAGGCGGCAAAGGTGCCGCCAAGCACGAGCAGATAGGCGACGGGCAGAACGAGGCCCTGCCAGTCGACAGATGGGAACCCCATTGTGGATTGTCAGTCTTGTGTGCGATAATGTGTTGGTTGTGCTTTCGTTTGTTCTTTTGTTCGTTTACGCGGAGGAAAGGATTGTCGAGATGGTGTGGATGGGCCTGGAACAAAAACGCGGGAGGTCGAAAAAGAAAATAGGCAAGGTATAGAAATCGTAGTAAAGAGTGACAAGAATGAGAAGGTCCGTCGGTCAAAGGAGAGGACGACCGTCGTTGATCGTTTTTCGTTACGGTGTCGAGAAGTTTGAAGATGGCGAATGGCGGCACGCAAGAAATTCCCATACAGAACACAGGAGGCCCTTGCGGTCCGCGAACGCCCCTGGCGCAAAAGGACAGCTAACAGCCTTGAACCCTTTCCTCGCCATGCTCTGTGCGCTGATTGGTTAAATTATTTATTAAGCAAGCGCCACAGCGCCCACGCCACAGGCGCCACTAGACTTTCGTCACAGCTAGAAACACAAGGAAAGAGGGACAGTGCGCGGTGGGGCACTCGCGTTCGAGCTTCAGGCAATGACGGTTATGACGATTGCTGATAATTGACTATTGCGCACAAGCTCCTTCCTCACTAATGCACAACATCGACTTGGTGACTGCCACTTTTGTTTCTCAACCTACTACATCTCTATCACTTGCACTTTCGAAATTTCGCAATCGTCTACACCTAACTCTTATTGCACAGGATCAGCATATCACCCAAACTCGACAACCGCTACCGGCGCATCACATCACAACGCATGCCACTCGGAGCTTGATCATCCACGACCGCCGCGATGTTGCTCCGCTTTCGCGGGCCCGACGGCATGATCCGTCAGGAAGCCGAGAAGACTGACACATTTGGCAGCATCATGCTCAAGGTACGTTGAAGAGAGCTTCGTTTCAATGCGAGGGCAAGGTGAGTCGCAAGCGTTTGCTAACTGCTCCAGCTGCTGCCTAAGCTTCCACCGACGGTCGACCCGACCACGATCACAGTGTCGAACAACCCGACAAATAAGGGTGAGAAGCGGAAGGTGGCCGATGTGGCCAACGTACCCATCAGCCAGACTGGTCTAGGGTATGTAGCATCGAGGAATCAAGGACACCGTGATGCTCCACAGGTCTCGATCCCAGCTAACACCAGCAGCCACGGTGACATGGTCTTTTTGGAGTACAAGCACAAGGAAGACGACTCCAACGGCCACTCAAACGGGGCCGCCACTTCCGCCAAACCTCAGACACTCTCCTCGTCCTCCAACCGCCTCAATGGCCAGCCCGTCCTGCCCGCCGAGGACCGTCCGATCGACCCGCTTCCTGCAAATGCACCCTCGACTTCAACCTCGATCTCGGCGGTGGCCACGCGCATAAAAAATCCTTGGGAGGTGGTGAAGCAGTCCAAGCTTGACGACACGCTCGACAAGCTCGATGGCAAGATCCCGCGGAAACGGGACCCCAAAATGTGCCGCCACGGCGCCAAGGGCATGTGCGACTACTGCCAGCCTCTCGACCCGTTCAATGCAGGTTACCTCGACGAGCACAAGATCAAGTACCTGTCCTTCCACTCCTACCTGCGCAAGATCAACTCGGAAAAGAACAAGCCCGAGCTCGGCGCCTCGTTCATCCCGCCACTGGTCGAGCCCTTCTTCCGCGTCCGGCCCAACTGCCCGTCTGGTCACGCGCAGTGGCCCGAGGGCATCTGCAGCAAGTGCCAGCCCAGCGCCATCTCCTTGCAGCCACAGACGTTCCGGTCTGTCGATCACGTCGAGTTTGCGTCACCAGCAATCGTCGACTCGTTTATCAACGCGTGGCGAAAAGGCGGTGGTCAGCGCCTGGGCTACCTGTACGGTCGCTATGAGCAGTATGAGGTGGTTCCGCTGGGCACAAAGGCTGTTGTTGAGGCCATCTACGAGCCGCCGCAGGTCGACGAGACCGACGGCGTGTCGTTGAACCCCTGGGAGAACGAGCAGGAGGTCGACGCCGTGGCCAAGCTGTGCGGCTTGGAGCGGGTTGGCGTCATCTGGACGGACCTGCTCGACGCGGGTGCCGGCGACGGGTCAGTGGTGTGCAAGCGCCACGCTGACTCGTACTATCTGTCTTCGCTCGAGGTCATCTTCGCCGCACGGCTGCAGGCACAGCACCCCAAGCCTACCAAGTGGAGCGACACCGGCCGCTTTGGCTCCAACTTTGTGACGTGCGTCATCTCCGGTAACGAGGAGGGCCAGATTAGCATTTCTGCCTATCAAATGTCCAACGAGGCGGTGGAGATGGTGCGCGCTGACATTGTGGAACCGTCGGCCGAGCCTGAGTCGATGCTCGTGCGCGACGAGGAGGAGGACGACGGCACGGTCAGCCGCACGCGGTATATTCCCGAGGTCTTTTACCGCCACATCAACGAGTACGGCGCCAACGTGCAGGAGAATGCCAAGCCTGCGTTCCCTGTCGAGTACCTATTTGTCACATTGACGCACGGCTTCCCGCACGAGTCCAAACCTGTCTTTACTGACCTGGCCTTCCCGATTGAGAACCGCGAGTACATTGGCGAGAGCCAGGAGCACTCGGCCGTCGCGCGTATGCTCCAAGCCAAGTCAGGCAAGGCGGACGCCAAGGACCTGCACGTCTCCAACTTCCACCTCCTATGCGCCCTCCGCAAGATGGATGTATTGTCAAAGGTAGGGCCACCGTCAACCGTCACGCGCAGCGTACGTATTATTTTGCATCTGTTTCTAACATATCCAGGACGAGGAAGCCCTGCTTTGCCGCGTCGCGACCCAACACGACCTTGCCGACACGTTCCAGCTGCAGTCCACACCCGGCTGGCAGACGCTGTTGATGATCCTGCAATCTGCCGGTGAGCGAATACCCAAGCGACCCCGACAGGACAGAGAGGAGGACATGGAGGACATCCAGTACCTAGGCACCGTGCGACGAAGCAAAGAAGACTTGGACGAGAGACGCATTCCTCGCAGTGGCAGTTTGAGAATGCGGAGTGGCAGCACCAGCGCAGCAGGTGGTAGGAGCCGCAGGGAAAGTGAGAGCAGAAGAAGCAAAAACAGTGACGGCAGTGGGCGTCGCAGTGACCAGGGCGGCGGTGGTGCAGATCCTGCCATTTTTTCTCCTTCTCCTTCTTCTTTGTCTCCGTCCATGTCGCCAGTGGCCGCCGATGCTCCTCCGTCTAGATCCTCTTCGGTCTTACCGTCGTCCCTCCACACCCAACCCCTCTCCTTTTCTTCTATCCCTCCCCTCCACCGTGCTTCTTCATCGGCATCTATCGGCGCCAACCGTGACACGGAATCTGGCGAACCCCTTGCTAAACGATTTGCTGCCGTTAGGCTAAACGCGCGGTCGCCGGCGTTGTCGAACCGCGCGACCCCCGATTCCACAGGGAACGGCACGGCCGGTGCCATCGCCACAGACCCCGCAAGCTCGTCTTTGAGAAAACCGCTTTCCCCATCGGGTACGGACAAGACACCGTCTACGAGTTCAAAGCACAAGGAGGAAGAGGAGTCGAGGGATTAAATACGGTCAATGGAAAACAAGGGCCGATGAATGGTGATGCTGGCAGCCGGTTTGGAATTGGGCGCTAATTATTATATCATGCGAGATAGGACAATGGTATGCCCGGTATGGATCTGGGCAGAGAGAATACAATAACAAATTGTACGGAGCATGTTGGAACGAAGGGGATTTGCTGATTGTGTGAAGACGGCCATCGTAGCTACCAAAGAGGTGAACCATATAACCACACCTAGTGGAACACAAGCAATATAGATGAAGAGTGGCATTAATGTGTGCAAAGAAATCCAAAAAAGAAACTATACGCAACACGACCGCGGCTTACAGAAACGTGAATAATGCTAACAAATGGTAAAACGAGAAACAAATTCCGAAAATCCTCACAATCAAATACATCATAAACTACCCAAACAGGATGAGATGCCGTTCTCACGGCTGCAGCTCTCTCTACGCCTCAAACGTCTACCCCTGGTGGTTCATCCTATAAACCTTTTTTTACTTGCCTCCCCATCCATGGTCCCTTCCTTTTATCTTTTGTTGTATCAAATGAAGCCCCAAACGCCTGCAAAGAGATATTTGGACAGTCCGGATCCGGATGTGTGCTGCCAATGTGCGACTAAACAAAAGCCAACGCATTTACAGAGGCTTGCCGCCGATGAAGTCGGACCACCGGCGAACCTCGGACGGTGTGCCCTCGGCGCGGGGCAGCTTCTCGCTCAAACACTGGGCGAAGAGGATGGCAGTCTGTGTGCGTATGGGTTAGCGGTGACGAACTTTCGGTGGGGGGCAGGAGTAGGAAGGGAATACACGGCGTAAACGCACCTTGGGCTCCATGAACAGGGGCACGCCAAAGTCGACGGCGTTGCGGCGCATGACGTAGTCGACGTCCTGCACCGTCTTGCCGCGGGCCTTGGCCAGGTTGAAGACGCCGCGGATGTCGTACTTGGCAAAGACCTCGCGCAGCTGGCGCTTGTCCTCGGTGGGGAACTCAATGACCTGCACATCGATGGGCGTCTTGCTCTCGGCCTCGAGGAACGCCTTGACGCGCGGCTCGGCGGCGTACAGTTTGTATCCCATGGGGCCGACAAAGTTGATGACCTTGGCGAGCCAGTCCTTGCTGGTCTCGCCGCCAAACAGCAGGCCCTCGCCAATCTCGGGCACGCGGAAGTTCATGGCCGACTGCACCGACGCCCAGTAGGCCTCCACCAGATCCTTGCCGAAGCAGGCCATCTCGCCCGTGCTGGACATCTCGACGCCCAAGAAGGGGTCGGCGCCGGCCAGGCGGGTCCACGAGAACTGGGGCACCTTGGTGGCCACGTAGTCGCGCGGGACCTTCATCAGGTCGCGCGCAGCAGGGACGTCCTCGCCGACCAGGGCGTGGGTCGCTGCGTCGATGAAGTTGGTGCCGAGCACCTTGCTGACAAAGGGGAACGAGCGCGACGCGCGCAGGTTGCACTCAATGACCTTGAGCGCCGGCAGGCCGCCGGCAGGGTCGTCGGCCTTGATTATCTGCATGTTGAAGGGGCCGGTGATCTCGAGTGCGGCGGCGACCTTCTGGGCAATCTCCTTGACGCGGTCCATCGTGGTGTCGTCGAGCGACACCGGCGGCAGGATCATCGACGCGTCGCCCGAGTGCACACCGGCCTGCTCAATGTGCTCGCTGACAGCGTGCAGGATCAGCTCGCCCTTGGACGCAACACCATCCACGTCGATCTCCTGGGCGCCCTCGATGAACTTGCTGATCACGACGGGGTGGTCCGGCGAGACGCTGGACGCAGCCTCGAGCTTGTCCTTGAGGTCTTCCTGGCTGTGGATGACGGTCATGGCAGCGCCGGACAGAACGTAGCTCGGACGGACAAGGACCGGGTAGCCGACATCCTCGGCGAACTTGGCAGCAGCATCAACAGACGTCAACTCCTTCCACGCAGGCTGGTCAACGCCAATGTTGTCCAGAATGTTGGAGAACTTCTGACGATCCTCGGCCTTGTCAATGTTCCGCGGGTCGGTGCCCAGAACCTTGGCACCGCCAGTCTCCTGCAGACGGAGCGCAATGTTCTGCGGCAGCTGGCCACCCACCGACACAACAACATCGCTGGCCTGCTCGAGCTCGTAGATGTCCATCACACGCTCGTAGCTGCTCTCATCAAAGTACAGCCGATCCGCCTCATCGCTGTCGGTGGATACGGTCTCGGGATTGTTCTCGAAGAGGTGTTAGCAATTTCATTCGCGTTTCTAGAGCATCAAACAGTGAAAGAAGGCAAGGGAGTGCGTAGGAGGAGTTTTAGGAGGTTGGTGATGTTGTAAGTCGGAGGACCCACTCGGGTCCACTTTAATGTGCTCCTGAGAACAGCGGCGTGTGCAAAGGAAGGTTGCAAGGTGCCCGTAGAAAGAAGGAGCACGAGATGTATGAATAAACACGTGGAGTGCTGTAATTGGAATGCAGGGGGGCATCCACACGCGACCCTTGGACTTACATTAATCATGACCGTCTTCTTGCCCATCGCGCGCAGAGCGCGAGCAGCGCTGACAGAGCACCAGTCAAACTCGACAGAGCTACCGATCCGGTAGACGCCGCTGCCGAGAACGACGGTGCCCTTGTCCTCAAAGGTGATGTCGTGGGTGCTGGCGTTGTAGGTGGTGTAGAGGTAATTGGTGTTGGCGGGGAACTCGGCGGCGAGGGTGTCAATCTTCTTGACCCAGGGGTGGATGCCAAACTGGCGACGGACGGCGCGGACCTCGTCCTCGGTGCTGCCGAGGGCGCTGGCGATCTGGCGATCCGAGAAGCCCATCTTCTTGGCCTTGGTCAGGAGCTCGCGCTTGAGGCCGCCGAGGCTGCCCACAGCCTGTAGCTCGCGGGTGGTGTCGACAATGTTCTGCAGCTTGTACAGGAACCACTTGTCAATCTTGGTCAGCTCGTGCACGCGGTCGACCGAGTAGTTCTCGTGCAGCATGGCCTGGCCGACGGCGAGCCAGCGGCGGTCGGTGGGGTTCTGCAGCTCAAAGTCGAGGTCCGCAAACTTGTCGCCCTGGAAGCCGACGAAGCGGGGGTCGACCTGGCGGATGGCCTTTTGGAACGACTCCTCAAAGGTGCGGCCGATGGCCATGACCTCGCCGACCGACTTCATGGCGCTGCCAATGTCGCGCTTGACGTGCTGGAACTTGGACAGGTCCCAGCGGGGGATCTTGGTGACGATGTAGTCGAGCGACGGCTCAAAGTTGGCCGTCGTCGTTTTGGTGACGGCATTGGGCAGCTCGGGCAGGGTGTGGCCGAGACCGATCTTGGCCGCCGTGTACGCGAGCGGGTAGCCCGTGGCCTTGGAGGCGAGCGCCGATGACCGCGACAGACGGGCGTTGACCTCAATCACGCGGTAGTCCAGGCCGTCGGGCTGCAGGGCGTACTGCACATTGCACTCCCCCACAACGCCCAGGTGGCGCACAATCTTGATGGCGGCGGACCGCAGCATGTGGTACTCCTCGTCGCTCAGCGTCTGGCTGGGCGCGACGACAATCGAGTCGCCGGTGTGGATGCCGAGCGGGTCAAAGTTCTCCATGTTGCAGACCGTGATACAGTTGTTGTTGGCGTCGCGGACGACCTCGTACTCGAGCTCCTTCCAGCCCTTGAGCGACTTCTCGACCAGGATCTGCGGCGACAGCGTCAGCGACCGCGCCGACATGTTGCGCAGCTCCTCCTCGTTGTTGGCAAAGCCCGAGCCCAGACCGCCCAGGGCGTACGCCGCGCGCACGATGATGGGGTAGCCGATCTTCCGGGCGGCGTCGAGTGCCTCGTCGACGGTGCTGACGGCAATCGACTTGGCAATGGGAATGTTGATCTCGTCGAGCGCGCGGGCAAACAGGTCGCGGTCCTCGCTGAGCTCGAGCGTGCGGACACTCGTGCCGAGCACGCGCACGCCGTACTTGGCAAAGAGGCCGCGGCGCTCCATCTCGACACCCAGGTTCAGCGCCGTCTGGCCACCAAACGACAGAAAGATGCCGTCGGGCTTCTCGCGCTCAATGACGTAGCTGACATACTCGGGCGTCACCGGCAGGTAGTACACCTCGTCGGCGAGCGAGTGGTTGGTCTGGATCGTGGCGATGTTGGGGTTGATCAGCACCGAGGCCACGCCGGCCTCCTTGAGGGCCTTGAGGGCCTGGCCGCCCGAGTAGTCGAACTCGCCGGCCTGGCCAATGGCAAGACCGCCACTCCCAATCACCAGCACCTTCTTGACGTCGACCTCTGCCCGTGGTTTGACCACACCGCTCTGCATGTACGCCTTGGGGTCGTGCACCGAGTCTGTCACGGCCGAGTCGACGGCCGTCGCGGCGCGCTTGGTCGACTGCGACAGCGTGCGGCGCGTGTTGGCGTAGCTGTTGAGCGTCTTGAGCGTCTTGGGCTGCGGGCGGTGGACGATCTGCTGCAGCTGCACCTGGGCGCTGACCGAGAAGGCGGCGGCGCGGGTCGAGGGGACGGCCGTCGGGAGGCATCGACCATGCCGGAGCAGGCGAGATGGAGCTCGGCCTGCCATGGACACGGCCGACATCATCGTATGAGGTTGACCGGAGAGGAGGGCGAAGAGGGTCTAACAAATTAAAACAGGAAAAAAAAAAAAAGGCGAGGCTGTTGTGTAGATTGTCCCTATGCTCGTCTAGCCTTGCCTTTGACAAAAGAAAGGGAGGCCGAGGAGACAATGGAGGGAAGGGGAGGAGAAAAGGAAGGGTGGTCCAAGCAAAACGCAGACAGGAAAAAAGAGTCATACAAGATAATAGTTTCTTGTTGAGGAGGGTCGCTATATTTTCCTATTTTCTCTCCATTGGCGGGGGAAGCCCATGATAAGATAAGAACCAGGTCCAGTTCGTTGGTCGTTCCTTCATCCTGTCTCTTTTTCTTGTTCTTTTTTTTTTCGTTACAGCGGCCGGTCGCGCTTTCCCCTGCCAAAATTTTGGGGCTACACAATTTTTTTTGCTCCCCACCGACGAATTCGGCTACGTGATTGGCTAATTAAACTCCAACACCACCTAAATTATCGAAGAAGCGGGAAAGAACGAAGCCAGAATACAACGACGGTAAAGAAAAGAAGATCGACTGCGACTGGATGGTTGTCCAGAGTATGAAAATTTTCGGCATTCCTCGTGGAAGGCTCCGACAAAGGAGCGAGGCATATAGATTACAGCGGTTGTCCAATCGAATAGCCGTGGCACGCGACGTCTGCCCACCATGACGGTCGTTGAGGCAATAAAATTTATTCAAGATAAAAAGAAACAAAAGAGAAGTACGGAAAAGTTGAGTTGTTTGAGTTGAATCACACAATGTTATAGCTGGTGTGTGAAAGAGAGAAATAGTACTTTGAGTTATGTAGAGGGACTGGAAGAGACAAACGATATAGGTCATGTGCTGCTCCGATCGTCACCGGTTTCGCTTTGCCTACCGAGAATGTATGGGAATCTGGTAAATCCCATGGCTAAATTATGTGGAAATACGACCGAAAAGTGGTGCGAGTTAGCGCCAGGGCAGGTCTCTTTGCAGCCCGCCGCCGTATTCGGACAAACAGGGGAAACCAATGAGTGGATTGAATTACCATTTTATTTTTAAGGGAAAAGACATGAAAAAAGAAGAAAAAATAAAATAAAAATAAAAGTAAAAAATAAAAAATAAACACGATAAATTGAATACTATCATATGTACCCATGACGGCATTTTGCTTTATGCCCCTGAATATGAGTCACGCTCTGCAAATATGTCAACAGACAAACTCCTCAACAAATTCGTCCTGTCAGCTGAATGCAATGTCTTCGCTACACATGTAACACTAAGTAAGCTCAATACAAGAGTATAGTCTACCGGCAGAACCCGCCGTCTTTACAGATCCGTTCTTACTTTTGCCTTTTATCCCCATAATATCGTCTTTGATTTTCATGTCCGCTCCCATGTCCGTTTCCATTTCATTCCTTCAACACCCCTCTAATCCTTGTCCAGCCGCACAGCTGGATTCTTCTTGATGAAGTTGAGGTCCACCTTGTGGCCCAGAAGCTCGCGGATGTTGGAGATGCCGTACTTGATCATGGTCGGCCGCTCCAGACTCAGGCCCCAGCCGTACACGCGCATGTCCCGCGGCAGGCCCATGGCCTCGAGCATTTCCGGCCGGAACATGCCGCTGTTGCCAATCTCCACCAGCTTGCCGAGGCCCTTGTGGTAGCTGAAGATCTCCATGCTGGGCTCGGTGTACGGGTTGTACGCCGGCTTGAACTTGAGGTTCTCCAGGCCCATCTTGCCAAAGAAAATCTTCATAAACTCCATCAGACCGCCCAGGGCCAGGCCGTAGTCGGCAATCACGCCCTCGACCTGGTGGAACTCGGCCAGGTGCGTCGCATCGACGGACTCGTTGCGGAACACGCGGTCAATCGAGAAGTAGCGCGCCGGCGGTGGCCGGCCGTCGGGGCCCTTCTTGGCGGCCAGGCGGTGCAGCATGGCCGACGAGATGGCCGTCGTGTGCGTGCGCAGCACCAGCTTCAAGCTCTCCTCGGGCGACCACGGGTAGCGGTAGCCAATAGAGTCGTACTTGCCCGTCTCGTGCACCTGGCGCACGTTGTCCCAGTACTGCTTGTAGTCCTTGGTGTCGGTCTCGTCGGTGGCGCGCGGGGGGTCGGCGCGGGGCGGGTCGGAAATGTAAAAGGTGTCCTGCAGGTCGCGTGCCGGGTGCTGCTGCGGGACGAAGAGGGTGTCAAAGTTCCAGAAGCCCGACTCGACAAACTTGTCCGTGGGCATCTCCTCGAAGCCCATCTCAAAGAAGATTTGCCGGAACTCGTGGCGGACCTTGTTGAGCGGGTGCAGGGCGCCGGCGTTCTGGTCGGCGCCGAGGGCGTCAAAGTTGTACGGCTTGAAGGTGGCCGTCTTCCAGGCGCCCGAGGCCAGCATGTCGGCCGTCAGGTCCGTCTCCTCGCGCACCATCTCGAGCGCAAACTTGTCCGCCTTGCGCACACGGAAGCTGACGACCTTTTGCAGGCGCACCAGCTTGCGCTTGCGCAGCTCCGCAATGACCTTGGCGTCCGGGTGTGCGTGGTCCTTTTGGATGGCCTGCAGCTGCTGCCGCGTCGTGTCGGTAATGTCCGTCGCCACGGCCTTGAACTTGCCGTCGCTCGTCTTGGCAATCCACTTCTCTCGGAAGGCCTTGCCCTGGCCCAGCTTCGTCACCTGCTTGTCGCCCACGGCCTTCTCCAGGTCGGCCACCGACAGGCCCTCGACGGCCTGGCGCAAGGCTTCGAACACGCGCGCCTCGTGGCTGCCGTTGGCCGCAATCTGCTCGCCCTCGGGCTCCAGCAGGTACTCGTCGCGCTCCAGCGTCTCGTAGGCCAGCATCGACCGGGACCGTAACCGGTCCAATGCCGCCTTGATGTCGATTGTCTTCTCATTCGGGAATGCCTCGCTTGTCACCAGAGACTCGACGTCGGCCAGTGCCCGGAGCACCGCCGTGGTCAGGTCGTCCTTTGCGCTCGACATGGTGGAAGTCTGTATTTTGTTGTGCGTGATACGGCGATGTGGGGTTCGATCGCGAGAAATCGGGGGAAAAGGAGAGCAGAGTCGTCGAGATTCCGCTGCAAGATCGCGGTCGCTGCTTCTGCAGGCTCGCCAGAGGGAATTGGTGCAGAGTTGTTGGTGACGAGGCTGTCCAACAAAGTGACTCAGACGGGAAACATATGGCCATAGATTTTCGAGACAGCCCGCCATCAGCCAAAATCCGACCACAGGCCCACCGATCACCCCGCGGCTGCACTGTCTCAACAGCCAGACTGAGGCTAGCGCCCAGTGCGCCGTTTGCAGGGGATACAGCAGGCTGTGCCAGGGGCGCACGGGATGCTGTTTTTCCGGCCGACTCCAGACTTCCCTGTACGAAGCATGAGGCTGTCCTCAATAGCGGACATATCCCCTGTAGCTTGGCGGCTCGTGCTGTAAATTATTGAAATTGGGAGGCACCGGGGACAAAAGTCCAGCGGCCGAGCCCAGGCAAATCGGACCTAACGGGCCCAGCTAGGCCCCCTGTCGTCTGACGACACAAGCGGCGCCAGGCGTCTGGAGTATTCGTAACGAAACTAAGCTGTAATAGTAGCGACAGCTCCGCATGGCAGGCGCAGCCCGCTCAGACATTTGATGCACCTGCTCTTAACATCACCGTCTCGCAGTTGCCATTCCTAGCCGCGTCAACCCCTTCCAAACGACATCTGAATTTCACGACGATATACTGTCACCGCTACCTCTCTCCCGACTCATTGATTGCCTGCTGTACCGAGACATCCACACCATCGCCACATACCGGCCCACGCCCTGAAACATGAGGTAGCGTGCCGTCCGGCAGCCTCGCTGGCCTCGACCCATCTGAAGGCGAGAACACCTCAACCCCTTCGCCTTTATCGCACCTCCGGCCCGCCGAGACCCCCAAGCGCGGAGCCATGAACAGCAGTACCGATGCTGGCGGCGGTGCCAGCGGCAGTGGCAACGCACGAAGCTCCCACCGCACCCGGCGCAGTCGAGCCAACACTGCCACACGAGCGCGCAGTGGCTACTCCAGCGCGCTCGCGGGCAAGGTCCGCGAGAGCCTGAAGAAGAAGCTCGCCTTCTACACCGACATGATGAGCCAGCTGGACATGCTCGTCTTTGCCGAGCTGTGCGCCTTGTACTACATGGAGTGAGTCCCTGCCGTGCTCTCGTCTCGGTCTTGGACCTGGATCGTGCATCTCGTTTCGCGTTTCGCTTTTTATGTTTCGCTAACCGCACAGTTGTTCCTTCTTTCGCTTCGTCATCCGCGCCGCGCCGCACTCCTTTTTCCTGTCCCCGAAACCCGAAGACTTTGCCATTCCCCTCGACGCGCGAAAACCGCATCTCGTTGCCATCTTTGCGCCCAACTTCTTGTGCCTGCTGGCCCACTCGTTGGGCTCGCTGCCCCGGGCCACCGAGGCCAACCGAGGCTACCTGCACGGCGGCGTCATGATTGACTTTGTCGGCCAAAAGGCGCCGACCTCGGCGCTCGCGCTGGTGGCGCTCGACCTCGTTGTCCTCGTGGTACAGTGCCTGATGCTGGCGATGCATACGGAGCGCGAGAAGCTGCGCCGGCTGGTGTCCCCGATCCGGTCGGTAGCGGCCAACGTAGCTACGGCGGCGGCGACGCGTGTCGGTGGACTATCGGCGGCAGGGGGAACGGCTGCAGCAAATGCAGCAGCAAATGCAACGCCGGCGGCTGCGCCAACAATACAGGAACAAGACGCTGCCGAGCGAGGCGCTGCACAACAGGCGCCAGGAGCAGAAGATGGTGCAGGCTCAGCACCAGCTGCGTCCAACGGCAACAGCGAGCCAGACGAAGATGAGCGGCTGCACAACATCGACCTCGGCGGGCCCTTGGGCGCCGCCACGCCGGAGGAGGCGGTGGAGAACGCGCTTGATTCGCTCAGCTCCGGCGGCAACATTGGTGACTTTTACATTATACACGCAATACGGCGAGCATTGCAGGAGAAAGACAGCAGCGCCGCAGCACAGTCGCTTCAGTCGATTGGCTATGCGGTGACCTTGGCCCGTTTGGCGGCCGAGAGACGAACACGCGCTAGGATGAATGCTCAACAACGGCCACAATAACGGGGTGGGCATGTAGATACCACACAATAGATGGAACCATATTCATGAACTAATGAGCATACATACTGGAGAGAACTGTGTGATTCTATAATTTTGTGAGCACCTCGTTGTTTTCGGATGCATTGGGGTTTAGTCGGTCACAAATGCATGTTTGGAGTATGGGCAGTGTAAAATCACAAAGGCTTCTCTTGCGAAAAGACCTTAGTATGCAGTATTTTAAGTCCCAATAAAAACGTATATACAATGCAAGTCCGAAACGCCTTTCTTCTTTTTGTATCAAACGCCCCCAGTCCTTTATGCCACCTTGCGGCCCACGTTGCCGAGACCAGTACCCTTTATAGAAATGAGCACGTCATGTTTGCTGTGCGCATCCTCGTCGTCCTCGCTGTCGCCACCACCGATAACGTCGTCCTCTGCCTGCCGCAGGCCCCAGCTGCTCGCGCCAAATGCCTTGAGGTCCCGCGCCAGTCCCATCACCTCCTCAGCCGCCACAACGTCCCGACTCACCCGCAGCCGGCCCACGTCCTCGGAGCCCATCGCCATCAGCGTCAGCACCGTCGGCGCCGCCGTCCAGCTCACACACCCGCCCTGTGCAATCGCCTCCAGCAGGCGGTGCGCGCACTGCGTGCCCAGGTCCTCGGCCAGCACGCCGCCCTGCGCGGGGCTCACGACGTCGGCCGAGTACACGACACCGTTCACAGTCGACTCGGCCACCAGGCACAGGCCGAAGCCAATGCCGGGCTTGTCGCCGCCGCCGTGGCCGTCGTCTTTGCTGGGCGGTGCCTCGGCAATCTTGATCTCGCCCGTCAGCGCATTGAGCACGCCCCGTGCCGCGTGGATCATGCGCTTGTTGTTGGACGCGGACACGCCGACGCTGTAGGCGACACCGCCAATGCGCTTGATGCGGCCGGCACCGCGGTGCAGGTGCAGCGTCTTGGGCAGGCGGACCTGGCTGGCGAAGCGCAGCTCGACGACACCGTTGCCGCGGCGGTCGCCGTGGCCCGCACAGCTGCGCTGCCGGATGTTCAGCTCGATGCGGGCCGGCGGGATACCGAAAAGCCCATACAGCGGCAGGATGGCGAGGCGGAAGGCGTCGGCAGAGATGTCGCCGGTATCGGTGGCGGATGTAATGACGCCGGGGCCGGAGAAGCGAATGTTGACGTGGGCCTTGGAGAAGGGTGCCAGCAGGGCCATGGGCAGCAAGAAGTAGGAGATACCGCGTGTGCAGCCTGCAGGAATGTTGTGCTCAATCACGTCGTCCTCGGTGGCGCCGGCGCCGGCGACGGTGCCTGTGATGAGGCCCGGGTGGAAGGTGATGGTAGTACCAGTGTAGGAGATCTGGAAGGCGCTGCCATTGGTGACGGCGTCGAAGAGGCGTAATAAGGAGACCTCGTGCGGCGCGAGGCCAGGATTTGTTGGTGAGGAGCTGCGGATGCTGGAGATGTGCACGGGGCGGCCTGTGAGGGTGGCCAGGAGCAGGCGCTGGGCAAGGAACCGGTGGCCCGTGAAGCGCACAAAGTCGGAACCAGAGGGGCCCGCCATGGCGGACGCGGCAATGGCTTGTGAGTGGAAGGAAGGATTGTTGCGAGGGAAGATTTCCCTATGTCGTAATAGGTGTGCAGAGTTGTCGAGCAGGGATTCGGGTTGTCTGAAAAAAATAATGGCGATAACAAAACATTATCACCAAAAAGTCAATTCTGCCAAAGGCGGTGAAGCGTTTTGCGATGACTCCACTAAAAAGTCTTATCGTACCTGCCTGGGCCGATCAGTGATTGCCGTGCTAGAGTAGAATAAGCCTGATGTAGGTCACTGTCCATTGCTCTTTCCTAACCTGAGCCTGGATCTTTTCTTAGATAAAAACACAAAATTAAAAATCTCACTGTAAGGGACAATATATTCCATTCTAATGATCTGGCGCGGAAATATGAAAGACAAGACGTAAAAGTGCATTACTTTGTTCATTCGTCACCTTGTTACCTCTTTGCTTTCCGCCCGAATACTGTTATACGATTGGCTGCAATGCAGCTGTAAATATGGCGTGTCCCTGAGCCCCACGTGATCTACAGTGGGCAAAAATTTAGTGATCCCCTGTAATAGCAAAAAGACCACTAAGAGTTTTATCAGACCCTGCTGAAGGAATTCTACAGCGAGAAAACTCGCCGATAAGGCACAATAGTGGGCTATTTTGGAAGAAAACAAAAATTGACGTCTGTCAGTGACAGCTTCCGATTTTGTAAAGGCATTCCTCCAAACACAGCAACGACCTTTTCCCCAGCACAACTCGCCCCCCAATGCCTTCCACACGATGAGGCCGATAAGCTCAGTCTTCTCCGACATGAGCACACGGGGCCCATTTGTCTGCCGGTCGTGCCTGGTCAGCCGAACGGCACAGCGGCGACCCACGCTGCCGCCATGGGCTACAACGACGGTGACAGCGACGGCAACGACACCGACAAGCACACCGACGACGACCGTGGCTGTGCGTACGCTGTCTCGACATACGGCGGCTGTGCGCGGCCGGCTGCGGAGGGGCGATAGCCGGCCGTCGACGGCGTCACAGCGGCAGACCCCGCTACGAGCCACGCCGGTGCCCCGACCGTCCCCCAAAGTCGAGATCCCGACCCTTGAAGACCTGCAGCTGGCGTCCAGCAACGACCCGACCCACCAGTACGGACGCGACGAGGACGTGACGGTGCGCTTCTTTGACCAGCAGAGCGACGGGACGATCCGGCACGTGAGCAACCGCAGCTCGATCGGCGACGAGGCGGAGGCGGAGCTGGCCGAGCTCGAGGAACGGCTCAAGGAAACGTCGACGCTGATGAAGGACCTGGAGCAGCGGGGCGGGCCGACGAGGCGACGGACGGTGCGGTTGCGGCGCAAGTACGACATGATCAAGGAGGTGGAGGAGGAGGAGGCGCTGCAGACCATGGCCGACGCGGCATACGAAGAAGCCGACGCGTCGGAGACGTCAGGCACGTCCGCCGTGCGGATCGACGACACGGGCCTGTCGACCAATGCGCGGCGGCACGTCAAGAATCTCAACAGCGTTCTGCGGCCGGCGGCGCGGCGGCTGGAGAACAAGAACAAGACGCCGAGCGGCGGCGTCGACAGCAAGATTATCACGGCGCTGTGGAGCCGGTATGGTGCCGCCCGGACGGGGCTGGCGGAGGCGTGGTCCAACGTCCCGCCGGCCGTGTGGAGCTGTCTCTGGGAGGTTCTGGCGTGGGACGACAAAAAGGGCAGCGGCGTGCGCAATCCACGGCGCATGTCGCACATCTACTATCTGGCCAAGGACATGCAGGCGGCGGGCGTGCCGTTGACGGACGAGCAGCAGCTGCTGGCCATGGAGGCCATGTTTATCGAGGGATGGCCAGCAGCCGCGCTCGAGAACTGGCGACGTGGCGCGGCGACACTCGGTGCGCGCCCGGCGACGGCAGCCGCCTACTGGGAGCTGGGCGTGCGCATGTGCTCGCAGCAGGGCGACCTGGATCGGGCCGAGCGGGCCGCCGACCGGCTCTTTAGCGACGACCTGCAGGACCTTCTCCGACAAGCAGCGAGCAACGGCGAGACAATCAAACGACACGGCGACCCGCGCGTTCTCTTTGGGCTGATCCGCAACGCAGCTGCCCAGGGCTCCAAGGACAAGGCCTGGGCGACGTACCGGCGACTGCGGGACCTGCTCGACGAGCTCGAGAAACAGGACGGCGGTATGAAGATTGAGGACTACGACGAGGTCGTCTCCTGCTTCCTGACGGCCAACCACACCGAGTACGCGTTCGACGTCTTTGTCGACATGATGTTCTCCGGCGCATTGGATCTGCACCAGCAGCAGCTGCAGCAGCAGCGCACGCGGCCCAAGAAACTGCCGTCGGCCGTGGCCAACCACTTCTTCTTTGGCAAGTGGCTCAAGCGGCTCATCGGCGCCGGCGACCTCGACGGCGCCTACCGCGTCCTGCACTTTATGCAGGCGCGCGGCATCATGACGGCGTCGGTGCAAGTCAACGGCCTGCTGGGTGCCTGGTTGCGCTCGGGATCGGCGGCCAACCAGGAGCGCGCGGACGTGCTCGCGTGGCGCATGGTGGAATCGCGGCGCCTGTTTGTGGACCTGCGGCGGCGCGAGCAGCAGATGGACTGGCCGCTCAAGCTGCGCGTGGGTGGCTTCACAAAGGACGAGGTGGCGGTGGCGGCGGCGGCGGCCACGACCGACGGCGCCGACCTGACGTTTGTGCCGCGAGCCACGCTCGAGACGTTTGCGCTCATGGCGGACAACTACAAGAACCGTGGCCAGCTGGCCCAGCTGGAGCGGCTGTGGGAGGCGTTCCGGGCGTGCGAGATGGCGTCGACCGACGCGTTCATGATGAACCAGCTGCTCGAGTCGTACGTGCACGAAGGACGGTCCGACGAGGCGCGCGCGCTGTACCGGGACCTCGTGCTGGGCCCCCAGCGCATTGAGCCCAATGCGCACACGTTCCTCGTCCTCTTCAAGTCGCTCGCCGTGCACCGCACCGTGTTCCGCATGATGTCGGACGACGACCGCCGGGCGGCCGGCGCCGACTGCCGCCAGCTGGCGGCCGACATGGTCAAGCTGGCACCCGTCGCGTTCAAGACGGAGACATCGGCCTATGCGTCGGAGATAGGTAAGGGCAGCGCCCAGGACACGCGGTCGATGGCCTTTTACCAGGCGCTGGGCCGCATCGTACTGCACTCGTTCCGCAAGACGGGCGACTACGTCGGCCTGTGCGTGATGCTGCGCGTGCTGCGGCCGCTCTTCCACAGCGCCGCCGCAGGCGGTGGTGCACACAAGGACACGGCCGGCGATGGGTTTGACCGCTTCCTCATGACGGACAGCCTGGCGGTCGAGCTGGTGGCCGAGACGTCGGCCCTGGAGCGCGACACGCCCACCGCGCGGCACCGCATCTTCAAGGCCAGCGAGGCGGTCGAGGTGCTGCTGCTCGAGGCGCGCCAGCGGCAGCTGCGCGTGTACGGCTGGAACGAGGGCGAGAAGGAGACGAGCCTGCATGCCGGCACGGACGCGGACCTGAGCGACGACCTGGCCACGGTGGTGGCGCACGTGTACCGGGTCAAGGCCGCGACGGTGTCCGACAAGGAGTTTGCAGCCATGTACGAGATGGCCGTCGACGAGCTGGGCGTCCGCAAGTATTTGTAAGATTAGTGTATGTAAGGACCTTAGACGCATTTAGCATTTTTGACAACACTTCTCACGACAATCATACTCTTCTATTTTCAACGTTGGCCGTAGTGTAAACTCGTACTTGTTCAAAACAACTTCCCCTAATCGTGGTCTTCTTCTGTTGGGCCTGGACACCCGTCGAGGTCGTCGTCCGGGTACTTGAATTTGCACCAGAAGCAGTACCTGCGGTTCTGCCGCATCCAGTCGACGACCGCTTGCAGCCGCTCCTGGGGCTCGAGTGCATTGAACTCCTCGAGCTCCTCGTCCTTGTCGCCCTCGTTGTCGTCGTCCACTTCGTCCTCGTCGTCTTTGTCGCCGTCGACGGAAATCGACGTGTTCATACTGCCTTTCAGATAGGACAGCTTGTCGGGCCCTTGTCCGCGCGCGAGTCGATCGTTCCCATCGTCGTCGTCGTCGCTGGCGTTGTCCTGTTCAAATGCTTCGTACTTTGCCGTCTTCTCCTTATCGCCGTGGACCATGCTTCGTAGTCGATCGTCTAGCAACTTCTGTGCCTTTATGCGCTGCTCTCGGTCGTGCTCTTTGGCGCGCCTCTCCTTGACCATGCCGCGCCACAAGACATTGACCGCGGACAGAGGCATCTCGTCCTGTGCCTTGGCCTCGTCTTCGTTCTCGTCGTCTCCTCTCGCCATGCGTTCCGCGACGACCTGCGCCGCATGAATCTGCCGCTCCAGACGGCCCGCTTCGCGCTCCTGTCGTAGTCGATCGCGATAGGCCAGCGGGTCCATGTCGTCGAGCCGCAGCCGCTTTGCGTCTGGGCCGTCGCCTTGAGCAGATTTTGCCTCCCGTTCCGTTTCTTTCCTCCTCTCTTCTTCGGCGCCAATACCGGCCCGGTCGCGCTTGACTTGAATCCGGATGGGCTCTGTCACGGGCCTGTCTTGGTCCGTGTCTCCGTTGCTGCCGTCCCCGCTCTCCGTCCCAGCCTCTCCGCTGCTCTCCTCGCGCCGCTTGCCCAGCGACTGGCCCGCTACGAACCCCATCTTGGCCATCATTGCGAAACCCTTGCTGACGGGCTTTGGCGGCTGCGCCAGTGCTGGTGCAAGCGGCCATTTTGATGCCGGTGCTGGTGTTGTTGATGTTGATGTGGATGTTGTCGCCTTTTGAGCTCCAACGTGCCGGGGCGGCGGTGTGCCAAAGAGTGACTGACTCAGTGCAGCCTCGCGCTCGGCCTCGGCCGCCTTGGCCAGCTCGGCCTTGGACGGAATGCGGCCACGCTCGCGGCCTTCGCGTTCCAGACGGATGCGACGCTGGAGAGACGTCTCGGCGGCATGCTTCTTCTTAGTACCGCCAATGTCCTCGTCCCCACCAAACGTCATGGTCATGTAGTCATCTTCCTCGTCTGCCATAGTGGGTGTATTTTGTGGGAGTATACGTGGATGTTGTGCAATATGGAATTGCATATACGTTGTTAAATGCGTGACGTTAATAAAATGACGGGCTTGTCCTTGCTCAGGAAAGACAGTGTTATATATACAGTGTGTGTCGCAATATACTGTGTCCCACCGTTTGGTACAAGATCCAGACAAGATTGATGATACAGCCAATTTCCTCCGTAGATTTCTTTATTGCAGAGTATCAACCTCGTGGAACTACCGACTCTTTTTCATTGTAATTATGACAACCTTTGCGCCAGTCTCCTCCCCCATCTCCTCACCATATAATTTCGGTCGTGTTCCAAATAACCGACATCTCCTTCCTGTAAGGCTTCATAATCTTCTCCAAAACCCTCTCCTTAACCCACGCGCTTTCCCAGTCAGGTCGCCTCATTGCCTTGCAGTATTCCCAGTACTCTGGAAAGTAGCCGGAGAGTTCCCAGTCCAGTAGTGCAACGACCTTGGATCCTTGGACGATGATGTTTCGAGGGTCCATGTCATTATGCGTCATGACGATCTTGTGATCCACCATGACCTCTTTGAATATGTCGCAGTAATATTCCACCCAGTCATATGGCTTGGACTTTCGCAAAGCCCTGACGATACCCTCGTTAAACTCGTCTTCGTTTGCAAATGGACCATATGCGCCTCGTTCGTTGTCGAAATAGTGATCGTTGCACCATGACCCGTCGACACTGCCAATGTACGAACCCGTGATTTGGCGGAGTTCGTCCATGTATTTGCGAAGCTGCGAGACGACAGACTGCTTCTCAGAGTCCGTGTACGTCTCCCATGCCCGGTCGAGATTCCGTCCCTCAACAAACTCCATCACAATTCGCACGTGGCCAGTTGTGTCGTCGGTGTATGCATTGTAGACTTGCGGGACCGGGATGCTCGTACGATCGCGGACAAACTTCATGGTTTCCGCTTCGCATGATCTCACAGTCTGGCCAGTTTTGACAATTGTCTCTGGGTCGATTTGGAAAACGGGAACAAAAGGGCCAAAGCGCTTCGCATTCTTCAGCTCTTCTTGAGAAACGATCCGGGCCATGGCAGCTCTATCGACGGCCGGAAGGTGCCTGCCGAGTCTCTAAAATGGCGGACTGTAGTCGGTCAGTTAGCACGACATCTAGAGTTGTTCTTGGTAAGCAGCACGACGTACGCAGAGGGCAAAGAACGTCAAATCCGCACAAGCGGCGTGTCATTGCTTTACGGACTCACCTCCACTTCTGGTCCGTGTGGCATGGGCGAAGGGGCTGGCGATTGGGTATGGGACGACGAACACCAATGCTACCGGTGCTTTGATGTGACCAAATGGATTTGGCGGTCAGCAAGTGGATTGGAGTCGTCTATTGGTAACGCATGTTTGTTTGTTATCGAAGAAGCTGCTTCTGCCGTTGAAACATCTATCAATTTAGCAACCACTGCGTGAGGTCAAAAGTATAGTTTATTAGTTTATTGTACTATGTTAACATGTGGCATTTATGGATTAAATAAATCAAAGTGATGCTCGCGCCTACCATGCAAAAGGCTTGCCAAAATCACCGTGCAGAATCTCGATATGTACAGAGAAATAATGAACAGTCAAATAGATGTAGAATAAACATGTCCGTACAACAAAGGTAGAATGAAGGGAGGAAAGCGGTCAAAAGAAATTAAATGAACGGTAGAGTGAAGAAGAACATCACGGATTGGTTTGCAACGTATAGTGTGTATAGTGTGTTCGCACACCTTGGTGCTTCTTGCCTATTTGGGCGCGACGTTCGGCGACAGGTAGGCACCGAGTCTACAGGGGCACAATGTTAGCATCAAGGTAGGAAGGAACGATGAAGACAATGGACAAGAAAAAAAAAGCTGGAAAAAGGGGCTCACCCGATAATCACATAACAGGCGCACATCAGCGCGCCCTTGAGACCACACGTCCGCAGCTTGCGGTCGCCGTCGCTCGACACCAGCAGGCCCACCAGCAGCGCCGTGCCGACCAGCGCCGCCATCTCAAAGAAGGTGAACGTGAGCGACAGGTTGCGGTTCAGGATCCAGCCGGCGCCGACCGTCAGCGGCGTGACGCACAGCGCGATCTGGATGGAGGAGCCAATGGCGACGGAAATGGCCAGGTCCAGCTTGTCGCGCAGGGCCACCGACACGACCGTGACGTACTCGGCAATGTTGCCGACAATGGGCAGGATGATGAGGCCAATGACCGACTCCGACAAGTGGCCTTGGTGGGTGACGTCGTCAATGGTGTCGACCAGGAACTGGGCGTTGACGGACATGAGCGCCGACGCGACGATCAGCACAATGACGGCCATTATGAACTCGCCGCGGCGGCGCTGGGCGGGCGGGTGCAGGTCGCCGTGGTGGTAGGACGGGGCGCCGCCGTCGCGCAGGAGGCTGGCACGGTCCGCCGCACTGCCGCTGCTCTCGAGGCTGACGCGACTGGCTTGCTGTGCCTGTGCCTGCTGCTGGTTGTCGCGCATGATCTGGAGGGCCGTGATGCCCGATCGCATCAGGCCGGGTCCGGAGATGGCCGTAAAGCCGCTGCCCGGCCCGCCGGACGACGACATCCCGCCGCCGACGCCAACACCGCCTGCACCGCCCGATAAGGACGACGCACGACTGCGGCGTACGCCGGCTCGTATGGAGTCAACGGAGATGGAGCGTGAGTGTGAATGCGAGTGCATGCGGGTGTGTGCGTGCGGGTACGGCCGCGAGGGGATGGTGTTGCTATTCATGTCAAAGTCGTCCATGCGGTGCATCTCGATGCCGTTTGACGACGAGGACAAGGACGACGAGGATGACGACAACGTTGGTTTTACAGGATGGGTCGAAGACACAGCATCGGCAAAGCGGACGGAGCGCGGCTGGGGTACAGCGGCACTGTTGATGACAACACCGGACGCGGAGGCCACCTGTTGGCACTCGGGTGTGGACGTGCTCGATGACGACACGAGCACGACAGGTCGTGCCGATGCTGTTGTTGGTGTGGCGGTTGATGCTGCTGTTGGCGTCGTTGGCGTCGTCGGTGTCGACAGGCCACGCTCGCTGTCGTCGTCGCTCGTACTGCCACTGCCACTGCCACTGCCGGCACCGTTCGCATGGCCCGCCGCAATGGGCCGGGCCCGCAGCTCGTGCACAAAGTACAGCAGGTAAATGAGCAGCACCATGAGCGAGGACACGCGGCTCATCTGCAGCGTGGCCTTGGACACGTGCTTGGATTTGTCAAAGGTGTAGCCAAAGGCGGTCGGCATCAGAAACACAAACACGGACGCAAACAGCAGACAGCTCAGCAGCTGCGTCTCGGCCGTGTTGTACACGGGCTCGTTGTCCGTCAGGCCCGTGGCCAGCAGTGCCGTGCCCAGGATCAGCAGCGAGTTGACCAGGATGGAGCCCAGGATCGACGCCTGCACGACACGGACCTGGTTGTTGACGAGCGCCACGATAAAGAGGATCAGCTCGACCAGGTTGCCCAGGCTGATGTTGAGCAGCGCGCCCACGGTGTCGCCGGCGTCGCTGGCGACGCGCTCGGTCGCGGCCGTCAGCAGCGACGACAGCGGGATCACGGCAATGGCGTTGGTGGCGAAGATGGCAATGGGGCTCGTGTGCGTCAGGTAGGTGACGATGCCAATGGGCACGAACACGAGCAGCGTGTTGAGCCACGACGACAGCAGCATCTGGCGCAGCGAGGCCATGCAGGACGTGGCCACCTCGTCCGCATCAACGTCCGCGTCAACGTCCGCATCGCCAAAGCCAAACTCGTCCACCATGGGCGTCAACGGCTCGCTGCCGTCGACAACAACACCGGGCATCGACCGCATGGACAGCTCCCGGTAGCTCGCATGCCCGCCGCGGCTCAGCGTCCGCACAAAGAAGCGCAGAATGCGGCGGACGGTCCCGCCGCCTCCGCCATTGCTGCCCACCCCAACGCCAATGCCGACGCCACCTTGTCCAGCATCGCCTGCCGCGGAATAGGCACGGCTGTGGGCCATCACCGGCCGCAGCTCGTCACCGCCGCCGACTCTGCTGTCGTCGCGTCCCACCGGATTTGTATCGTGCCGAAATTCGTTCACACTGGTCGCGCTGCTACGGTTGTTGTATATGTCGTCGTCGTTGTCGTCGTCGTCGAGGATGCTGCCGGCAAAGTCGAGAGTCTGGCCAGCATGGGAGTCCATGAAAGAAAAACAAAAAATAGGGGGTGGGGGGTCGTGAATATTGTCGGTTGTCGTTGTTGAAATCCGTTTGTCTTGTCACGAGGGAAGAGGGGATGCTGATGCCAGAAACGCACACGACCACGATCCGCACAGAGGCAAAAGGAGGCACGAGGCAAAGGGTAATAGGGAATGCGTGTCGTAAGAATGTCAAATGTGAGGGTTAGGTATGGAGTAAGACACAGTGTACGATTTACAACTGGACGAGAGTAGCCACACTTTGCTCCCTACATACTGGGGTATGCGCGTGCTCTCTGTAAGGAGCCGAAAGGACGATCATGGCCCTCCCCAGAGACAGTGCTCTTCAAAAGGCAAATAGAGACAAAACTACGCGTACGCGTAATTTGAAAGACCCTGCAACCAAATGGTAAGGGAGACCACCTACTGTAAACCAAGACAGGGTTCAGCAGGGAAAACAGTCTATTCTCTTTTCAGTTGAGCTGCTGAACGGTCAAGGCGCTACTTTTATTTGAACGATGAAAGCTGGCTATTTTTATTATTCTGGACCATCGTGAGAACCAGGGAAAAGGCGCAAAATCGAACAAAAAGGCCAAAGGGAAAGGGGAAATAAGGGAATAAGGGAACATGCGAATTGTGCAGGGGGACGATTGAAAAAATAGGGGTAGCTGAGTGGGTCGCGTGCTGGGATGAGCAATGCGATAAAAGGCGTGCCAAATGTGACCCCTGGCTTGCCTATTTTTGATTATTTTTGTGTGAAGGTGACTGTGCGTGGCCCGCCTTTTTTGCAGAGGATTTAAGATTGGGGGATATCGTGCGATTAGAATCTGTCGTCGATGATAGGAGGATGGATACGGAGGATAAGGAGGGATAAGGATGGGCAATGCCAAGGGGGGACATAATAAGGGCGTTTTTTCATGCAAATAACGATATGGCTGACAAAGGTATCTAGAAGATGTGAGAAGGCCAAAGGAAGGTGAGGACAGCATCGTCGACTCACAAAACGGGATATCGGCAGTGAAAGCGTCATGTGTAAGTCGTCAGTCGAAATATGTCAAATGTCGCGTAAAAGGAAAGAATGAAAGTGGACAAACGAGAGAGCATGGAGAAACTACCGTTAAACGTCAGAAACTGGATGCCGGGCCGAAAGCTTATCGTGTAAGTGTCAAAAATCCCAAATTCACTCAGCAAAAAGAAAGACTAAAAGGAAGTATACAAAAGAAGAGAAAGAGGCCACCCGCAATGTCCAAGACAAGATTCACCAGTGCTTCGCACGGCAGTGTCACAAGTGGATAAAGTGCCAAAGATGTCAAAGTGTCAAAAGTCAAGTGTCAAAATTAATTCGGTTGTGTCAACGATATCTGACGAGGCGTGTCGAGAAAATATGAGTGGTATCATCGCAGAGAATGCACCAGTCCCCTTACAAAATAGGTGAAGAGCAAATACAAAGACAAGAAAAAAAAAAAAAAACAATGAAGAGAGATGAGAGAAGGAATGCCAACCGGCAAACCCAGAGGCCAAAAGGCAAAACCAACATTACAAAACTGTACAGCTAGAAAGCATTCGCCGACCCCCGTCTTCCGATATTCGTATTTTTCATCATATGTGCTGCCCCGAGTCGTATTTCCCATATCCCACTCCATCTATTGCTGTCCCCAGCTTCCGTTTATATATGGAGGCCGTCGTATTGGTGCAGAAAACCTCGTTTTGCTCGTAGATTAGAAGTGGTATGTAGAAGTGTACAAATGTAAAAAGTGTAGATGTAGAAATGAGAAGAAAAGGTCAAGATGTGAGGCAAGGCCGGCTCGTCGTGTGCATGTTAAAAGGCATCCTCAAACGGGCAGTCCACGCTGTCGTGGCCATCACGCTCGCACAGCGCACACCACTTTCCGGCATCCACCACACCGCTCTCCTTGCCGGCTACCGGGCCAGACTCCATGGGGTTCGGCAGGATCTTGACCTCGGGCGGCGGAGCAGTCTTGGCAGCCACAGAGCCAAGCTTGAGCGGAATCATCGGTGCGACGGCCTCGGAAGAGAAGGCAGCACGGACCACGTCCTTGCCGGTGCGGGAATCCAGTTGTGCGGGGGCGTCGGACGATGCCGGTGGTGGCGCACCGTTCGCGCCCGCACCTGCACCTGCACCCGCACCCGCTGCCGAGCCAAACATGTTGGTGCAGGTCAGGATGTCGTGGCCGTTGGTCTCGCAAATCTCGCACCACAGCGTGCTCGACTCCGTGACCGACGAGTAGGCGTCGCTCTCAGGCATCGTGTCGAGCGTGGGTCCGCGCGAGTGGTGCGGCAGTTTCCGGACCTGGTCAGGCGAGCGGTTGCCGGTGCGCGGGTTGGAGTTGGACCGGGAGTGGTTGTGGTGCGCGCTCAGGTTGTTGCTGCCGCCGTTGCTATTGTTGTTGCCGCTCGAGGACAGGCCGCCGCCATTCAGCGACTCGCGAAAGTCCCGGGCCAGCACGACCGTGCCGCGCGAGTCACGCAGAGAGGAGCGGCTGCCGACGGTCATGGCGCTCGAGCGGTGGGCGCCGAGGTTGTTGGTCGACGAGGCCGCGGCGCCGTTGCCAGTCAGGCGCAGCTGCTCAATCTCGCGCTCCATCTCCGTCTCGCGGGTCGACTTGTTGTCGAGCAGCGTGCGCAGGTCGGCCACCTCGCGCTCGAGCGCCTCGCGGGCCAGGCGCTCGTTGATCGACTCGCCCCGGCGGTGACTGCTGCCGCCGCCGTTGGAGGCGTTGTTGCTGCCGTCGCTGACACCGGCGTTCTGGCTCAGCGAGTGGATGATAGCCTTGAGGCCGCGGATCTCGTCGTCCTTTTGCTCGAGATCCTTGGACGGGTTCGAAGACGTCGAATTGCCCCGCACCAGCGTGCCGGGGCCAACGCCAACGCCGCCGCTGCCCGGCCGACCTCCACCGCCCGAGGCAACCAACATAGCGGCCTTTTCGCGCTCGCGCCGCAGCTCGGTTCGCGTGCGCTCGACTTCGCCCCGTAGAAACTCAACCTCGCCACGGGCCTCGGCCTCGCCCCGCCGAGCGTCTTCGAGCCCCTCTTCGAGCTCCTGCACCAACTCTTCGAGCTGCTTGAGTTGCTGCGCGACGGCCTCCACATCGGCCAACCGGCTCTCGAGCTCCTGGTTCTCCTGCATCATCTCCTCAATCTTCTTCTCGTAGACACGCTCGGTCTCGGTACTAGCCATCTCGAGCGTGTCAATGGTGCTGCGGAAGTCGGCGCGGTGGGTGTCGAACTCGGCCGTCAGCATGGCGATCTTGTCGTTCTTCTCGCGCAAGAGCGCGCGCAGCTGTGCCATGTCCTTGTCGTCGCCGTCAAAGCCATCGGCACCGCCGCCAGGCGTTGCACCGGGACCTCCGCCGTTTGGATTCGGGCCCAACGGTCCATCTGAGCTTTCAATCAGGCCCTGCAGCTCGGTCAGGCTGCTCTCCATATCGGCCAGTGTGCTGGCCTGGTCCTTGAGCTGGCGATCGCGGTCCTGCAGCTCGGAGCGCAGACGCTCGACCTCTTCGTCGTTGTTGCCACTGCTGTTTGCGAGCGTCGTAGCCGTGGCAATGCTGCCATTCTTCATGTGGCTGGCGGTGCGTGACGGCGGCCGGCCGATGCCGCGCTGCTGTGCCTGTCCGCTAAAGGACGATGCGGAACCGACGCTGCCGTTTGCACTGCCACCGGCACTTCCATTGGAGCGGCCGACACGACCGGCATTCGTCGGTGTAGCGTTGTCGTCGTCGCCGTAGTTGGAAGCGCTGCCGAGCGCGGAGGCACTTCGTGGGCCGATGCTGGCTTTGCGGTCGACCGGCCCGCCCCGGAGCATACCAAGGCCTGTCCCGCGTTTGCTGGGATCGCCCATGCCGGCCGTTCCTGGAGCACGCATGCTCTGGGAGAACTTGCTGGTCGACGTCGGGCTGCCAAAGCGGCCCGGCGCACCGCCGGCTCCTGACGACGCGCCTCCCTTGGCCGCCGGTGTCGCGGCAGGCAGTGACGGCCGCGGGCCGTTGGATCCTGGCGCAGGCGTCATCTGGAGGCGGCGCACTGGGGAATCGGGCCGTGGCAGGGATGTGCGTGGAGGCCGGCGGGTCCCGTGTTGTGGACTGGGGGCCCGGGGAAGGGGACCGCCGCTAACAGACTGGCTGAACTTGGGGAGGGAGGGTGTGGGTGGCGTGAAGTTGATAGAGTTCTGGTTGCCAAGCTTGAGGCCGGTGCCGTTGGTGGCGGTGGGTGTCATAGGGAAGGCAGAGGGCGATGCGTCTCGGCGAATGGCCTTGTTAAGGGGAAGGAAGATGCCGGCGCCGGGGATGTTGGTACTGAAATAGGATACGCCGTCGACGTCGCCGCTGTTCTTGCCACGCGTGGCAAAGTCGGGGTGCAGTTCGACTCCGGCGAAGACACCCTTCCGGCCTGCGACGGAGCCCACAAAGCGCACAGTGCCGTGCATGCCGCCGGGCACATCGACAGCATCGCCGGCGACAACGGGGTCATCGCTGGTGGGCGCGCCCGAGTAGGACGCCATGGAGGACGCGAAGCGGCCGGGAGTGAGGGGAGCCATGGTGGCAGGCGGCGCGTTGTTGTTGCTGTTGCTGTTGCTGTTGTAACTGTTGTCGCTATTTGACGGAAAGGCGAGCTCGTTCAACGTGTCAAAGGCATAGGACTCGGTCGCATCGGGAATGGTAGCCAACGACGACGAAGTCAGCGCAGCCAGCGAAGCCTTGCGCGTCAACAAGGGCAGCGGCAGCGGCACCGACGGCTGGTGGGGTAGTGACGGCAACGGGGGAACACCCTGGACGCCGGGGGCGCGGCGCGCGTGGGCGGCGAAAAGGGAGCTAAGGTTGGGCGTCGAAAGGGAGGATGCGAGGCCGCGGCCGGCGCGTGTTGACGAAGAGGACGTCGATGATGTGTTGGTGAAAGGGGTGGGAAGGCGTTTGCGCAGGGATCGCGGAAGTGTTTTGGTTGTGGAGGAAAAGGAGGAAGACTGCGCCTGAGGAGGGCGGCCGGCGGAAATGGTGGTTGTGACGGAGGCCGTGGTTGGCGACAGCGTCGTGGCTGTTGTTGTGAGCGACATGATGGCGTTCGGTCGCTCGCGGCGGCCCAAACAACACCCTAGTGGCGAATTATGCGATTTAAAATGGAGTCAAAAATAACACGGAAAATAAAACGGCAGGAAAAGGGACCTGAGCCGATAGGGCGGACAAGCCAAGGAACGAGCAAAAAAAGAACCGTTCGGGCCTGGCGTCCGCAATTTTAGGGGGGAGGGGCCCCTGGCGCGTCCTTTTCTTCTGGGACCTAGTGGCACCTTATTTCCCAGCCGGTGGGCGTCGGATTGCAGTCCGCCAATGACAGGGGTGGACAATCAAGTCAAAATGGGTGGCACAGAGGCGCACTTTGTCGTATTGGGACAATGATGACCCAAATACGGAGCACAGCGGGACTCAGTGGGACGCAGCGATGGAGTTGCGCAGCTGAACGGCTGGTTGGGAGGGTGCGGCCCCTGTAGCGTGCCTTAGCGGTGTCTCTCCCAGCGACCAGGAGAGGCAAGGAGCGGCGACGGATAGGCGTGGGTGGGTTGGTGTTAGCGGCAGATGATGGTCTGATGGGCGGCGGGATTGGCAATTGGCGGGCAGTTAGGGGCAGCTTGGGCCGTTGAGATAGGCGGGTACCACAGGCCAGGCTGGGGCAAAAACGACCCACAGCGAACCCAAGTGCCTGAGCGCGAGGCGGTGGGAGGACGAGTGAATTGTCGGTGTCGGTAATGCGTTGATGCGTGTGATGTGTCTGCTGCGTGTCGTCGATTGTCTGTTTGAGTTTGAATGGCTGTGACCGTGTGTTAATTAGGCTGAGTGAGGCGTAGACCAGAGGGCAAAGACAGGAGATTCAGAGGAGGAAACAATGCGAGATGAAAACGGGCGCAAGAAACGAAACAAAACAAAACAAACTGTGACCACAGACTGCTGTGCAACGCGGGTAAGGAGGGTCGGCCGCAGGCACAAGGCTAGAAAGAGGGTGTGAAGGCGACAAAGAGGCAGAATATGCAAGAAAGAAGACGAGGTGCAAGACGCAGGGCAAGGCGACACAAAAAAAACAGGAAAAACGAAAGGACTGATGCAAGAAAAGAAAGGTGTGGGTGAGTATATCTAGATGGAGGGGCGGGAGAGAACAGACAACGCAAAGAGACAAGGACGAGGGATGCAGAAGAATGGGAAAAGGATGGAAAGCTAGAAAACAAGACAGGATGAAGACAAAGGATCAGACGAAGAGCAGCTCGAGCGGTTTTCTATGTGGGACACGAGCGAGAGCGGCAGAGAGTGACGACGTGGGTATGTTTCTTTTTCCGGGACGGCAGGCGTGCAAAAGCAAGCAGCAGATTGCGAGCAAATGGGTAAAGTCGATGCCCGTTTGGAGCAACATGTGGACGTATGCTTGGGGTCATCGCCAAAGAGGACTTCATACCTCGTCAAGCTGCAGACGCAGATGCAGTGCGGCGGAGTGCAAGCTGCAGGCGCCCAGTTTTGTGGAACGGCGAAGAACGAGCAGGCGATAGTGCGTCTCAATGGCCGTGCGGCCTTGCGCGCTGGCCACGATGGAAATGAGGCTGTCGGCTGGGGGCCAATTGGGACAAGCTGCGGTTTCGTTGTTTACATCACCAGGGGCACGATGCTTGTAAGATATGCGCTGGCGAAGGAGGTGGGCGTATGAGACGAGAACGAGATGCAAGTTGGCTTGGGCAGGTCGGACGAGTCGGACAGGCCGGCGTTTGAAACCGGCGGTATTCAGACACCAATATTAGAGCAGAGACAGAGTGGTGATGCAATTTGAGCAGATGTACGAAGGACGTCGTATGGCGTATGACGAGCGATACTCCGTACGACTGGGGCCGGAGTAAGATACCCTGTGCGGCAGGAACAAGACTTGCCACTGCCTGAATTGAACGAAGCGGTCAGAGTGCACCTTCCATTTGCTGGATTCCCCTCTTGCTCCCTCCAGTGGCGCTTTCCTTGTTCGCCTAGACTGACTGAGACAAAGACCCGCGGAATCTCAAAAGGAGCAATTGCGTTCCAGGATTGAGTGTAGCACGAATACGGCAAGAGCATGTCAGGGTTGTCAGAGCCAGGGAGTGTCAACAGGAAGGTCGTCCCTTCCTTTCGGGGCTAGCAACAGCCATTGGTGTTTGGCGTTGGACTGCTCCGTAGTTCGCTCCAATGTGGCGGAGGATCTGTCACTGTCAGAAATTGACTTGGCTCCAGTACTTTTGGCTGTCAGCCTGCAAGCAGCTTCTCCTCCGTACGAAGTAGGTTTGCCGGCATCAGTTCCCTGTCAGACCTAAGCGTGTCTGCAAGGAGTCCCCCATCTGCAGGCATCTGCAGCCTTCTGCAGGCGACCTGCATGATACCTGCAGGCTGCGGCTGCAGGTGCCGTTTCGTGTCCGCTTGTCCGCTGACTGCTCTCGCGCCTCAAAATCACCAAGACGACGACAACAAAATAAACATGCAAAGTAAACACAGCGACTCGACGAGAACACGAGCAAACGGGAGCAAACGGGGGCAAATACGAGGAAACACGAGACCGAACAAGCAAGACGAGCAAGACGGAGAAAATCAATCAATTTTAATTTCTTTCGCTTCTTTTCCCTTTGATTTTACGTGTCATTTCTTTCATCTCGACTTTCTCTTCTCCAATGTCTCATTCATCCCCGTGTGCTCGAGCATCGAAATGTCCATTTTGTGGATGTCATCCCCAGAGTTCCCGCCGCACTGACACTTTTTTTTTCAAGAATTTAAACTGCTAATTTTATCCTCGTTTTGCTTTCAACAGGCCGACGAAACAAGTGGCCATTTTTTTTTTCTTTTCTTTTTCCATGTTCTTCCCGTTTTCCCAAACGGTTTACTTGGCAATGTCTATCAAAATAGTGTCCAGCAGCCTCGTATTAAAGGATTCTTTTTCTCTTTCGGCCGATTCTCTTGTCTTTTCGCCCCGTTATTGTCCATCTCGGCTTCTGTTCCCCACAGAGTGCATTGCAGATCGCCATTATGAAATGGGCCGAAAACAGGACGACTCTCCTCGACAGAACCTCGTCCGAAGATGCTGGTCATTATTCAATACCAAAACTATTAATACAATACTTCGTACGCGCTCCAACACGCCCAACATCCCCCTCTCCCTGTTCTTCTCCACGTGGCGCGTGATATCACCCGCAGCCACCAACACCCCGCGTCGCGACAGACCAGGGCAGGGTAACTACTTTGTACTTTTCCGGCCGCTCGCTTCTGACAGCGGCACGCATCTGCCCAAAGCCATTTCCTGGTAAAGATTGTGCCGGAGAAGGCTCTGCGGCTTCCCATCCCGCTGGCAAAAGCGGCTCGGCAGCACACGATTGCCAGAGCGCGCTGATTTGTAGAAGCCGTCCTCCTACATGACAAAAGATGCTCGATATTACAAAAACGGATGGATATTCGAATAGATGAATATTGCATCAGGAGCAATAGGGAGTGGCGGGAGATTGCACTTCCCGACAAAGGCTGTGGCAGAAGCGGCATATCTTCAACGTCGCGTATTCTTCAACGTGTGTTGCCGCAATCGAATGGTGGCCGAAACGGCACGTTCGTATCATCGTACAAGAGCATATGACAAATTGTGCTTTGTCTGCGTCGCAAGAGAGCGCCGAAACAGTCCCATCCGAAACAGGCACTCCGACTCGCAATGGGACATCCGCTCGGACTCGCACAACTCCCGTCCGGCCGAGTGGACAACGTGGCGTGCGCTTCTTGCAGAAAGTATGGGGACAGCTGTAGAGGCTGTAGAGCGATTCGCCCAGCCCATGGACGAACCCCTCAGTCGCTTTCCCGCTCAAATATGTCGTCGCGCCGCAGCGGCCGCGTCCCGTCGTTGAGCACCATCGCCTCGCGGTGTTGGCGCCGAATGCGCTGCTCTTCACGGGAGCTCTGGATGGGTGGTCGCGGCTGACGTGGGCGCGTGGGCGCAGACGTGCGTGGGCCGCCTGCAGCCGATTGCGCATCGCCCTCGACGTCGTCGCCGTCCACGCCGTTCACACCGTCCACGGCTTCCGCTGCACCGTCGCCATCGCCGTCGGCCAACCCGTCCAGAGCACTCAGAACGGTGCGCACGTTGGTTAAAACCGGCGCAGGCACCTCGCCACCTGTGCCTCGTGCAAGTTCCGTGACAACGTCGGCAGCCTCGACCTCGACGCCTGTGGCACTGATCGCTCTGACCTGCAATGGCGACGTCCGCAGCTCCAGCCGCAGCGGCGCATCCAGGGGCGACAGCGGCAGCTGCAGCAGATCCAGCTGCTTATGGCTGTGCGACCGCGCGCCTTGGCGTGCGCTGGGCGGGACGACCTCCAACAGCCCGGCTTTCCGCAGCGCACTGCGCCCCAGCAGCGTGTCCCGCAGGCGGCGGCAAATGTCCGCGATGCGGTTGTCGCGGTGCCGCACAAAACTCGCCCAGTTGTCGGCGCGCGCGGCCGGCGGGCCCCAGCGCTGCTTGGCCAGCCAGCGCTCGACAAACCCGACGCGCACGAGCAGGTCAATGTCGTACTTGTCGGTCAGCTGCGCCAAGAACATGAGGCACAGCTTCTCCGAGTAGTCGCGCAGGTAGTAGTCGTCAAAGTAAATGTCGTCGATCAGCGTGCTGCCCTCGTCGCTGCCGATGCCGTCGACGCCGACACCCTCGCGCACATTGGCCGCCATGCACTGCTCGAGGCACCGCACAAACGCGGCAAACGCCTCCTTGGAGTTGAGCCGGTGCATGGTGGTCTGGTCCGTCAGCATCGAGAGCGCGCGCAGGCTCATCATGCGCTCGTCGTACGCCGGCCGGCCCATGCCCCAGAGCAAACGCCGCAGCGTGGCGTCGTCGTTGATGGCCCGATCGCACACGATCTTGGCGGCCGTCTCGCGGATCGAAAAGTTGTAGTGGTCGAGCAGGCTGTTGAGGGTGTCGGCGGACAGCGAGTCCTCGGTGTCTTGCGTAATGTACTGCGTCTTGGGCATCGCCGGGTAGACGACACTAGAGGCATGGTACGGCTGTAGCGCCGCGCGCACGCCCACGTACATGCCGACCGTGGCAGCGGCCATCAGGCCCAAGCCGACGAGGCGCTCGTCGCGGATAAACGAATACCACGCCATGGCGGTGGAGGTGTGGTGGACGTCGCCAGTCGTGACGACCTGTCGTGATGGATCGAGGTGGTGATGGTTCGCTGATGAGGAGCTTCGAGCCGGACGAAGTAGCTTCCAGTGGGATTAGGTAGGTGGAAACGGCTGTCGAGCCCTGTGGAGTAGCCTCTGTACTGGTTTGCCTCACCTGACCGCTTTCATTCTGCCGCTGTAAACGGGCAGGCGTCCTGATAAGATAAGCCAGGTAAAAACGTTGTAAAGACCCACTAAAAAAGTTTCTGGGTCTTTGGGAGAGCAGCAAAATCGGTCCAACACTCAACTCTCAACTGCGTAGTCTCGACATCGCTCGACAATTCCTTCTCGACGACTCCGTCGACCCAACTCGACAAGCCCCCCTTCTCTACCTGCCATATTGAATTTGACGTCCAATCCCAGAGACCGACTCTCGACGACACCAACACAGCCATGGCAGGCTCGCAGCTCAAGCGGCTCAAGGCCTCTCTGCTTGACCAGGGCATCATCGGCCCGCAAAAGTCCAAAAAGCAGAAGAAGCAGGCCGCCGAGGAGGCCCGGGCCAATCGAGCAGCCGGCCGCGGTGACAAGCGCCTCAAAAAGTCGGCCGCCCTCGAGACGATTCGCGAGCAGTTCAACCCCTTCCAGTTCAAGATGAACGCACGGGGGCCCAAGTTCCCCGTCACGAGTCTCAAGTTGGCACAGGTGCCCGAGGGCCTGCGCGGCATCAAGGGCCGGCCGACGGTATCCCTGTCACGGGGTGAGGAGAAGCGGCGTGCGACGCTGTTAATGGACATGCAGCGGCGGAACAAGGTCGGCGGTATTCTGGATCGGCGGTTGGGCGAGGGCGACCCCAACATGACGCCCGAGGAGCGGGCCCTGGAGCGGTTTGCCTTTGAGAAGCAGCGCATCCACAACAAGAAGGGGGCCGTCTTTGACCTCGAGGACGGCGACGACGGGTTTTTGGGGGGCGCCGACGACGGCGGCGGCCTGACACACATGGGCAAGAGCCTGTCGCTGGGCGACTGGAAAGGACGCCGCCATCTCGGCAGCGACGACGACGAAGGCGACGACGACCTCGGCGCACACGACGACTTTGACGAAGACGATTTGGAGGGCAGTGACGCGGACGAGGACCCGGAGCGGGCGTACAAGAAGAAGCAGCTCAAGCGCATGCGGGAGGAGCTGTTTGGCGACAAGGAGGGTGGCGCGGCCGGCGGCGGCGGCGAGGACGGCGCGCCGGAACGGAAAAAGTCAAAGAAGGAGGTCATGGAAGAGGTGATTACCAAGTCCAAGTACTACAAGTACGAGCGGCAGCTGGCCAAGGAGAACGACGACGACATGCGTGCCGAGCTCGACAACATGCTGCCCGAGCTGCAGCAGCTGCTCTCGACGAAACCCGTCAAGCCCACGCCGCAGTCCAAGGACGTGGCACCCATCACCGGCGCGCCGTTCGACAAGGACGCCTTTGACAAGGCGTACGACGTGCGGCTGCGGCAGCTGATCCAGGACAAGAAGGCCGAGCCGTCGGCGCGCACCAAGACCGAGGAGGAGATTGCCGAGGAGCAGTCGGCGCATCTCAAGAAGCTCGAAGAGAGCCGCATGCGGCGCATGTTGGGCCAGATTGGCTACGACGAGAGTGGCAACGGCAGCGACGAGGAGAGCGACGAGGCCGATACCAGCAGCGGCAAGAACAAGGCCGACAAAGACGTCCCGGCTGTGCAGATCATCCGCGACGACGACTACGAGGAGGACGAGTTCAACTTGGGCAAGGGCATCAAGGTGAAGCACACGGCGGCCGAGCTGGGCTTTGACGACGAGGACGACTTTTTGATCGACGACGACCTGGTCTTTAGCGGGTCTGAGGTGGACGTCGACGAAGATGACGAGGACGAGAGTGGCGACGAGGCAGGCAGCAGGGCCGAGGAGGAGGACGAGGAGGAGGAAGAGGACGAGTTTATCCGCGGCCTGCTGACCGAAGACGAGAAGAAGAATGCCGTCTTCGCCAACGCGGGCAAGCTGACCTCGACAGCCCCCAAGGGCCGCGACGACGACGGCGTGCCGTACACGTTCCCTTGTCCACAGACACACGCGGAGCTGCTAGACGTTCTCGAGGACGTCCCCGTTGCCAAGCTGCCCGTCGTGGTGCAGCGCATCCGCGCGCTCTACCACCCGAAGCTGGACCACGGCAACAAGGACCGGCTCGGCCGCTTTGCGGCTGCCCTTGTCGAGCACATTGCTCACCTGGCGAACGGCGAAGCACCGCCTTACGCAACCATTGAGAGCCTGGTCCGCCATATCCACTCGCTTGCCAAGGCCGTGCCGAGCGAGGTGGCGGTCGCCTTCCGCTCCCATCTTGCGGCTATGGAGGGCATTGTCACTGACGATGCGGCCCCCGTTACGAATGGCAGCCGGGCCCTCGCGCTCAACAGCGGCGACCTCGCCATCCTGACGGCCGCCGGCTCCGTGTTCCCCACGTCCGACCACTTCCACCAGGTCGTCACGCCGGCGATGCTGGCCATGGCACGCTACCTTGAGCAGGCACCGCCGCGGTCACTGGCCGACTACGCCACAGGTCTGTACGTGTGCACGCTGATGTGCCAGTACCAGCGCCTGTCGAAGCGGTACATGCCCGAGCTCATCAATTACGTGCTCAACACGCTGCTGGCACTTGCGCCGGAAGGTTCGGATGCACTCGCCAACCCGGCCACCGGCCACATCCCCGTGCACGCGCCAGCCCGTGATGTGCGCATCCAGAAGGCACAGTCCCTCAAGACGGTGCGCAAGCTGCGGATATCGGACTGCCGGCCGTCGGACGACGACACGGAAGCACGCAAGGCCGCCCTCTTTAGCACGGCCCTCGCGCTGCTCAGCGACGCCGCCACCAACTTGTGGGCCGGCAAAGCATCGCTCGTCGAGACCCTCGAGCCCTGCCGCGCCGTCCTGCAGCACCTGCGCAACACAACAGCCTGCCGCAGCCAGCTCCCCGCGCCGCTCAACAAGGAGGTCGACCGCCTGGCCGCGCAGATCGACGCCGCGCAGCGCCTCGCCCACCTCGCGCGCCGCCCGCTCGAGCTGCACCACCACCGCCCGCTGGCCATCCGCACGTTTGTGCCGCGCTTCGAGGACGCGTTCGACCCGGACAAGCACTACGACCCCAACCGCGAGCGCGCCGAGGCCGCCAAACTGCAGGCCGAGTTCAAGCGCGAGCGCAAGGGCGCCCTGCGCGAGCTGCGCAAGGACGCGCACTTTATGCAGCGCGAGAAGCTCAAGATGAAAAAGGCCAAGGACGCCGCGTATGAGAAAAAGTACAAGCGGCTGGTGGCCGAGATCCAGGGCTCCGAGGGCCGCGAGGCGAACGCGTACGAGCGCGAGCGACAAGCACGGAAGCGGAAGTAGATGTGCGTTGTCTGGGTGGACTGTTGCCGGGTCTTGTTTGTTGTATTCTGTTTATATTGCATTTTTTGCATTGCATGGGTCAGGGGGTCAGGTCTACCCTAAACATTTTTACGCACGTTGTCATGGATCACAACCATTAGATAAGATGGAAATGCAAAATTAGTTGTATTTGCAAACTCTATACGTAAAGAGTAACAGTAAAGAGGTGAAATTTAAGGTCTTTTATTTTAATACTTAATTTATTTATTTTTTATCCAGGCGAGGAATATAAGAAACTCTTTTTAATTAAAATTTCGCATAAAAATGAATATAATTGCTTTGAACAAACCTAGTCTTCATTAAATAATTTATGAAGATTTACATCAACATCCAACGAACAATCGTATGCTAGATTTTTTGGCATTTTGATAGTACACTGTTGTATAAGTTTTAAAGTGAAAATGCAATGAAGGTCAAGGCTGGTTCCATTTGCGGAAAGCGGTGGCTGCTCGAATGCGCCTTCCGCTGTTCGAGGTTGACCGCCAAAATTTTCTGCCAGCCCAAAAATAAATTTCTTAGCGTATGGAACCTGCCCTGAATGCACTGAAGCCTCTGACAGCAAAACGGCCAGTCAACAAAATCGACAAAATCGACGACAAGAGGCATTGGCTGTCTTTCCAACCGATTTGTCGTAGTTTCCCCTCGAAAAAATTCCCTTCCATTACCTTACTATAGCCCCTGCCAACATGGGCAAGAGAAAGCGGTCGGGCAAGGCCAACGGCGGCCAGCAGAACGGCGCCACCAACAAGCGCGCCCGCATCGTCGACATGGACGACAGCGATGCCGAGAACCAGACCAGCGGCATTCTCCCTGTGAAGTTTGCGCCGGGCGAGAGCCCCGAAGAGAAGGAGGCTCTGCTGGAGAACAAGACCCTGTTCGCGTCGGACCTGTCGCGCGCCGACCACGACCGCGAGCGTCGCCTCTACAAGCTGCTGGGCAGCGCCGACGTCGAGGACCGCATCCGGGCCGCCGACACGATTGTGTCTGCGCTGCTGGGGAGCGGCTCTGCGTCCGTGCCGGAGGCGGTGCTGCGGCGGCACCTCGAGCGGCGGCTGCTGCGCGGACTCGCCAGCGGCAGCGAGGCGGCCCGCGTCGGCTTCAGCTATGTGCTGTCGGAGCTGCTGGGCCAATTGTTTGGACGCAGGGACGAGGACGAGACCGCCGACGCCGCGAAGACGACCGACTACGCCTCGACGTATCCCAACCTGACGTTTGACCGCATTCTCGATCTGCTGCTCGAAAAGACCAAGCCGGCCGCCAACCTGCCCGGACAGGAAGAGCGTGACCACTACTGGGGCCTGCTGTTTGGCCTGCAGAGCTTTGTGGAGTCGGGCATCTTGTTCGGCCCCGGCGACAACGGCCGTGTGCGCTACTGGGACACGCTGTTGCAGCACCTGCTGCAGCTCGGCCACAAGAAGGTGTGGCTGCGGTCGCAGGCGTGCTTTGTCGTCGTGCAGGCGATTGCGCGTGGCCGGCTGCCCGACAAAGCGACGGTCGCTGCGACGCTGCAGACGGTGGCGTCGGATGCCAGCGGCGACAGCCTGGCCAAGACACCCGAGGGTCTGGGCATGTGGCTGGCCGCGCTGGCCCGCTTCCCCGAGATGGCCCTACCGGCACCGTGGACGGCGCCGCTGGCGCCCGGCTCCCACAAGGACGTGGTGGCCGTGCTCAAGAACAGCGGCGGCGACAATGACGGCAACAGCGAAGCGTCGTCGTCAAAGACCGTTAAGCAGGGCAACGCTTCGGCCCAGCTGCACTTTGTGTGGGATCTGTTGCTGGATGCGCTGCTTGTGGATGGCGCTGCCAAGCGCTTCGACGCCTTCTGGGTTGCCGTCGTGGACCAGGTCTACTTTGCCAAGGGCGCATCCGACCACCAGAAGCTGACGGGCTTCAAGGTGTTCCAAAAGGCACTGGCGCTGTGCGCGGCTATGGCCGACAAGCCAGCGGACGCCGACACCGACGCCGTCCACCCCAGTCTGTTCAGCAACAACCTGATGGCCTGCCTGATGAACCAGGCGTCCAACCCAACACCACGGTTGCACCGTGCCGCCGTCCAGGTGCTCAGGGTTATAGAGCGCCAGGTCGAGGAGAACCCGCGTATTCTGGTGCCCGTCCTCTCCTGTCTTCTTGGCAGCACGCCCCAGTCCCACGGCGTCTACGACTTTGACGAGCGCGTCAAGGGCACCGGAGACGGTACTCGGCCTGTGGAAAAGATCCTGCGGTTTGCCGACGGTGACAGCATCGGGGATGTTGTCCGTCTGCTGCGCACGGGAGCTCTGCACGCACCTGACGCGAACGGCGACCAGAAGCCGCTCCGGATCTATGCTGAGTACCTCTTCCGCCTAGTCAGCCGTGCCGGCGCAGACACCACCGCTGCCAGCCAGGCTGGTGAGGTGTCTGTGAGCAGCATCGCCTTCCAGGCGCTGGCCGAGCTGGCTTATCCAACGGCCACCGTCACGGGTGGTGCTGCTCCCGAGACGACTGGCAACGAAAAGTCAAAGAAGAAAAAGTCCAAGTCAGCTGCGCCGGCCCCTGCTTCCGACGCCACTGCTCCCTTCCCCAAACTCAACGAAAAGACCCTGGCCGCCTGCCGGAAATCGTTGGTCTCGGCCGCTGGTGCCCTGCTTAAGCGCCCCGACGACTTTGCCTCGTTCTGCCGCACCGTGCACGCGATCGAGCCTGATTCGGTCGGTGTCGCCATGACGGGCGAGATTGAGACGCGCGTTCTGGCTGCACGACAGCAGCTGAAGCAACTGCTCGTCTCGTTCGATGCTGCGCCCACCAAGGCGTCGAAGAAGACCGGCGACGCCGCGGCAGCGTCGCGTGCCCGCCAGGGCCTTGCTGTCCTCTTGTCTGTGTCGCTGCTGCAGCTGTACCACGAGCCGCGGGCCGATGCCATCGAGGTGCTTGATGACATCCAGGCGTGTGGTGACAAGCTGACGGCTGCGCTGGCCCGAAGTGGCAAGAAGGAGGAGGCTACGCACAAGGTGAAGAGGGGAAAGAAGGCGAAGAATGTAGATGTTGCGGAAGGGGACGATGAGGACGACGAGGACCACGACGAAGACCATGAGCACGGCGAGCCCGACATTGGCCAGGTCCTGACGGACGTCCTGCTTTCCCTGCTGGCCGAGTCGTCGCAGCTGACGCGCCAAACGTCGCTTCAGGTCTTTGAGCCGTTCACGCCGTTCATGTCGGCCGAGGCCCTGGATAACCTGACGGATGTGCTGGCGGCGGAGGAGAACACGTCTGGGTACCGCACGCTGTTCAACCAGGAGGATGAGGATGAAGAGGAGGACAGTGACGATGAAGACGGCGCGGATGACGACAGCGTCGAGATGATGGACATGGATGCAGACGGCGACGTGACGGCACTGGCCGAGGGCGTGGATTCGAGCGACGAGGAGGACAGCGACGATAGTGACGATGCGTCGTCCGATTCAGATGACGAGGTGGTAGATGCCGACAAGGACAAGCCGAACGGTAAGAAAGCTGGCGGGGACGATGCCGCCGACGACAGCCTCGAGGCTGCTCTCCGCAAGACATACGGCGGTATTCTACTGGAAGACGGTGACGGCAAAGACGGAGACAAGGACGACGGCGACAGCGACAACGAGTCGGACATGAGCGACGACGCCATGCTGCGCCTTGACGACCACTTGGCCAACCACCTCGCCATTATCCGCAAGAAGACCGACAGCCACAAGAAGGAGCGCGACGAGGCCCGCAAACGTGTCGTCGCGTTCAAGCACCGCGTGCTCGACCTGGTCGAGACGTACGTCAAGAAGGCGTCGTCGTCTCTCGCAGAGACCAACCTGCTCCTGCTCTTCCGCCTGCTCCTGCCGCTGGTCTTGCTGGTCCGTGACACCAAGGAGCCGGCCCTGTCGCAGAAAGCGGCGCGCATCGTCCAGGAAGTGCCGCGGCAGCTGAAGAAGGGCCGGTCGTCCTTGTCCTCGACGTCGTCCTCGACCGAGGCAGCTGTCGACCTCGACGACGCTGTTGGCATCATCGAGGAGCTGCATGGGGCGGCCAACGACAAGACGGAGAACCGGGCCTTTGCGGCCGCCGTGTCGACGGCCAGTCTGGCGATTGCATCCACGCTGTGGGCGACGACGGCGCCTGCGAGCGACGAGCGCACGGCCGCCTACCAGCGCGTCGCGGACGTCTACCGGTCGACACAGGACCGGTGGGTGCTCGACGGCTGGAGCGTGCGGACGTCGCTGTTTACGGACTGGTACAACTGGTGCCAGAATGCCGCGCGGGGGAGCGGTGCATAGTGGAGGCATGTACATCGAATGCCGAATGTCGTTAGTTAAGTAGACGGCGGCATTATATGATGTCCAATCCTTTTTGCATTTCAAAACTTCAGCGTATAGAGAAATCAAGCAGCATATCAAGACACAAGATATCACAGTTCTGGAGGATACTTTTGAGGAAATTCGCCGTACTACTAAAAGACAAAAGGGAGCAGCCACTGTCTATGCCTGTCGCTGCATGCTATCATACATGTCAACCCCTGGGCTCGGAAAAGTAAGACATGGCCGTCATGCACTAGGTCGTATGATATTGCCCATGAATGCGTGATGTATTATTTTTCTTCCGTGCCTAACCTCATTGCCTTGTCCATCTGTCATGCCCTACTCATCATCCTCGTCCATTTTGTCGTCGTCCTTCTTTTCGTCGTCGTCGTCGTCGCCCTCGAGACTCGCCTTGGCCAGACGCTCCGCCTCCAGCCGCAGCGCCCGCGGCACCTCGACGTGGCGGCCGCCCGTCGGGCCCTCCACCGTGCTGATCCACGTCATCTCCAGCTCAAACTCCTTGTCCTTGTTGTCGTCGTGCGCCACGTAGATGATGCGCGCCGCCTCCTTGACGCCCTGCTCCAGCGAAATGCCGCCCTCCTCGCCGTCGCCCGCCAGGTCCAGCTTTTCCAGCTCGGCCTTGGCGGCCTGGCGGCCTTTGCCGGTGGCCGCGCCGTAGTAGCCCCAGTACAAGCCCGACGGCTCCAGCATGTACAGCGCGGGCCCGCCGTACGTCTTGCCGGCCGCGCGGCCGCCGGCGCCCACCTTGGGCCCGGACCCGACCTCGCCGTCCACGGGCTGGTCCTTGTCGCTGTCGAAGCCGGCCAGGATGGCGGTGACGCCAAAGGGGCGGACGGACTGGTAGAGCGTGTAGGCCTGCAGGAAGCCGCCGACGCGCGAGGCCAGCTCGCTGGTGGCAATGGGGGCTTTGAAGGTCTCGCGCCAGCTGCGGGCCTCCTCGCGGGCGCGGTCGACGAGGTGGCGGCCGTCGGGGGTCATGCCCGAAAACGCCATGCCCAGGTGGCGGTCGATGGTGGCGATGCGGCGGTTGGCGCCGGGCTTGAGCAGCTTGGAGCCGACAATCTTCTCGACGGCCAGGACAACGCCGTCACGGCACCGGATGCCGACCGAGGTGCCGCCATTCTCAACGGCCTTGATGGCGTATTCGACCTGGAAGTTGCGTCCGTCGGGCGAGAAGATGGAGTTGGCCAGATCGTAGCCGGTTCCTATGGACGTCTGAGGGAGAAGGGAAACTTGTCAGTATCGGCCGGACAACGATTGGGTAAAGGACGAAGTTCACTATAGTTGTCGAGCTCGTAGGGTCGCCATTGGCAATAGGCACATACCATTGTGAAGGTTTGCTGAAATGAATGAGGCGATGTGGAGATGAGGAGAGGAGGGAGACGGTCGACAACGTGGGATGGGTGGAAAGCAGCTGGAGAAAAAGGCAGTCGAGTATCGAGGATGCGAGCCGAATCGGACGTGCAAAAGTGTGCTGCGTTATGCGTCGTGAACAGGTGGATTGGCAGCTGACGATGCAGGCTGAAAGGGCGACGACGTGGGATGCACCGAGAAGAAGCTCTTGTGCTAGCCAGGCAAACAGGAGCTGTCGCGTTGCTGGCCAGCGGTGGCCAGTGCCTGGCGTTTGGGCAATGGCCAGTGTGGCGCGAGCATTCTCAGCCACACATTTCAAATACAGTGTAAATGCAAATATATACGGTATCACTGTTCGACAAGTCTTGGAGAACCAACCAATCAGGTGTTACGGCTTGTTCGAGCTGCTGGATAGCTTTGTTGGGGCAGCTTCTGGTTGAGCTCGGTTGCTCCTTTTCGTCACGACTTTGCAACGAAGATGACAAAGGACGGAGGGAAGGTTCGACAGTCGTTTTCATTGATACCAATGACAGAGGCATTCGGATTGTTTATAACAAGATGCTTTTCGACTACCAATGACTGCAGCGCAATATATCGAACAGGGTTGTCAATGGCGATCGCGCTAGCCCGGCTTTGCAGCGAAATCTTGCCGCCACTTCTTGCCGCCGATGTCTGACTCAACGTGCGTTTTGTTGAGAGAGTGAGAAGTCTCTCAAAGTGATAGCAAAGACAATGTTTCAAAGCCAATATTGATCATAATTTCGTATAGCTGTTATGGATCTACCGCTGCTGTCGCCCGTCTCCCTTTTACCGTCCCAAAAAGACACCCGTAACACCTGTCCATCTGCATAAAGCCCCGCCTTACTCTTCCGTCAGGTTGTAAATCTTCTGGATATCGGCCAGGATCTGCTTAAAGTCGACGTTGAGGTCCTTGAGCAGGCCGTCGTGGAAATCAAAGACCCAGCCGTGGACAATGGGGAAGCCGTTCTTGGCGTACATCTTTTGCACGGCGGCCGTCTTGATGATGTTGCGGCACTGCTCGAGGACGTTGAGCTCGACCAGGCGGTTGTAGCGCGCGGTCTCGCCGGCGATGGCGTCGAGCTCGGCCTCGTGCAGGCGGTAGACGTCGCGGATGTTGCGCAGCCAGGGATTCAGGAGGCCCAGGTCCTTGGCCGTCATGGCCGCCTTGATGCCACCGCAGCCGTAGTGGCCGCAGACGACAATGTGCTTGACGTGCAGGTGGTCGACGGCGTAGTTGACAACGGACATAACGTTGACGTCGATGTTGCAGACCAGGTTGGCAATGTTGCGGTGCACAAAGGCCTCGCCGGGGCCCAGGCCCGTGATCTGCTCGGCCGGGATGCGCGAGTCGCTGCAGCCGATCCACAGGTACTCGGGGTTCTGGCCGGCGGCGAGCTTTTCGAAGAACGCAGGGTCCTCGCTGCGCTTCTGGGCAGCCCACGCACGGTTGCTCTCAAAGACGCGGTCGTGCGTCTGCTGGAGATACTTGCTGACGTCGCCGGGAGCCATCTTGTTCCAGGGGTCACTCCCACGGTGACTGTTGGCGCTAGAGGTTGCGAAGCTGGACAAGGCCGTGCGAGAAGGCGCGGCGAGGGGAGCAAATGGACGTAAAGACGGACGCACAACGCGCGTGACGGGCAATGACGATGACGAGAGCAAGGATCGCAGGAAGATGGGACGTTGCAGCAACGGCGGCATGACGAGCTGTAGGTGGCTGCGTTGTTTTCGGGCAGGTGCGACGGAATGCACCTTTTTTTCTTATTTGGAAAGTACTACTTAGGGCGGTTTAGCAACACACGCCGAGAGAATTGGGGCTGCACGGAGGGGTACTTTTTCGATGCGGCTTTACAGATGGGTATTTTTCCGGATGGGGTTTTCTTTGATGGGAAAGTGCCGGAATTGCATGTTCCTGACAGGCGCACTTAGCGAGTCAAGTCAAATGCATCCTGGCCTGAGGCAACTGCTGGGGGCCGCGTGGCAGCGCTGGAATTCGGATTAGTGAACACTGAACTCCATTTAGCGTGCATCCACTATCTTTGTATTGTTCCACAGCATAACGAGCTTCATCCGTGAATTCCCAAGTGAGGGTTCGTGAACACTTGTACCATTTCCTCTCCACAGACTTGCCTGACTGCCCAACTGACCGATGGAATCCGAGGCTCCAGCACCGGCGTCGCGCACGCTTGTTGCACAGTGCATGTGCAAGGCTGTGCATTTCACCATCACCGTCCCGGTGGCTGAACTTCCGCTCGGCGTGCACATGTGCGGGTGCTCTGTCTGCCGCACGACGCATGGCTCCTACACCTGCTTCCACGCGCCGCTGCCCGCCGGCATCCGCCCCGAGTTTGTCGCGCCCTCGTCGCTCGAGGGCAGCACGACGGGCTACCGGCATGCGACGGCCATGGCGACGCGCTATTTCTGCAAGACGTGCGGCGCCCACATTGGCGACGACGACTTCGACTCGGCGACGGGCACCAAGCCCGCGGACGCCGAGTGGCGCGTGTCTTCGTCGCTGTTTGAGGCGGGCCTGCACGACGACGGCGCCCCCAACCAAGCCTTTTCGCTGCGCACGCACGCCATGACCGACTCGGCGCCCTCTGGCTTCCACGAGTGGCTGCCCCGTCTCGGCGACCGTGTCCTCTTTAAATGGAACCCCAAGCCGGGCGATGACTTTTACCCACCGGCGGCGGCCGACCCCTACGAGCCTCAGGCACCCGAGTACGATGCCAACGGCCGAGAGGTTCTGCGGGCGGCCTGCCACTGCGGCGGCACCTCCTTCACCATTGCCCGGCCGGCCGACACGCCCAATCTCGCCGAGATCGCCAAAGCCGCCGGGCTTGCTCTGTCCTCCGAGTTCCCGGACCGCTGGATCGGCTTGCTCGATGCCTGTGACGACTGCCGCCTGGTCGACGGCAGCCACGTCATTGGCTGGGTCGATCTGCCCATCGCCAGTCTCTCTCCAGCGGTCCCACAGGACTTTGAAATGGCCACGCTCACGACGTACAAGTCGTCTGACAGGGGGCTCCGCGCCTTTTGCCGTGTCTGCGGCGCCACCGTCTTGTTCCGCCACTACCACCGCGGTGACAGCCTGACCGTTGATCTGGCGAGCGGTCTGCTGAGGGCGCCCGAGGGCGTGGCGGCCCACCGCTGGGTCCACTGGCGCAACGGCCGGGTCCTGTTCCTCGACAGCGCTGAGCGGTACCACTCTGGCTTTGGCAAGAGCCTGCAGGAGGGCTTTGCTGCGTGGGCGGCTAAAACGTACGCGACAGAGCAGGCTTGAGATGCAAATGATGTAAATGTTGCAGACGTGCACATGTCTGGTGTTGTACTTTGACGAGCGAGCGACGATTACGAGTGACGGGTAACGAACGATGAATGATGATCCATGAACAATGATAAATGCAATTAAAAAAAAATAGCGATGTGAGAATGAAAGGTACACGAGAACAGAAGCAATAAAAGCCATAAAAAAAACTCCAGGAACCAAAAAACTTGCCCGCACATGGGATTGAACCATGGACCTTAGCATCTCGCACAATGACTGCCGCGCTAGTCGGCAATACAAGTGATACGCTCTACCACTGAGCTATACGGGCGACTACTTGCTAGTTTATACCAGCAGCGTTCTTATTACGGTACATATTGCAAACACGAGACCCACATGACTCCCTAAACACCCGCCATCGACGACATATTTGTGCATGTTCATTCATCAGCATCTCCAATTTCATGACTTCTCGCAATAACGTATCGCTCTGCCGCGTTGTTTTGCAACCGACATTCACGGCCGCTTGGTTTGCCGAGACCTCGCACCCTTTATTGTTGACCACTGTCATCTAAATTCCGTCTCTGGGACGAGCAGTTCATGCAATTCGGGAATTTCTTATTAAGCTTCCTATAGTTGTATGAGTTTAATTGCGGAGGATATCTGTATTTCCTAGCGCTCAGACCGATGACTGCATGGACATGACGCGCATTGTGACGAGTGGACAAACGCTTTACAAAGTAGATCACCAGGCCCCCAAAACAGAAACATGATACGAACCACGGTCGTAGCGACGATGACCGTCTGCTCTTCCGCTGGGAGGCTCTTGCTGTCACGGGTCCGGAATCGACAGACGGATGACCGCTGCGAGGAAACAATATCAGAGAGATGTGAAGAAAATCAATACGTCAATATTGTTTGTGACTTTTTATGGTCGTATTGTTCCTAGGCTCATTTTGTCTCCTTCCTTTTAAATTCCAAAGTAAACAGACAAAGATGAATAATCATTTATTGGTGACGCTGACAGCTGTTTCAGAGGCAGTGTCTCGTTTTCGTCCGCGTCATATATGTCTTTTACGGCCGCATGCGAGTCAAGACACCTCTTGAAGTGCATTAATGTGAGAAAGCATAACGACATTAAGGAGCATCGTCATTACTGTTTACTTGGCGGAAAGAAAAGAGAGTAGTTGGCAGCCAAAGGTTGGGCCAAGAGCCAACGGCCAAGAGACCACCTCGACGGACATCACAGGAGACAAAACAGTCCCAAGACTTGTCCAAGAGAATTAAGAGGACCAAGAACACTAAGACACCAAGCTTTTTAAGATGTTTTGATGTATTTGACGCGGAGCGCTGTCGCGGGTATTAATATATCAGGAAGACGCAGCTTCCGTACTGACGGTCGCGGCCAGGAGGCCCAAAGTGCTGTAGTATCGGCGACGTGCGACACAGAGACCTCCAGTGAGACGCCAATATTCTTGGGAGTTCGTTTTTAAGTTGTTCACTATTACTTGGCAGCACGAATGTGTTGTCTTCAACACCGTCGTATTACTACGTTTGAGGAGATGGCCGGAAGGACGCCATGTTTGATCTACGCCAAGACCCTCTGTTTGGAGCTGTCGCAGTGTTCCGCTGATTACTCCCCCGTATTGAGTTTGACATACACGCCTGCCCCCTTTCTAGGCGACACTCGTTCGGGACGTCCCCTCCCCAGCGCTTTTTTAGGAGGCCGTTTCAGCCAAGGGGCATGTGGGGCGCCATTGTTGACACCCAATCCCACAATGAGCATCTCTGTTCGCATTTTACTTTCCGTTCTTTGTAGTATCCTCCTCCTTGAAGGATGATTGAAAGATTCGCAATCTTAGGTTATCATGAATAGGATCTTAATTGCATCTCCTTCAATTTAGCCTTGCGATGCATGGCGTCTGCAATAAGGCAGGAACAGCGGCTGAACCCGTCTGAATGCCCGCCTCGCTCCTGCCTTCAATTTAACACCCGCTTGGATTCATGCATTTCCATTCTCAAAGAGATAAGATCGAAGTTTAAAGTCAGACGACACAATATGGAGGGGATATCTTGAGATGGGAAGATAGTATAAGTGAAAACAGCTCTTCCACACGAATCCTGTGTCCCCTTTACTTTCTCTCTGTTTTCTCTACAGAAATCAAAGTCTCGTCCGCACTTGGCGTTCTTGGCTGCTTCGTTTTCTTTCTTGTTTTCTTTTTCGTTGTTGCTTTCTCCGTCCTTCTCTCGTCTGACCTTGGTATCGTCAGTGCAAAACAAACAAAATCGTAAAATCTTGCCGTAAGGAACCATGAAGAAACCAAGACTAGCAAAACAAAAATAAAGCCCGAGCCAAGATGACCAGATGGCGTTTGTCAAACAACGATGTTGCACGCAGCCACAGCTCCGTTCTAAAAAAGAACTCATTTGAGGGCCCTTGGAATTGATTGGAGGTCGTTGTCGTTCAGCATGGCTCGAAGCGCACACCTCTGGGCTGCGCCCAAACGCCCGTGGAATCCCCCACACAACCTGGCCTGCCCTCCTTGGCCTTGGCCAGCTTGGCCGCGCAGATGCGGGTCGTTTCTTTTGCGGGCAGAGGCTTCTGCCCTTGTCCTCCATTGGGGGGTGCTTTGCATGGCGTTTCGAATCCAGTCCTCCGTTTTTGCGGCGTCATCCGTCTCCTGCTTGGCTGCTTGGCCGCTTTGCTACAACGCACTCGTGCGTGCTTGGCCAGACCCTGCCCCTGTCGGCTTCGGTGTCTCGCAATGGGGACCCTGGCTTTTTGGCTTTGCTCTCGTTTTCTCTTGTTGCCCTCTTTCTCTGTTTCTCACTCTTTTTTTGTGTTTCTCGTGTCTTTGTCTCGTGTCGCTTGCTTTTGCTTCATTCATTCTTTCTTTTCGTCCCTTTCTCTTTCTTTTTCCTTTTTGTATATTTTCTTTTTTCATCTCGCCACCCCTCCCCCCTTTTCTTGTATTCCTTCGACGAGAGTATTTTTTTGTTTACGTACTCGTCGTTTCTTCATATTCTCCTCGCTGGTCGTCGTTTGTCTGCCCCGTCTCTTCGTCTCGGTCCTTCCTTTTTCAATACTATTTGTGCTTTTTATTTGCTCCGTTTTTTTATTCGTTCTACGAACTTTGGCCAAATCATCGGCATCGACCCGACGACACAATCAAGACACAATCGAACCCGAACGATCTGGCATCGAGTCGTTCTGTCAGCCGTATCCTCGTGCTTTCTTTGATTATCCTCGCCCGCAGGCTGTTCCATTCGTTTTGTTCGACTCATCAGCGTCACGTCAGCGTCCCTTTCTCGTTTTCTCTTTCGACTTTTTCAGCGAGCGCGTTCGACACAGCGACAATTTTCGTCTTTTCCGATTTCGCCTGATTCGTCCTCGTTATCGTCTTCGATCGTTTGTCTTTGCCCATGCAGCCGAGATAGCTCGTTCATTTTCCTTTCCCGCCTTTTTGGGTTTCCGTCCACGCTTGTGGACTTCCAGTCATTTTGTATCCACCATGGCGTTACGATTGTGTCTGTTGTTGGGCGTGTCGTTGGCGTCAACTGCCTCGGCAGCGATCGTTGATCCGTCGGTTATTAGTGGGAGTGCACCCGTGCCAGTGTCGACCGTCTCGGCGGCGGTCGCCGCCGCCGAGACGGTCGACATGCAAGACGGCTGCATCCACTTCCAAATCGTCCACTCCAACAACGCACAGCATTTCACCAAGCGCGCCGTCGAACTCTCGCTGGCCAACCGGTCCGACGTGGCCTACTACGCCAAGCTCGAGTTTGGCACGCCGCCGCAGGCGCAGTACGTGCAGCTGGACACGGGCTCGTTTGAGCTGTGGGTGAATCCGACGTGCAGCTCGGCCGGCGGGCTGTCGTCGGGCGACGCCAACTTTTGCCAGGCCGTGGGCCGCTTTGAACCGTCGGCGTCGTCGACCTTTACGTCCTTGAACGTGGGCAAGCAGCTGCGGTACGGCATCGGGACGGCCAACATCACGTACGTGACGGACGACATTTCCTTGCCGGGCACGTCGTCGGTCCTCTCCCAGGTCCAGTTTGGCGTGGCGACGGTGACGCAGGACGAGTTTTCCGGCATCCTGGGGATTGGCTACGGCCTGGGCCTGACCACGCGGTATCCCAACTTTGTCGACGAGCTGGCCATGCAGAACGTCACGCGCGTCAAGGCCTTTTCGCTGGCCCTCGGCAGCAAGGCGGAGCAGGAGGGCGTGATTGTCTTTGGCGGCGTGGACACGAGCAAGTTTTCCGGGCAGTTGGAGCGTCTGCCCATCACGCCGGCCAAGTTCTCGCCGGACGGCGTGCCGCGGTACTGGGTCAACATGACGTCGCTGGGGCTGACGCCGGCGGGCACGGGAGGCGCCCCAAAAACGTATCCCAACAGCAAGCTCCAGGTCTTCCTCGACAGCGGCTCGACCTTGACCCTCCTCCCCTCCGACCTGGCCAACGCCATCGCCGCCGACTTTGGCGCCGCGGCGGCCAACAGCGACGGCTTCTACGCCGTCGACTGCCGGCTAGCGGCCACGGCCGGCGGCAGCCTCGATTTCACGTTTGGCGGCACCACGGTGCGCGTGCCCTACAGCGAGCTGATCCGGCAGTCGGGCAGCACCTGCATGCTGGGACTGCAGGCCAGCACCGACTTTGTGCTGCTGGGGGACACCTTTTTGCGTTCCGCCTATGGTGAGTTCTCGCAACGTCACATGCTCTGAGGAGAACGGGTCTGGATACTAACCTGCGGCTGCGCATCGTACAGTTGTGATTGACCAATCCGACAATGTCGTCTGGATGGCCCAGTACGCCAACTGCGGCTCAACCCCGGCCGCCCTCGCGTCGGCCGCGTCCCTCTCCACGCTGACTGGCGTCTGCACGGCCGCCAACAGCCTCGAGTTGTCCTCGGGCGCGTCGGCCTCTGCGTCGGCGACGGCCTCGACTGCAACAGGGACAGCGCCTGCCAGAACGGCCACATCGGCCGCCACACCAAAAGCGGGCACGACCTCGTCGTCGTCGTCAAATTCGGGTGCGACAACCAGCCCGGCTGCCGCTGCATCGGACTCGGCACCAACAGCCTCCGTGTCAAGGAGGCGGGTGTATGTCGTCGCTGGCAGCGTCGTGGCTGCGATGTTGGGCAGTTCGATGCTGGACTGGTTATGATGCAAGGGGAGGAAACTGGCAATGTAAACGAGACAACAGAAGCAGCCGACACACAGCTGACATACAGCTGTACATGTACATAATATTGTTTACTGTTCTACAGGCATATTTACAGCATATTTAAAGCATATTGACAAGAATAAGGTCGGAAACCCGCGTAGATATGCGTCTCATTGCTCGAATTACAAATACACTGCACCATTCACTAACACGTCCACTAACACCTTTCCACTAGCGCTGTAATTGCGTTTTAGTACCGCCGTCATACTTAGTTTCACTGCTTCTGTCCATCACCGTCCTTCTTCTTCCGCTTCACTCCACCACTTGTACAAAACAAGTCACTTACATTGACTTTCGATCCTTCCCTTTGACTACACCATGTCGGCACCCGACCGCGCCCGTCGTCGCCGGCAGAGCAAGGCCTGCACGCGCTGTCGGAAGAGGAAGATTCGGGTAGGTCCTTCCTGTTGTGTTTCGCCGTTCGTTCTTTGTTCATCGTCCTTCGTTCTTTCCTTCTCGCTCACTTAACCTGCCCGTGTTCCTTCCTTCCTCGCTCACTTTGTTTATTCGTAGTGTGACTTCAACTTCCCTGCTTGCGGCGCCTGCGTCTCTGCCTCTGCCCCCTGTGTCGGCTTCGACTCGATCCATGGCGTGGAGAAGCCGCGCAGTGTCATCTCGCACCTCGAGGAAGAGGTCGAGCGGCTGGAAAAGGAGCTGCAAGAGACGAAGCGGGACCAAGAAGTGGCCCTGCCTGGCGACCAGACAGCCGACCGCGCCGCCCAGGCGAAGGAAGTGGTGGACCGAATGACGACTCGACTGGCGACGGCGACAGTCTCGCCCGTCTCGCCCGTCACTGCCACCGCTTCCATGTCCATGCTCCCCCTCACGTCCAGCGTCTTTTTTGTCGGCTCGCCCGCACCGCACCTTCACAAATCGAGTGCCTGGGACGAGACGAGGGGCCCGGCGGCGACCCTGTCGACGGCAACGGCAACGGCGCCGGCACCGACTCCCTTGATGTCGCCGTCCCCTTCGTCCACGTCGTCGGCCGTCCCCATCTCCTCGATCCCCCGCCACGTCGCCGTCATCATGCTCAAGCACTACTGTGAAATCTACCGGCCGCAGTATCCAGCCGTCGAGGAGCAGGACCTGCTGCAGGCCTTTGACCGAGTCTACGACAAGAGCCCGGCCAAGGGCGCGGCCACCGACTTTGACGTCTTTTGTGTCCACATCACGCTGGCCATCAGCACCACTACGCTCATGTACCGCGACGCCGGCCGTGCCGCGACCGCCACCGCCGGCTTCTGGGCCACGGCCGTCGCGCATCTGGACGCGCTGGACCGTGACTCGAACGCAACGACGCAGCCCTGGCAGCGCGTCCAGGCCCTCCAGCTGCTGGCCCACTATGGCTTTCTCAACCCCAAGGACGTTGACTGTGTGCGGTGCACCGCGGCAGCGCTGCGGCTGTGTGTGCAGCTGGGCCTGCACCACGAGCTGCCGCACGAGGACCGCCAGCACGTGTCCCCGGCGCAACTCGACATCCGCCGGCGCCTCTTTTGGCACTCGCTCTCGCTCGACCTGGCGGCCAACAGCACGCGCGGCCGACCGGGGAGCATGGCCGGGGACGCGTTTACGGCCAAGATGCCTGCCCTGGGCGCGACATCGCCTACGGCACACATCTGGGCACTCCGCCAGATGGAGGGCGAGATCTTGGCGAGGCTCTACTATTCGGGTTGGCCGTCGTCGTCGTTGGACGACGTTGACACCTGGCATGCCGACATCCGCGCCCGCCTTTCCGCCTGGCACCAAGCCACCCGCCAGAGCGTCGCCCTCGCCGAGACGCTGGAGTTTGCCGATATTTTATTCCACATGCAGCGGCTGCGGCTGAGCCGACCGTCGCCGCGGCGGCCGTGCCCTTCGCCCGCCCTGCAGAGCGAGTGCCTGGCCGCGTCTGTGGCGGTGCTGCGCGCGTTTGACGTGATTGCGCGACTGGGGAAGCTGTTTTACATTTGGCATGCGGCGCACTGTGTGGTGGAAGCAGCGATTTGTTTGTGTGCGGTTGTTTTAGCGAGTGAACCGGCAAGCGCAGCGAGGGCATCAACAGTGACTTTGTCCACAGACACGGACGTAGTCAAGAAAGACGACGTGCCCATCTTGACGCGCCATCTCAAGACGTTCCCCGGCATTCTGTGGAAGGTTGCGCGACGATGGCCGGCCATTACACACCACGCGGCCGCCCTCGAGGCCATATCCCAAGCCGTCGTCGACAGACTGCAGCGGCAGTGGGTGACCCATACCACGCCAGAGGCCGACGCGGCCGAGACGGCTGCTGCTCTCAAACAAAAACTCAAAGACATGTCACTGTTTTCTCCGTTTCCGGAAGACGCCTCTACTGCTGCCGTCGAAGCAATTACAGACACGCCGCCCTCTGTCTCGACCTCGACAGACGTCAACATGACTGCGCCCTTTGACGCCAACTGGTCCTTGCCACCACTGTCGCCGGGCCAAATGCTGCCTGTACAGTCCCTGTCTACTGTGTCGGTTTCATCCAATACAGCAGTTGACCCCGGCAGCAACGCCGCCACCATGGACGACGACAGCATCCTTGACTGGGACTTTGCAGGCGTCGGTTTTGAAGAGATCTTTGCCGCTCTGATCCAGGCCAACCAGACAGAAGACGGAGAGGCTGCAGCAACGACGACGACGACAGCGATGAGTGCAGAGCCAAACGACATGCTCACCTAGTTGGGGATAGTGGGAATGGGGTGAAATGGGGTATAAGACGGTGTTTAGCTCGCGCGTGGCAAACGACGCCCGCTCAACTCCGTCCACGCTAGCGCCACAACAACACAACGAAAAGACATCACCTTCGTTTTACTGACATGCAATTATGTGCTCGGTTGTCGTCCACGGCCTTATGCAAGGGCCAAAGAAAAGAGTGTAGGCCACCCAAGCGAGACGCCAACACCATGCGAGATCACCTTGTGCCCTGCATATCCTGTCGACAAGCTTGCTTTCCCCGCGTTTGTGGAGTTTGTGGAGGAGATACAACGAAGCAGGACAGACATGGGTCCGGTCCCCATGGATCCACTAGGCGTATTGTTCATATCAATATTGACGTTGATGCTGGCATTGGCGTTGGTGTCTGGTTTGCACATCGTCTTTTGTTGACGCTATGATACGGCGATAAGGCTACGTTGTTCGTGTTTTGACGGTGATCAAGACGGTGGTCAAGACGGCTATATGCTGCTACTCACCGCCAGCACACCGAGGCAGATCGGCTGTCGATTTTGTGCCTCTTTATATACGCCCTCGGATTATATAGAAGAGACTGCGATTGTCGTTCTCCTTCTCTCCATCCTTTTCTCATTCATATCTCACTCCGTCTTTCACTCCTTTGTTGTCCTCTGTTTTTCACTCGCTGCTCTGCGACCATCAACTCACCATGGCGATCAAACTACCGTTTCTACCACCTCTCCGCCTCTACTCCCCGTTTTGGCAAAACGTCCTCATGGGCGTCATCGTCGGCCTCACGGCCGGCCTCTACCAGTCCTTGACCTCCCTCGGCGCCGGCGGCTTGCGCGCCAACTCGGCCCACACGGTCGAGGTCGTCAACGCGACGCTGTGTGCCACCTGGTTTGTCGCATCGCTGCTGTCGGGCACCGTTCTCAACCTGGTCGGGCCGTCCTGGACGGCCGCGCTGGGCGTCTTTGGCTACGCGTTCTACGTCGCCGGCCTCTGGTACTTTGACGCGACCGGCCAGACCTGGTTTCCCATTGTGGGCGGCGTGCTCATTGGCATCTCGGCCGGCCTCATCTTTGTGGTCATGGGCACCATTGCCATGACGTACTCGGAAGAGGACGAGCGCGGGTCCTTCATCACCATATCGCAGAACCTGCAGGCGCTGGGCGCGGCCGTCGCCGGCTTCATTGACTTGATGATCAACCGGAACCGCGCGTCCGCCGACGGCGTGCCCATTGCCGTCTACATTATCGTGCTGTCGTTTATGGGCGTGGGCGCGTGTCTTGCCTTTTTGTTGCGGCCGCCCTCGCGCGTCACGCGGGAGGACGGCACGTCGGTGGCGACGGCCATTTCGTCCACCACAGCGGGGACAAGTGGGCAGGGCCGCACCGTCGTGGAGGAGCTCCGCGCCAGCTGGGACGCCATGAAGAACTGGGACTTGCTGCTGATGATCCCGGCCTTTCTGCCGTCCGAGTGTTTCCTGGTCTACGGCGGCTCCGCCAATGCGTTCCGCAACAACCTGCGCACCCGCACGCTGCTGTCCTTTGTCGCCGTCGTCCTGCAGATCCCCGCCGCCTACGGCCTCCGCCTGGTCCTGGACCACGCCGCCTGGAAGCGCCGCACACGGGCCCTGGTCGGGCTGGGTCTGGTCGGCACGCCCCTTGTGGCCGCCTGGATCTGGCAAATGGTCGAGGTGCGCCACTACGACCGCGGCACCCCAACGCCGGCGGACGCGCTCGTGGACTGGACCGACGCCGGGTTTGTCTCGGATTTCTTCCTGTTTACCCTGACCTGGGTCTCGTCCGTCCTCTTCCAGTACATCATCCTGTATTTCTTGTCGTGCATGACCAACAGCCCGCGCAAGGCCGCCAACTACGCCGGCGTCTACCGCAGCTTCCTGGCCGCCGGCGAGGCCGTCGTCTTTGGCATCGACTCGGCCGGCGTCTCGTTCTTGAACATGGCCGCCGTCCTGTTTGCCTTTTACACGGCAGGTGTCTTTGTGTTTCTGTACCTTGCCCTCTTCCACGTTACCGAGACGCAGTACTTTACCGGCGAGGACGACGTGGTCATTCCGCAGCACGTGCTCGAAGCACACGAGGTGACCGGCCAAGGCATGGACGAGGAGGACGCCAAGGGGCCGGCAGACAGTGTCAAGGCGTAGCCTACGTGTAGGAGGCGGAGGCACTGATCGGGTCGAGGGCCGGTATCCATTAATTTTATTTATTTATTTTTTTGGTATTATTGTCTAGTTTTATGACAGCTCAACAAACACATGCCTACTGCCCCAAGACCTTACAGGACCGTCCCCTTCACTTGCTTCCGGTCGACGCTGTAGTCCTTCCACGCGGCAATCGCCGGAAAGAAGAGCACCGCAATCGCCGCCGCCGTGATGCACTCGTACTTTTGGCTCGTCGCCCAGGCGGCGTCAATGGCTGTCCGTGTCGCCGAGCCCACCGGGAACGCCAGCTGCGCCGTCGAGCCGCCCAAGAAGAGGCCGAGAATGTCGTCCGGCGACATGTCCGGCAGCGCCTGCTGCAGCGCCTGCGGGAACGTGCCCTGGTAGACGGCCGCGGCCACGGCATTCCCGAGCGCGCCGCCCAGGCTCGAGCACAGGCCCAGCAGCGCCAGCACAATGGGCACGCCTTCGCGGTCGGCGGCGGCCATGACGGCCATGTCGTCGCCCAGGATCAGCGTGCCGGTGCCGACGGCCAAAAAAATTTGGCACATGACGAGGTAGCCGAGGGGCGCCTCGGACCCGCGAAAGTGCACCATCAGGCCGGCGCCCAGGACCACCAGGGGCGCCCCAAAGAAGAGGCAGGCATGCTTAAAGTGCCGCGTTTGCCGGATCCAGACGCCAAAGACGACGGACCAGATGGTCGTGGCCACGCCGTTGGCCTGTGCCAGGTAGCCCGTGCGGGTCACGTCGAGGTCGTAGACGACCTGGATGTAGTAGTAAAAGTACTGGTCCCACGTGAAAAAGTTGAAGAACAGGACGGCCGCCACGACGCAGGCGCCCTGCACGGTGCGGCTGCGCAAGAGGTCCCACTGCACAAAGGGCGTGCCCGTCCTGCGCGGCAGACCGAACCGCTCCCACGCGGCAAAGGCCGGAAACAACAAGAGGCCGACCGCCAGCATCGCAATGAACGTGGGCGAGCGGTACTGCGTCGTCAGGCCGTTGGACCGCAGGCTGAACGGCAGCAGGACAAGCACAAAGGCCGCCATCAGCAGCGCCGCGCCGACGAGGTCAAAGGCCACGAGGTAGTGGACGATGGAGGCCCACACCGTGCGCCCCGAGGCTGCGCGCCGGGAAAACAGGCCTCGCGCCTCGGCCCGCCGCTGAAACACCTTGAGCACCACCGCCAGCGGCGCACACGTCGCCGGCACGACGACGGCAAAGCTGCCGTACGCCCAGCGCCAGTTGGTGGCGGACGATGTGACAAACGCGTTGGCCGCCAGGGGGCCGACAAAGGCCGTGCACAGCGTCGGCGCCCCCGTCAGCGAGTACGCAAACGCACGGTTCTGGAGGCCGACAGTGTCGGCCACAAACACGCCCAGCACAAAGCTCGTCGCCGTGTAGCCCACCTGGTAGATGGTGTAGCCGGCGGCGTAGCTGGCCGGGCCCGTGCAGACGGCCATCAGCACCAGGCCGAGCGTGTAGGTGCCGACGCACACCAGGAAGCCCTCGGCGCGGCCCCAGAGATTCAGGGTCTTGGCGATGGGCAGCTGCAGTACGCCTGACACGACGGCGCTCAGAATGTAGGCCTGGGCGATCTGCGGCGCGGACGCAAAGTCGGCGTAGGCGTAGTAGACAATGTTGCTGCTGATGGACGCCTGCAGGGCCACGACGAAGAAGAGCAGCCACACCCAGACGTAGACCGCATAGGCCGTCGTCTTGGACCACACGAGCGCCGCGGCTTCGGCCTTTTGCACGCCGCGCTGGGCCGAGGCTGTGATGGCGTCAGGGTTGGTGACGACTTCTTTTTCGTTTTGTTGTTCGAGGCTGAGGCGGGGGGAAAGGCTGGTGTCGACATTGTCGTTGTCGCCGTTGTCGGGCGTACCAACGACCGTGGTCGTGACGGCGGCAGTTTCCTTGACAGCCATCTCATCTATGGGCCGGTATGTCTAGGAGAGCATGTGTGCTTTTTGCTAGACATGAGCTGTGCGACGTCAACACCACCTCTGCCCTTTTGTAGACTTTGTAAAGACGGCCGGCGTCTTGTCGATTGCCTGCGGGCCGCGGGCCGTACCTATTCTGATGAGCATGTTTATTCATCATTTTTCATTGACGGCCACATTGGCCAACCGCATGTCTGTGAAATGTGTTTGACGTCCCGATGTGGATCAGATTGGCGGTTAGGCCTGTAACTGAGCACATTTGCGCAGAATCGTGGATAGTTGTGCTGCATGAATGGTGGTTAGCGTAGGATCGCGATGGTTGCCAGAATCACAGCTGATAAACGGGTGAGAAAAGAAGGCCATACCAACATTGTCAAAACGAACCAAAGAATGAGAAAATGAGAATAGAATGAGAACAGAATGAAAACAGAGAGTACAAATGATAAACGGTCTTGGGTATCATAAAGTCTATGGTTCGTGAATAAACAAGAGGATAAAAAAAGACAAGGCAGGTAAAAAAAAACAAGGTTCAATGACGTGAAAATCGACTCGCCCAGCCGTCAGCTGGCTTCCTCGTCTGATCCGAACGGCATGGCATGCCAGCCGTGATCAGCCCCTCTTGTCACGTCATCCGTCGTTCCGTACTGTTGCTTCGCTTTCGTCTCCGCCGCTGCCATGGCTGCTGCTGCAGCTGCCGACGCTGCTGACCGGTTCCGCAGCACGTACGCGTCCCGGATGGCCTGTTCTTGCTGCTCGCCCCGCCACGTGCGGCCCTGCAGATGGCGCAAACACAGCCGGTTGCCGTTGTCGGGGTAGTAGAGCCAGCACGCCCAGCGATGCCACGCGGCCGGGTCCCGTTTCATCTGGGCCCGCGCGCGCTGGCCAATGTGGTCTTCGATAAAGTCGCCGCGGCCGAGGGCGAGGCGGGAGGCGAAGACGCGGCGGAGGTAGTGGTCGCGGGCGGCGATGTGGGTTTTGTCGTGCCAGAAGAAGAGGGGGGTGAGGGGAAGATTCTGGCTGTGTCCGGCGTTGTCGCCTGACCTCGACGCTCTCGAGCCGGAGGCGAGGACAGACGACGACACCGGCACGTCCCGCTTAAATGCGGCCGTCAGCGAACGCAGCGTCGGGAAGCCCACCGCGTGAGCGGACGTGGCATACCGTAGCATCCGTACAGAGGGAAGACAAATGTAGCGGATGGCGACGGGGCGCGACGGATCAAGAGCCGATGTGTGCTCTTCTGGGACAGAGTGGGCGGGTGACCCCGGCGTGCTCGGCGTGCCCGGTGTGCCCGGCGTGCCCGGCGTACGATCGTCCTCGCTCGTCTCAAACAGCTCCTTGGTCGGTGTCGGGTCTTCGCCCGCGCTTTCCGCCAGCCCGCCCCCACCGTCGCCAACGGCATTCTCGGCCGTCCGAATAGCATTCTCGGCCGTCTGCATGGCATCCAGCATCGCCGCCACGGGAATGTCGGCCGCCAGCGTCCAGTCGTGCTGCTGCACCCAGACGTAGGGCGTCGTGGCCGCGCGGACGGCCGTGCGCACAGCCAGGCCAAAGCCGAGACGCTGCGTTGGCTCCACGAACGCGATGCGCCCGCCCGCCGTGCGCATGATTGTGAATGGCACGGCATTGTCGGCGATCATGGGCGAGCCGTACTCGGCCAGGCCGGTCTCGATAGCCGTGTCCGCGGCGTCCTGGCCACCATCGTCAATGCCGCCCCACGTCCGCCCGACCAGCTGCTTGACATTCGCCTTGTAGGCATCGTAGTTGGCTGCCTCGACGGGCGTGACACATCCCTTTTTCAGGCGCAGCTGTGGTCCAATGTGGTCGTACGTGTCGAAAACGACAATCACGGGGCACGCAAGCAGCGCCGGGCAGTGTGCGCGGAACGATGCGAGCACGGCCGCGACGAGGTCTGTAGATGGTGCTGATGGTGTCGGCGAGGTCGTCAGGATGACTGTCAACAGGCTATCAATCACCTGAGCTGCTGGACGAGGAGGTTCTGGTAGTTGTCGTCGAGGTGCGGCTGAGGGGGGGGGCCGTTTGAGCCAGCCGGACCACCAGCCGGACCGCCATCCATCCCCTCCGCAGCCATCTTATCAGAGACCGGGTCCGGTGCGGGCCAATGGGCCGTCCTTTGTCGTCTCCGTGGCACGATAGATGTGCTTTTTGAGGCTGCTGTTGCTGATGTCGCTGTCGATGTATTTTAGATTGGAGCTGTGATGTTTTGCGAATTTTTGCGAGGCTGCTCAAGCGCCAAAAGCGGCAGGATCGCGCCTGCCTCGCACGGCGCCATTCTGCCACGAAAATTCCGCCCGTTTTGGCACCTGCACAACATACGGCACCGTAGGCTAATTGCAATACGTATTTGGTTGAAATATCGTGATCAAACTGTTTTCTACATTGGCAATTGTATTGACTGTTCAATATGTTTGATGCCTAGCTACCGAACAACTGAATTGATAAGCAATTCAATGAAAGCGCTGGTGTCCAAAAGACGGCAACTCACAAAGCCTTGCGCCCTTCCTCACCAAATCTCACGACATCTCCGTATCTCAAAATTGGTATCATGTATTTTCATCCGATTGCCTGTTCTTTATCACTAAGCTGATCAGTGGATTGTTATTGGACGGATACAAACTCGGCATACCATGTGTTGACGTTGGGTTTTTTTTTTTTTTTAATAACACAAGTCACCAGTTCAAATAAAGTTACATCGGCTTCACATTGCCAGCTCTCAAATCTCTCCATGCCGTTTATACCGGCAGACCGCCACGCATTGATCTCACCTCACATGGCAACCATGGACTACCTGCCAGATCCTGTTGCATCTCGGTTTACAGTCGTTGGACTCTGCAACGATTGGCACGCAGCTCGCAGTCGGCCGTGATTCAGCTCAGGTCTTTCCACGAATCACATTCCGTACCGGAGAAGAATGTGTGATCGGAGTCCTCTACGTCGGCAGTGACAGGATGCAGGTACGGCATTCAAAGCGGACGACCGCAACGTGACTTGAAAACCGCTAAAACATCCTCGGAAGAGACGACTTGGAGGCAAATGGGCCTTCGTTTCTCCCAAACCTCTATCCTCCATTGGTGCCCGAACCATCTGCCGTTGTTCAGTCGCCTCCACCATTTCCCCTCAGAGCCTCTCTGTGGTATATTGTACATCGTCAAGACGAGCAATTCCCGATATCAAGCGTCGTTCGCCGAACACTGACAGTTGCCCCCATTTTTGGCGATGGTTGAGCCGTTGACGGAGCTCGAGAGCTTGACAATGGGACGCCCCCAGTTTTGATCGACCCAAAAGAGGAAAAAGAGAAACACAACTTCGCTGGGTGACATGCCCAGAACATGCAAGTTTGCCAGGCTATGGCCGTAGATCTGGGCTTGTTGGAGGCTGCGTCTCAATCACCTCCACCACCTCCACCACCTCCACGAGTCGCCTCCACGTCAAAGACAGTGATCATATTTTTTCCATTTTCGCCACCGCGTCCAAAATGTGCGGGACGCAAGTGACAGTCTATTTTCGTTTCAATAATGGTCGTCCCCAGTTTTGCGTTGGTCCCTTTCCTAAACTCGCTGAAATTTTAGGGACCCCTCGCCCGACCTAAGAAACAACTAAACTACAAATGAGGAAAACGAACCTACGCCGCACTGACGTCTCGCCCCAAATGACTGTATGTCGTACGTTGCGCTCTCCTTTGCCGCTTGTTCCTAATACACGGATTCACATAGTATCTGAGGCGAGGGATACGGAAGCGAGAAACGTGCGGGACGGGAATGAGAGCTGCACGGATTCGGAATTGGATCTGCAGTTGTAGCGAGAATACGACGGAAACAAGGCAAACAATACATTGTATACAAGAAAGGGACATGGTTCAGAGAGTAGAATAACAGGGGCGACACCAAAAGGCCAGCCGGGGTCCCAAACGGGCGAAAAACTACGAATAGGGGTCGAGGCCCAGGTCGACGCCAGTAGGCTTTGAGAGTACGATGTAGGTAAAATGTGCTCCGTAGTGGTTGTGTGGGATCATCAGAGGCAAAGTCGCGATGCGATTTGATGACCTTCCACTTCCAGATAGATTCAAGGAATACAGAGCCGGGCAGGGCAATGGCAAAAGCAAGAACCAGGAATCCGGATATGCACACTTTGATTGGTTTGGGTACTGCCGGAAGCAAAGGGTTGTTTCTTTTTCCATTTTCTTTTTTTGTTGAAAACCGTTGACAGAATCGCCACCCAAGCCTAGCGAGGGCGAGACCAGTATTGGGCTTCCCGGCACTTTCCATTAAGCTGAGAAGGGTGTGGCACGTCGTTTCACGTCACTCGATTGGTCCGACTCTGCCGAACCTTGTAATGGTACGGTGGCTGGTGGTAACGACAACCTTCTGATCTGTTTTGTCCGTTTTGCCGCCGCCTCGCCGTTCACATCAACGCCACGCGGCTGGTGTCTCCAGGCACCGGGGACCAACAGCTCCGTAGAGGTTGCATCTGGTGAAATAGACGTTCAGCCACAGAATTCCTTTTCCAATGGACCTTGCCGTTGGCTTCTAGAGCCTCTTGCTGAGTACATTGTCCTTTTCGTGATACCGAATGCGTGCCGATGGCCGGAGACAACCGAGGGTCTCGCCATTGTACTGGCCAGGTGGTCTTTGTCTTCGTCCTCTGTACGGAGTACCGGTGTTGCGTTTTCCCGGCCCGGTGGCTTACACTTGATTCCCATCACCTCGGCGAGCTCATTCGCGATGCCGGCCAACTTGCCTCTCCCTACACCACTTCACGCCCAATCTTGCATCTGCCGAGGCATTGTGTTAGACCCCCGATCACGGCCAGGGATGCACGCAGCACCAACATGAAAATCGGCGAATATGTACAGACGCCGGGGCGAGGGGAAAATAGAGTAATGGAGGGTGGAATAGGAGAAGAAGGGAAGCGTAGAGGAGAAGACAAACGCCGGAGGACATACGCCGGTCCTTCAACAGTGTCACGTCCGTTGCAGCCTCCAAAAGCCCTTCACATCATGTCGCCGTCTTATGCGGACGATGTACACCGGTGATGTACTCTCTACTTTGCATCAGTGTGCTCAGCAGATACCATTGTTGGTCGAAGTGGAGATGCCATGTCATTTCTCTCGCTTAAATTGTGGATATGAACACTTATCAAAAAGACGCATTGGGATATTCCATCCGGGACAGTCTGCACTTGAAAGTGAGGTGGCTGTCGTCTTGTATTTTGAGTCCCATATTTTACGTGAAGGTGCGTTCGTACTGAGTAAGTCAAGTTGAGGGGGCGTTCAATATGTGAAGCAATAGAATTGATTTCAAGATACACGTGTATTGGCATCGTCGACGTATTACATGTCACGTTTACATACTGACTTATTATATTTAGTTTTTTATAAAACATTCTTATCGGTGGTTAAAACTCCAAGGAAATGTAATGTTTTGTGAAATGTAAGTGGATAAACGTGTGAAATCTTCAGTGATCCCATCAATAAAATGTGAATATCAAAACCGAATTTTGCCACGTCTCACACGGTTGCCCGCGAAACCCTCTCTTGTGAAAGAAGAGCCGACCAAGTCAAGGCACGGCTACGGCATCCCACTCTATGATCTTGTCGGCCACCGTCTTGGCTGGCCTTTGCATGTAGATCTGTGATCTGCCGTCACACGTGAAGATGTGGCATTTGGGATTGAGAATCGTCTTCGTCTTCCATCTGTTAATTGCACAATATGCAGTCAACAGACTCCACCAAGTCAGTGAGACCCTCATATTACTTCTTTCGGAAGTCTTGCCCCATCAATCTAGACGCAGCTGATATTCTGGCTCAGTTGGTTGTCAGCTGTGTGTTCACAATGTGCATGTCGGACAGGCTGCCATCGGACTAACTTTGGAAGCAAAAGCAGGACAGTGCGGAAAACGTTACATACAGTACTGTCTGTTTTCTTTCTGTTGTTTTTCTTTGTTTTATTTATTCTGTCCTGCCTGTTTTGCCTGCCCAAGTCTCGCCAAGGCGTGCTACGATGTCCGTACCTGCACTGCTGACCCCGTGTTGGGAAATAATCTGGTGTACGATGTAGGAGACTAGACTAGACTGGGCCTCGTGGGCGCAGTGCATTGACCTGTAGTCGCAGGTCAGGCAAAGCAAAAAGCAAATGTGAACATGGGAAAACTTGTATTGGACACTGGGGAAACGACGATCACATTGCTGTCGAGCAACGAGAAATGGACAAAGGGAAAGCAAAGAGACAAGACAGGACCACACAAAGAGAGGCCAACTCTGGCCTTCCCTGCATGCAAGCATCAGCAATTTTGAGGACCAGAAAGTCGTATTGCCGCGGAAAAGTTGCCAGGAGGCACACGTGAGATAACAAGTGCATCAGAGGCACCAAGCTAGGATGAACCTCGGCGCATGCGCCTGAGTGTCTTCTAAATCGCTCGTCTCTCACAGCCAACCTCCGGACTCTTTTCTGACTCTCCTGTAAGCATGCCGACTTGCATATTTGTGCAGATGCACATGCAGACACAGAAGTGAGACGAGAGACACGGTGAGTGAGAGCAACTCTTGCTCCATGCGTTAAAGGTCGAGCCGCACTCAGCCCCCTGTATGTTGTAATTAATTACCCCAGATGGAGGACCCAAACTATGGAGCAGATGGTGCTCGACTCAGTGCTCGACCCCAGATGCAACAGCCTAGGGCCATCCAAACGTGTGTAAAAGGTGGGAGATGAGACTTGTTTGACGAACAAGACAGGAGCCAAGATGGCGTCACCAAATAGGAAATAAAAACCTTAACCCCTGTTGTCGTGCAGCTTTGGGGCCATCTGTCTTGGGTCCCTGTGACGTATCCAGTTTTATTTCGGTTGGGACAGGTTTTCTTTGCCTCATCCGGGGCAAGGCGCGTCAATCTTTACTCGACGAGCTCGACGAAACACACGCCAAAGACACGCGGTGCGGGACGCACAGGCCATGGAAAAAGCAGTGCGTCGCGACCCTCTCTGCCTCGTACCCTCTCGTTCGGAAAGCCTTGGCCGCCATTCTGCACAGTGCTTTGTTTGCCTCTTTCCTCTCTTGCTTTTTGACTTCTTCGTTTGC